TTCAGGTTATAAGGAATCTGAAACCACTTACACTCTCTTGGCCAAATGTCCCTCACAGAATAATGGAGGGGGTGGGAGAAATTAAGATTTTCTTTCTCACTCTTTCGTTAAAATTACATATTTTTAGTGAACAGAACAATTTTGAAATTATAAATAGAAAAAAATTCCAGGAAGAAATTCCTATGCAAATTCACATAGAAAATTTCCAGTTTGCACTGGAAAGTGTTCAGATCAATACTGTATTTATTTCTCTTGCATATTCACTGAGGATAGTCATTTGATAACCATGAAACATTTTTACTCTCATATTTGCCTGATTGATTTATATTTTTCACCTACGTAACAAGGCATAGAAAGGCAAACATATACAACACAATGTATTTGTAGGAAGAAATTTTCCTGTGGGGGAAAAGTCGCCATTACAGATATTTTTTGCCCCATGTTCACAGCCCAGACGAATGGAACTGGAACACAACACCACAATCACCAAGTCACTCATGGATGCACAGAAAGTCAGGTTTGGAAGGAACTTCAAATGTCATCTAGTTCAACCACTCCCTACTGCAGGAATCCACCATTACTGTAGCAGCCTGCTTAACTTTCCAAGTTCCCAGATCAGGAAGCTGAAGACCCCATTGCAAGATTTAAGCAATTCTGAAAAATGACAGGGGGAAAAAAACCCATCCATTTCTTGGCATTTTCCATCTATCAAAGCCAACTATCTGGGAGAAAGTTGTGCTCTTCACAAGCCCACCAGAAAAGGGGATTTTTAAAAATAGGACTCGGGAGAATTTTTTTAAAAAAGTCAGCATATAGATTAAGTATATTACTGGTGTGTACCGAGAGAGTTAAAATCGATTGTGCTCCTCACTCACAATACACAGTCTCTTCTTATTGCCCAAACAAAGTCCTAGAGTGGTCTACAAACACAAGTCTTCTCTTCTCTTTATTCTCCTCTCCCGTATGCGTGTATCAGAAGTTAGGGAAAATGGGGGAAGAGTGAGGAAGGGTCCCAGTGCTATCCAGTTTAAGCCATACTGGAATTTATTGCTCTTATAATATGGCCTATGACTTGTGGCAGTGCTGAACAAGGGAGGACTTATGGTGGGCCCTCAGAGTTCCAGCCGCCACATGACTGTGAAGTTACCCACGGTCACGGGATTGCGATGTTCCCTGTCAGCTTCCTACAAAATCAATGGAGAAGCCTGCAGGAAATCAAAGTCAGTCACTTGAGGTCCTTAGCGTACAGCCCTCACTTAATGGCACATCTGGGACTGCTGGAAATGGCATTGTTAAGTGATGGTCACATGATGGTCCCCCTTTATGACCACATCACTTACTGGCAGCAATTCCAGTCCAAATTACCATTGTAACCCAAGGACTGCCTTGCATTATTTTGTTCTAAGTGAAGACTTGGAAAGCGACAGCTTTTAGCCCTATCTGTCCCTCTCAGCATCACTGTGAAGAGGAGGAGGATGAAGAAGTACAGCTGTTGCCTTAAGCACTTTAGAGACATGTTAGATTTGAAAGAAGAGTAAAGTCCATCCAAAAATCTCGTCATGAGAGTTCAGGAACACACAGAAGTTCACTCTCCTGTCGTAACCCTAACCTGAACAGACAAGTCCAGCCTTCCACCCATGAAAACAAAGGTTCAGGAAGCAGCAATCCAGACCGGGAGCCCCACAACCCTGCCCAGCAGACAACTTGAGAGGGGGACCATCCCAACAGCCAAGGGCTCCATCTCTGCTCTACTAGGTTTGGCTGGTCATACTCTGGTGGGCCTACAAAAAGCAGTTTTTTCCTCACTGCTTCACTGTTTTATTTTCAATGTGTTATTAATAACCACTTAATTCTTTTTCAAAGGAGTGATGGGGAGAGTAAGGCATTGGGCTCTCTGCTTCTGCTTGATGTAACTGAAATAAATTGTTATCCCACTCAAAATGTTAATTACTTCTGTACTATTAAAAATTAACAATAGCCCTTTTAATATATTTGACTATAGTATTAGCATATAAACATTGTTAATATTTGTAATATGAATATTGTTAATGGCAATTCTTTTTTTTTTCAATATTAGTAGCCATAGTCATAAACATACTCAACACATACTCAAAATATTTTACGGGGATGGTATCCTACAACTGTAAAATGCACCTGTAAGGTAGGCCAGTTATCTGCCAGAGTTGAGGTCTCCTTCCCTATGACTTTCTAATACTTCAGTTAAAACTACAAGAATGATTTAAATGAACACACAGACCTGGATCAAACCTTTAGAGTAAATTATGAACATTGAGCCTGAAGAAAAATGTGACTGCAGATCAGACGGAGCACAAATTAAGGACAGGGCAATGATAAGCCAGGGATTCTAACCAGCCCCACCACCACCACCACCACCACCACCCGGCCTTGAAAAACACAAAGCCCCTCAAAGTTCCCCCAATTATTCACCTGACCTTCTCTAGGACTTAATGGGTTTTGTGTACAGTATTTCTGGTCAATTTCCTCCTCATTGGATTTCCTTGGCTTCGGCCATTAAGAACAGCCAACCCAATCCAGAGCAGAATAACCAAGGCCGCCTCACCAAACCAAGCAAGGACATTCTTGCCTTCAAAGGATTTTAAAAGATAATCAAGCAAAACTAACAAAGTAACTGATCATGTGACATATCATTTTATTTTAAATGGACGTAGTTGGAAATTTGAGACCTGCTTTCTTATCATTATAAAATGACTCTGACAGTGTAGCCGATCCAGAAAATCTCCTATAAGAATCAGCCAGCCGAAGCTTGCTTGGGTAAACATATCAACTGTTAATCTGTGACTGGTTAAATTTAATTGCAACCCCATTAACATTCTTAAACTATCAGCCTCCTTTCTTGCACAGAAATTCTGCAAAAAACATTATTCCTAAGTGCTACAAAAATTAAAACTATCTGAGCTGTTTGGAAAATTGCTTGTTTTTTAATTGTTCCAGAATCTTCCCAAAAATCCAAACAATCTCCTCCCCTTTTGATGGGGGAGGAAGGAAATGGGATTGGTTAGAGATGAAATCTCTAATTGCACTCCTCCCCCCTCCCTCCTCCCCCATCCTTTAGGAATAACATCCCCTGAATTTTCAATTCAATATTCAATTGTAGTTCAGATTACAATTACGGTAAATACAGTTAACAATCCAACTTCCACCCTTCAGGAATTTTTTTTTTTTGAAATTCTAATTTTTTTTAAAAAAAAATTCAGTTTAGACAAACTTTTAAATTTTCAAAAACATTTTTTTTCTACACTGAGGTTCATGGAACGTGGAAAAAGATTTTAAGCTGCAGAAATCCGTTCTGTTCCAGCACAGAAATGCCCCTTTCAGGTTCTCTGCTGCAGCTGTGGAGTCGGCCATCTTGATATTTTGTTCCCATTTTAAAGTGGAGACTCTGCAGGATTTGCCCTTTTCTTTCCTTTTTTCCCCCCTTCAAATTTAATGTTGCCGTTTTTCTGTCCCTTTTGCCTCAGATGCAGAAGCTGCACATCACTTTCTACAGAGATTTAAGTAGAAAATTCTGTGAATTAGTTACTCATTCTTTATAAAATGCAAATCAAAACAGAAAAGGAAGGAGATACAGACACAACGACCAAAACTCAAAAGGCAATTTTACTATTCACAAATCCATGTGAGAAATTCAAAGGTATATTGCTAACTACAAACTAATCAGTACTTGTTAGTAGGATTTTCAGCTTCATGATGGAGCAAATTTAAAAAAAAAATTCTAAAGAAAGCATAATTTAATTTTGCAAATTTTTGTTTTTTAAAAAAATCTGCAACTTTACATCTGCAGTTTCCTCAACCAATAGTATTTTGCATACCCTATTATTAGTCTAATGATGCCTTTATACATAAAGTGTTACACTGAACTCTCGAAAGATGTTATCTTGTGTTATTTTAGGGTGGAGGCAAAACATAATCACTCCCACCAGTTCTACATGGATTATAAATTAAATGCTAGAATCATTATTTTAATTGTGCCAACAACAGAAGCTTTCAGAAAATATATGTTGGTTCAGAACAAAAGGCGTTTCTATAATCTTAACTTGAGCTTCTTTGACTTGCAGGATTGGCTCATGTTTAAAAACAAAGCTCTTTCAAATCAGATTTGAATAAAAACTTAAAAGTCATTCCCCACAAAAAAATTGGGGTGTGTCCTCAGAAATTTTCATATAATGAACACAACTCTTTAAAAATTGTAAGATTAAGTTATACTTCGTGAGAAAATAAATTCAATTCTAAGGTACTTAACCGTGAAATCCTTTCGAATTTACAAGTACAATTCTTAATTGTTTTGCAACAATTCTTCCACCTTCTCTCAATCTGATTTCTTTCAAATTGTTCTTTTTCTCCTTAATTTTGTTTCCCGATACCTCCTGTAAAAGATCTTATTTCTCATTTAAAAAGATGGGTAAAGGAACGTCGATTTCACCAAATTCATCTTCATTTGCATATTAAAGACTCCGGTTTAAAACAAAAATTTGCTGACATCCAAGAGAAGCAAGCGATGCTCTGCTGTTTCCAGCATTTCTCAGATAAAGAAAATTCCAGAACCAAAAGGATATCTCAAAAACAGCCAACGATTTAAAACTTTCCCTTCGAAAACAACGAAAAGAAAAAAAAATATTTTTCCCCCTCAAATTTATTTTTCCTTCCCCCCCCCCCTATTTTTTGGAATAGTCTCCCCTAGGTGGCGTCGTTTTAATAAGAAAACTCGTTTGGAGAAAATTAGAGGAAAAAAAAGCCCAACACACACACACAAGCAAGAGCAAGCGGAAAGCCCGCCGGCCCACGAGCGAAGGGGGGGGGGGGTCGGGGGCACCGAGGCCCTCACCAGGCCCGTGGACCGAGGCCACACGTCCCGGAGGTCGATGCAGACATGGCTGCTCCGAGAAGCCAGACGGAGAGAGGGGACGGCGCGGCGGCCAACCACCCGCGGCCGGGGCTGCAACCCGGGCGTTCGCGCTTACCTGCGCCCCCGTGGCGGGGGCGACGGCCCCTCCTGTGCCCTCCTTGCCTTCCGGAGAAGCGGCGGCGGCTCCCTCCCCGCCGCCGCCCGCTGCCCCGGGGCCGCCCGGCTCCTTCATGGGGCTGGGCTGGCGGGCGAGGGGCGGCAAAGGGGGCTCCCGCCGGGCCGGGCCGCCGCTCTCGCTCGCCAAGCTGCTGCTCCCGCCGCTACCGCGCGGCGCACAATGCGGAGCGGCCGCCGCCGGAGCCGCCTCCCTCGCCGCAGCAGCACGGGTGGGCGGCTCGGGCTCCTCCGCCCCCTGGGAGGACATGGGCCGCGCCAGCCGCTCCCCAGGCCGCTTCAGCGCTGCCGGGCCGAGCTCGGCCGGGGCGGAGAGCGCGCCGCAGTCGGCGCAGCCACGAGCGCCGCCATCGCAGGGGGAGGCGGAGGCGGAGGCGGCCCCGGCGGAAGGGCGGAGGGAGGCGGAGGCGGCGGCGGCGAGCACTCGGCTGAGCCCGCCGGCCTGCACGCCGCACCGCGCTGCGCCCAGGGCGCGCCGCCTCTCGCGCGCCGCCGCTTTGGCCACGCGTGGTTGTTGTGGTTCCTCCTCCGGCGCGCACCGAGGCGCCTCTGCCAGGCAGCCCGGCTCGCTCGAGCTCAGCCAAAGGAAGGAAGGCCGGGCAGGGCGCCTCCCGGGAATCCGGGCGTCGCCGTGCACCTGCCGCCAAGGGTCTCCGAAGGAGCCCCCAAGGCCTCGCTTCCCTCCAGGCTGGCTCGGCTCCCCGGTCTTCCTCCTTCCGCCTCCACCTGCCTTCCCTCATGCTGGATTTGAAGCAGGCGCCTCGCCTCGCCTCGCCCCACCCCCACATCGCTCCACCGCACCTGCTGCACCTGGCCCTTTTCTCGGTACCGAATGAAGCCCGGCAGGCACTCCTGGAAAGCATCCCAGCAGCCACGCTCCCCAAAGGGAGGCTCCAAGGCAGCCCAGCCTGAACAGGAGAACCAGCCTGCAACTCTTCATGGATACAATATATCCATGGCTGGGAAAGCATGTTACTATGAAGAGAATTAGAATTAGAATGAAGAGAAGAGAAGAGAATATTTTATTGGCCAAGTGTGATTGGACACCCAAGGAATTTTTTTTTGGTGCATATGCTCTCAAGTGTCCATAAAAGAAAAGATACATTCATCAAGAATCATAAGGTACAACACTTAATGATAGTCATAGGGAAACTAAATATATTATATAGATATATATATATAAGAATATAAATCATAAGGATACAAGCAACAAAGTTAGTCATATGGTCATAAGTGGGAGGAGATGGGTGGTGGAAACGATGAGAAGATTAATAGTAGTGCAGACTTAGTGAATAGGTGGACAGTGTTGAGGGAATTATTTGTTTAGCAGAGTGATGGCGTTCAGGAAAAAACTGTCCTTGTGTCTAGTTGTTCTGGTGCGCAGTGCTCTATAGCCTCGTTTTGAGGGTAGGAGTTGAAACAGTTGATGTCCAGGATGCAAGGGCTCTGCAGATATTTTCACAGCCCCCTTTTTGACTCGTGCCATAGACAGGTCCTCCATGGAAGGCATGTTGGTAGCCATGGTTTTTTCTGCAATTCTAATTATCCTCTGAAGTCTGTGTCTATCTTGTTGGGCTGCACAGCCAAACCAGACAGTTCTAGAGGTGCAGATGACAGACTCAATAATTCCTCTGTTTAACTAATTAACTAATAGGACAGACAGGGCAGCTTTGCAGAAAACAACTGGAAAGGCTGGGCCATGCCCCAAAGCGGGCTCTAACCCACAGATGGCAAGCGAAGCCCTTCCAGCTTCAGGCGTGGAGCAGGCTGGATGAGGAAGGGCAATTTCAAGCAGGAAGGCCAGGCTCACCTGGGCAGTCTGATGGGCCACACCATTCTGGGTGGCCCAACGGGTGGCCCCTAGCCAGGCTGGTACACCTGTTTACTGCCCACTCTCTGTCAAAAATAACCTCAAGGCAAGACCAAAAAAACAAATCAGAAAAATCAGAAACAATTTCAACATTTTAAACCATGAAACAGCACCATACGAAAAACATATTTAAGTGACTGATTCAGTCCACTAATCTGGGCAAGCAGGAAGATTTGTTGCAGCCTGACCTGTTTATGGCAAATGCACAGAAAATTCATGGGGCATTCATCTTCCACCCCTTTAAAAATTTGGGGTCGCAGCATTGGTAGGATAGGTGCAACCACACATTTGATTCACCTTATAACCTCTCTTTTTCTTTGATGTCGTTTAGCTTCCTTCTATACCAGTAAGCGAGCCCCACAGCAGGGAAGACTTGCTGGCAAGCGGCCAACGGTACCAGTAGTGGATTTCAAATCCCAGCACTACCAGTTTGCTATTGGGAGCGCATGGTGCTTCTGCACATGCACAGAGCGCCTTTGATGGCAGGTGGGCGGAGCCTCCCGCCACCGCCACTACCAGTCTGCCCGAACCGGGGCAAACTGGTAACAACCCACCACTGAATGGTACCATTGAAATATCACCTGGCCTTCTGAAATGAAGTGAAAGCAATGCTAAGCCTCTCTGTGCCTCCCTACCACTTCAGCCACAGCTATGAGAAGGGAGCTTCACGTCCAAGCAAGTAGGTGAACTGCAAAGAGGCTAACGCTGTTTCACACGATGCTGGCAGACCGAAAGGTGTAAAGGTTGCTCTAGATCCCACTTGAGTTGGAGCAAGTAAGGGGGACATCACGGAAATATATTGATGCTTCGATGTGGAATGAAGGAAAAATAGATAGATAGACAGACAGACAGACAGACAGACAGACAGACAGATAGTAACAACACGCAATGGGACAACAAAATCATTGATACAACAAGATTTAAAAATGATGGCACATCCAAGTTTTTTTTTTTCCAACTATATTCAACAATAGATAAATAAAGCATCTGTCTAGCTATAGGTTCTGATTGTAAGCAAGCCAAAGACAATGAAATGTAAGAAAGAAGCAGTATTCATCTTTGAGTCAACAACCTCTCTGGCTTCCCATGAAATGCTTTGCAGCTCTAAACTTCTTTTGTATCTTTGTTATATTAATTTTTAACTTCATGTGAAATTCTCCACCTAATTCCATGACCTCCTATTTCTTTGCTTTTCCTGAATCGTGAACAGCCACCATGCTGGGGATGACTTGTACCTCAACTTTATTTTATACAGCTCAAGGCAGTCTACCTGATGCTAAGAGCGACTTCCTGCTTCTCCTCCCCCCCCCAGAGACCCACATTCTGAGCGCTGCTGGAGGGGCTTCCTAACCAATGCCTGATTCCCAGGAGGAGAAGGCAACGTGAAAGGGAACTTCAGTGCCCCAAACCTGAGCATTTGGGATAAGGTCCCTCGGAGGCCTTTGGTGCTCGGGCGGGGACACTCCTGAGTGATGGACAACCCCAGACAAGCCGTGACCCCCCTGCCAGCTACCTTCCCTGCCCCACACGGGCTTCCTTGGTGCTCACCGGAGCCCACAACGGCGCCCTCGACCGACCCACTCCTCCTGCGAGGCGGGCAAGCGCATGTGCAGGGGCGTCCGGCAGGGAGAGCTGCGCGTAGTGGGACTGCACTGCCCGCTCTGCCCCCCTATTCCCGCCCCCCAGTGATTCCCAAGTCGTTTGCCCGCCAGATGGGAAGCAGGAAGCCTGGGATGAGGCCCCAGCATCCTTTATGGAAAAGGGAAAGTCTGAAAGAGAGGCCTTGCTGAAGGTCCTTCCTTCATCTCTGGGAAGGAGAGAAAGGGGGTGGAAGCATAGAGTTGGAAGAGGCCTTAGAGGAAAGACGGCTTAACTTGTATTGTCTCTTTATTTATCCTAAACAGACATGACATAGTAAAAAACAAAACAATAAAAATATTTTAAACTGCAGAAATAGGCCTGAGTAGTAAACCAGGCTCTTGGTCAAAAGATTCATTGGAGGAGATTTCGTCTTTCTGGAGCCAAACAGTCACGTGGATATGAATACAAATCCAGGCATGCTGCTGCCTCACACCTCCTTTTATGACACAGCACAGAAACGTACAGATGTTTCTCAGTCTCAACAACAAGATGTTGCAACAAGATGCAGTAAGCTTTTTACACATCTGCTGGGGCAGATGTCAGAGGCCAAAGAATAAGGAACAAGAGTGACTGAGAACTGACTTACATTCATTCTGCCACACACACTCCAAGAGTCAGAGAGAAAACCAGGAGACAAGTAATAGCAATAGGGTAGTAAAAAAATATTGCACTTAAATTTAAAACGAACTCAACAGGGAGACATTCTCACAGACACGGTATCCCACTAGAAGGCTTCAATAAATAAACTTAGCAAGGACTACGCCTTTCAGACAGTTGAGGAGAAGCAGGATAATCCCATGCCTGTTGCACTAATGGGAAGGACAGTTAAGTGGGAGCTTTCTGTCCAGAGAAGACATGCCAAGATTCAAAAGGAAAAGTCTGCAAGGGACTCTCCACCTTGCTCTTTTGAGGATGTGGCTCATTCATGAAAGCCACGGATATCCCGAGACGGGTCTGCGTGCATCGCACTGCCACCTCCAAAACAGCAGAAGGGTGGAAGAAAAGCTCTGGACTTCGCAGTCATCCGATGGAAGATCTGCTCCTTTGCAGCTTTGGGTGCTCTGACTTCATCGTACCAGAGGAAAAAGCAGGTTCTTGGGAAGAAGGAATAGTAAAGCTGCTTAGTTCTGTAACCCCGAGGCCCCTTTGGGTGGGAAGACAGATTTATTTATCCAGACAATCCCTTAACCAAAAATGTAATTATTTGTAAACATACTGCTCCCCCGAAGTTTCCTGGAGGGAGACCTAGCATCTTCTACAGTGAAGGGCTAGGTTTCCTCAGGTTAATGAGGTCCAAGTACAGCTCTGAGCGCAGGAAGCGGGGGTAGGAGTCCTTCTCCATCAAGCCATAGATCCGCCTCTGGGCAAGGTCAAAGCAGCCCCAGCTGATGTTTTGCAAGTTCTCTTTGGTGTGTTCCCGGGTGTAGGAGTCCAAATTGACCTAGAGCAGGACAGGCAGACACTAGTCACTATCGGGCTGCAGCTTATTCGGAAACTCAAGGGTGACAGAGGGACAGGTGAACAAATACTTGGACAAATAACTGCAGCTCATTGTGTCTTGTGCTAAAACAGACAATGTAGTTTTTGATGAGTGGCATAATGTCTGCTAGAATTTTATCTAGTCACGGAGTATGCTTCAAAAACCTGCCAAACCTATTCTGACCTTACAGTGCACAGAAGGCAAAAGAAGAGAAGAGGGAAGAACCAATCCCTTCAGCAGCATCATTCAAGATTTCATGGGATAAAGTTACCTTACACACCTGGAACCGATTTAAGAGCATCTCTTTTCCAAAAGGATCCTTGGCCTTGTTTCTCTCATGAAATCACGGCAGGAGGTAGTGCAGGGGTTTCCATTTGGAAGTTTTGAAAACATGCTTAAATTTCAGCAGTTCTTTCTATTCCACACTTGAGCTGAGTAAACTTTCTACAAATTGTCTGCATCCCAACCAGGCTGGCCCCCCAACAAAAACCCAACATCCCTTCCGCTACTTACCTCTTTGCAGGACTGGACAGCAATGTATTCGGTGAAGATCTTCTTGGCTTTGGCAATCATCTTGGACTGGGACTTGATGTTCTTGTATTCCTCACATGCCAGCCAGAACTCCAAGTTCTCCTCACTGAACTCAGTGCATAGGAAAGAACGGAAGGCAGCCACCCCATCTGAGCAGGGATGAGAGGATGCGGTAGCTTTTGTGAGAGGGCCTTATGCTACAAGGGCACTGAGGCACAGGCACAGCACCTTACAGGGGAAACAGGTGGCATAAAAATGCAATAAATAAATAAAAGGGGAGAGGGTACTTCTGTTTCTTCACTCTCAGCTAGGCAACTTTTAGGTCAAGGAGCAGATTCTCTCGAAAGAAAACGTTAAGGGCTTTGTATCCAGAGGAGAAGTTGGATTAAGGGGACTTTGATTCAGTATCTCTGAGGGTATGATTCCAAAACTCACCCAAATTTCTTTAAATCGAGTCTCTCCAATAGAGATACATGGTACAGATACTATACATGTGTCTTTCTGGAGGATTGTCTCTGCACAAAGCTTGCAGCGCAATCACCTGGCATGCAAAAGTCCCCAGGCCAAGTTGCTGCACCTCTCTGGGTATTTTGGGGGGCGGGGAGGGGGAGGGAGAAGGACAGTGATGGGAAAATGTGCTTTGGAAGTCCTGCTGCTAGTCACAGCACGAAACACCTGGCTACTCTCTGTCTTTCAAGCCATCCAGGTGCTTGGCGATATTATTGTTAGCAAAAGCTATCTACTTAAAAAAATTATCCTCTGGCACAAAGAAGTACCAAGGCCCCATAAGCCAAGGCAGGAACGGGAGAGGAGAGCAGGGGAAGGGAAGGAAAATTACTGCTACCCTAAAGCTTTGTTCTACTTCCATCCCTGAATGTTTCAGATCCAAGTTTGGAATGAATGGGTGAGAACTTCCAGAACAAAAGCTCTGGAAAAGGGGGAAAGGAAAGAAAATAAAATGCTGCCCAATCTTTGGCAATTTTAATTCAAACACTTACAGCAATCTGACTTTTGAAACTCAACCCCAGAAAAGGCTCCTTACATTTATGCTGCAGCAGCTTTTCCAGCGAGTCTCCCCACTTGAGAGCTTCTTCAGGAGGGGGCCTGAAGGGAGGCAAGGGAGAAGAGATTACTTTAATCACATGTCACAAAAAGACAGAACCACTGCGGGAAGAAAAATATCTCCCCACCACAGGGATTTATTAGAACGTCTCTCCTTTAAAACTGGAACAATTCTAGAACAAAAATGACCAAACTAACTTGAAATTTGGAACTTTATTTAACCTGCCTGTCATACTTTTCTGCCATTCAGTTACATTATGCAGAGAACAAAGGGGTAAAAAATAGTAGCCCAAAGGGACAAGGTAAGAAAAAACACTGGAGTCAGAACCAAATATAGTTTGCCACAACCGCATTCTCCCCCCTCCCCCTCCCCAGGTACATTTCTGTCCTTGCTGCCTCCATGGCTTCCACCACTTCATGCAGTGTCCTGAATGCGTGTTCTCTCCAGTCAAGGGATCCCAGAACAGCCGAAGGTGCCTGGGACAAAACAGGGCTTTGGCTGGGGTTGTGGCTTATGGGTCAAAAAGTGCCCCCCCCCTTTCCATTGGCACCCAGTGCTGAGTGTGACATGGACGCAACTGAGGCTGGCAAGCTCATCCACACCTCTTGCAACTTAACTCCTAGACAGAGGAGGTTTCTGTCTTCAGGGATTGCTTCATGACCACAATTTTCCAAGTCGTTTCCCTCTCTCTCTCTCTCTCTCTCTCACACACACACACACACACACACCCCTTGCCTAGGAAGAAAGCGGTGGGGGAGAATTTAAGACTAGGCAAAGCCCCCCCACCCTCCCCAGTTTTGCTTACCGCAAAGGTTTCGTCCCTTTGTCGGCCTTGCTCTCAGGCTGGCTCCCCAGGGCTTCGTGCCGCTTCCGAAAGAGCCCCAGTCGGTTCTTGACGTCCTTGGCCCTGCAAGGCAGAAGGGCGGCTGAGCCTCTCGTCCGCTCCCTACGCCGCAGCCGTTACAGCTCCTCTTAACGCAAACACACACACACCCGCAATTTCAAGCAGCACTTTGTGCGGACGAAGCGAGAGGCGCTCGGCACAGGCGGACCGGAGCACCGAGACCAACCAGGAACGAAACCCAGGCGGAATCGGGGCGGCATTCCTCCGTGGCTAGAGGCGGGTGGGGGGTAACCTACTCCTTGGTGGTGTGCCGTCGCTGCAGGCCTCCCCAGCGACCGCTTCGCCCGGGAGCGGCCCAGAAGAGCTCGGCGGGCGGCGCCTTGCTCAGCTCGCGGGAGAAAGGCATGGCCCGGACCGGAGGGCTCAGCGGCCAGCCGCCTCCAAGAGCCGGGCGTCTCTCGCCCAGCGGCCGCCGCATGTGTGACTCACGCCGGAACGCCGCCTATTTCTGGCCACCGCTGGGGAAGGCACCAAACCGCGGCTATTTTTAGCCGAGCCGGGAAGAGCGCCCGGGCTGCGCGGGGAAGCGGCCGAGAGGCGCGGCGCGGCGCTGTTCGGCCGACACTCCAGGGCCTCCGCCGGTGGAGCCGCTTCAGCCAGCAGCCGCTACGATCTCAGGCCCCCGCTGATGCCGGAGCCGCTCCCTTCCCCTCCCGACTCTCCGCTCCTGGCCGCCGCGGCCCTTCCCTCCGCCGGGATCCGGCCAACAGCAGCCCCAAAAGCCGGCAGGGTCCCCGGCGCCGCCTCTGCCAAAGGCTGCCCGCCCTTCAGCTGTAGCGCCCGCGCAAAGCCGCGCTATGTCCCTGTGCCGGCTCTCCCGCCGCTGCAGCCCCAGGCGGGCAAGGAGCGGGGAAGCAGCCAAGGTCGGGGGCGAGCAAAGCCGGCTGTCCAGCAATGCTGCCCCCTTCAGGGCGGCAGGAGGAAGAGTCGAGGGCCCCCACCCTGGTTAAGGAGCGTCCAGAGCAGGAAGAGGGAGGCCCCAGGTCTGTCAGGCCAGCAGCCAGTCCAGCAGGTTCTGACAGGTTCTGGAGAACCGGAGAACCGGCAAATACCACCTCTGGCTGGGCCCAGAGTGGGGTGGGAATGGAGAGTTTGCAATATCCTTCCCCTGCCCCGCCCACCAAGCCACACCATGCCCGCCAAGCCACACCCACAGAACCAGTAGTAAAAAAAAAATTGGATTTCACCACTGAGCCAGTCCTCCACCTTCAGCTCCCACTCAAGACAGTGCTCCTAAGGGGAACCATCCCACCCTCTTTCCCAGAGACGCTTAGGAACAGGAAAGAAACACCCTGGGTCAAACTCCAAGCTGCTTTCTTCTGGGGTGGGGGGTGGGGGACCATGGGTTCTAGGGTTTCGGGCTCCCAGTTGTGGTAGCTGTGGCCTCTAGAAAGTGTGTCTCAAGCCATTTGGGTGCACTGCCCGTTGCCACCCATCACGCACCCAGCAGAGCTTGTGCTAGAACAAGTTGGGTTAACAGCAGCTCAGATAAACACCAAATTCTGCCACTTGCTTGCGGGCAGGCAATGAGGAGGACTTGTCAGCAAGGCATCTTGGAGGTATGACTGGGTTGGGGTTAGGGTTAGGGTTAGGGTTAGGGTTAGCCGTGGGGGATGAACCCTACATCCCTCTCGATGGACTAGGGGGCCAGAGAGGGTACAGAAGACAGTGTGGGCCCGTCATATGTAAAAGAGGTGGATTTCTGAACCTCCACAGATTGCTTTTCCTTCAGGGGTGGAGAAAGTCTCTCTCTCTCTCCAAGGGCATTAACGGGAGTCTGAACAAATGATTCACAGCCTTGTGTTCCAAGCCCCAAAAACTGATGGTCAAGAGAGAGGCCTCCACCCACTCAGTCTATTTAAGGAAAAGGACCCGCAGCTTGACCAAAGCACAGTCACACTTACATTGTCTTGTTCATCTTGTGGGCTGCTCCTGAGTCACAAACTCCTTCAAGATCCAGCACCTGCTGCTGCTGTCGCCACCATCACCGCAATGGGAAGAGGGACGGGGAAACAGAAACCAGGTAAATTCAACTGAGGGAAACATGAGGGAGTTAACTATTTTCAATAATGTTGCTACTGCTCTCTCTGGTTCATTCTTCCTTCTGCCAGGAATCTGAAGGGATCGGGGCAGACAGTTACAAACGCTGCAAGCCAAGCCAACCGACCCTCCTTTCAAGAGCAGGGCTTATTTGCCAGATCGAACTGCACGCAGAGGAACTTGCTTGGGAATCTCCTTGCTGGCCTCCCCCGCCAACCCGGAACCGGGCAAACCGTGGGAAACCATGTCTTGGTCAAGCGCCACCAACCCAGCTCTCGGAGGCTTCCTTTGCTGCTAGGTGAGGCTTCCGGGTCTTATCAGGCCCAGCACTCTCTCTGCCTGGCGAGGACGTTCCTGGGCCTTTTGGGTGCGCCGGAGGGGCTCAAGCGCGTTTCCTCTCATTGTTGAGAGGGGTTCTCCGCTCCCGAGCAGGAACTGGCCAGGGCTGGCCTCTTCCGGCAGCAGGCAGCCGCCATAGACGGCAGACTCTTCTGCTTGGCACGTGGGATTGTTCTGCTCACAACCCACCTGACAGTGCGTGACAGGAAGAGGGCTGGAAGTGGGCCTTAGTTCTGGGGAAAGGGGCTGGCTGGCCCTGAACTTTCACTCTGCTTCCCTGCTGAATGTAACCTAGCAGGACTGGCGTTCTTGTGAAGACGGGCCTGGTCCATAATTCATAACCGGCATCAGGCAGTTTCCGTCCTTCTTCAGTATGGAGCACCTGATGAATCCAGTTAAGAAAAAGGCCCAGAGACCCCAAATTTGCCTCTGGAAGTGCTCTTCCTCTCTGTCCCTGCCTCTCCCCCTCTCCCCGGATACTAGAGGGACCTGCTTTGGAAAAGGTGGCCCATTCTCTTCTGCCTTGGCAGGGAGTAGCCACACACAGCTGCTGAATCCCCCTCCAGAAGCCAAGCAAGCAGCTCTGGGCATTTCAGAGCAAACTCTACCGGAGAAATGAAAAGCCCAGCAATCTTTCTTTCCTGCATCTCTCTGGAATGGCCAGTCATTTTGGGAACATCCCCTAGGGGGCAGCCAGCGCATGCTGTGTGTGCAAACAGGGATGAGGGTGATGGACACAAAGGAAGGCCTCCCTCACTCAGAGGAGGAAAGCCAGCAGCCATGCAGGCCAGGAGTTTTGCCCCAGAGCTCCCACATACGTGCTGCATCACACAAGCTTCAGGTCCTGCTGCTCCCCTACCCTTATCTTCACAGCAACCAACAAGTAACTGACGGGGCTGCTGTTAGCAAGGACATGCCCATTTATCTTGCAGTTCAAAGTGCTCAGCCGTCAGCATCTCGGACGCCCCTGGGGCAGCTGGCCAATCCAACAGCATCTCCAGGCGGCTGCTCGTGGGTTTTCCCCGGCAGTTCCAGTCAAGCACCGAGCAGCTCAACCTAGACTGGCTAGAGGTGGCCATGGGAGCTTGCTTTCTGAAGATGCCACAAGAGTCGCTTCGAGGAACGTCCTGCTGTTTCTGAGCCTATCCTGTAACCAGACCTGGCTCTGCTTAGCTGCCCAGCCCAGCCCAGCCCAGCAGGTGGGGCTTGCAAAATGTCTGCTTCTCTTCCCATGGTGCCCTCCGCAATGTCCTATAAGGGCACTGAAAAGCAAAGGCAAAGGCAAAAAAATAACCCTGCATAAACAGAGGTCCCAAGGGCCATTTGTGCTCTAAATAGGTGAACAAGGAAAAAAAAGCTGTCTTCAATTGACAATGCAACATCCAGGAAACAGCTTACATCCCAGAGTCATTTTTAACATTTCTATGCTTTTTTAAACAGAAATGGGATAAAATGTTATAATTAAATTGATACATTGAAATGTTTTAAGTAAACACGAATAGCATGAAGAGCTGAGCAAAACAACTAGTTCAGCAACAGGGACGGCTGAGCGGAAGGAAATTAAGTCAAAATGTAGTGGATATCTCGCGGGGGGGGAGGGGGGAGATTCTGTCCGGCCTCTCCGCTAACAAGTTCTCTAGGAACAGGAAGTGAATTCTCAGGCAAACTTTCCAAGCTCTTCTGCACATTTGGTCTCCCTGCAATCCAAGCTCCTGCTGAGCCTCCTGCCTGCCCTGGAGGCCCCTTCTCCAACCTTTTTAGAGGGTGAGGCAGAATTTCCCTGGGTGATGTCAGAGGCTCATCTGAGTTCCAGGCCTTGGCCATTTCTTGAAGCTTCCTGTTGTTAATTGAGTTAAATACAGAGAAGCTGGGGGCCGAGAGTTCTGCCAAGGCTGGGTTTCAGCAGATGTAGCCACTGCATAAGGAGAGAGCTCAACTGCTGCCATCCCCACCCTACAAGAACCGATTTGGTGGTTGACATCCCGGACAGAGCACTTGGCTTGGTCTTTAGCCAAGATGATAAAGCTGCCGTATTTGTATTATCTGGAAAATGTGCACGAAGCGGATCTAAAATCCTGTACCTTTCAATTTTGAGGTCCAAGAGAAGCAAGGAAAGAAGACTGCGTGGAAAGGACCTCCTTCTGAGAAGGGCCAGTAAATCTGGCATCGCCACTTAGAAGACCAGAAATGTATTTTTCGAACTAGCTCGCTAAATAAACTTGAAAACTGACAATTCTGGCATGCCGAGAAAGCCGGCTGGCGTCCAAAGGCCTCGTCCAGCCTTCCCATCTTTGAGACCTGGATCCCCGAAAGGAAGCCAGGAAGCAGCCGCATGCCTAGTGCAAGGCCCTGGCAGAGCCGGCAGAGACCGTGGCACATGATCCGCATTCAAGGTCATTCCTACTCTGAACTTCCTCTGGCTTTTTCTGCCACGACTGCTCCAAAACTACTCCCAAGTGCCAACCCCTCCCCCGCTCCCCCATTATTACACACAGAGGCTTGCCTACCTTCCGGTTTCCAACAAAGAGCAGAGTGAGTTGGTGGATGGAGCCCCCGTTCTTCATAAGCTGTTTCTTGAGGCTCTGTGGAGATGGCAGCGTCCAGCCGGGGGTGGATCCTTGCATTTCAGTGTAATTCAGGCTGGTGTCGGAGGTGAAGCAGTGGCCCGCTCGGGGCTCCTGAAGCAGGCTGCCTTCACTGTGCGTCCGACGCCGCAGAGAGTTCTGCACACTCAGGCTGCAGGCCGGCTGACACACTGACGTTTCAAACAAGCTGCAGCGTTTTCTGTCCCCCCTGGCCAGATAGGCCTCACCACTGTCCTCCTCCTCCTCCTCCTCCTCAGCCAGTTCCTCTGGACCGCTGAGCTTGAGGCTGGTGAGGCAGGTCAGGTCTTGATGAAAGGCACCGTCCACCTGCAACTTTGGGATTGCAAAGGCAGTGGAGCCGCTGCAGGGCGCTTCCTGTTCCTTCCCTTCGAGGTGGTGGGCCTGCTTCCCCTGTTCCATCGCGATGCCCTGGACTTCTGCCACAGCTTCCGCTGTCAGTCCCTCTATGGAGTTGTCTCTCACAGGGTAGGCAAGGCAGCTGCTGTCGTCCTGCCCCACAGATGGCACTGCCCCTAATTTCACAGCTTCTGGCTCAAGCATCTGCGGGAAGCAAAGGAAAAGGGAAATGAGCCCACTGTATGGTTGGAAATGGGATAAGAAGTTTCCAGCGTCCCCAGTGACCCTGGGAAGGTCAGGCAGAGGCCGATGTTGCTGAACAACCACAGATGCTGAAGCACCTGGGGACCACCTTCCTCCGATACACCGGGAGTATTTCCTCCCTTCCTTCCAATGAGGGGGACAGTGGTTGAGAGCACAAAGGCTGCTTCTTCAGGGGCGCTCGCCTCCCATCCCAGTCCTTGCATAAAACTCCCCCACCACCACCACCAATTCTATATTTTGGAACCATAAAAGTGTGGCACAGAGCACTAACATTAACTAGCATACAGGCCAGCATATATTACACTTTCCATATAGGAGGCTGCTCTAAGTGAGGTCACTAGCATCTGTTCTGACCACAAGCAATGATCTTCTGACCCCCCCTCCCACTTCCAAATTATATTCTGAAAATCACTATCAAAAGCCCATCAGGAAGAAGCTCCCCCTTCCTGATCGATTGCCCCATAAGAAACCAAGGAACTGGCAAAGAAGCTGGGATAGGGTATGGCAGGCAGCTCCCCAAAAGAGTCAGGGGCTGGTCTTTAAATTCCTAGCACAGACGCTGGGATGCTTGGCCTCTGCAACCTCTCAGGGTGGTGAGTGACCACCTTGTGAGAACTTATGGATTGTAGGTGCTTCTGCCTGCTATTTCTGGGCGAGTGGTTTGCAGGTAAAGCCATGGGAGGCAGTAATTACCTGAGAACGGCGCCACCAATTTCTCTACAAACCATGTGACTCACACCTCCTTGTCCAAATGAACGGTTTTGACTTTCAGGGGCCCAAAGCTAATTGAGATCTACTGCCGATATTTACGCACACCTGATCTGACAGTCTGCTGCCGGCGTTCCCTGTCTTGGCTCTGTGTCCCACACTAGCTGAAATGCTTAATTGGACAACTGAGGTCCGGATGTAAATAAGGTTTTAGCTCAGGAAACAAACAGAGCTGGTCAGGTTCCAACCTGTCTCCTTTGCTCAGTGGGAGCAAATTACAAGAGATATTCCTTTGGGAGGGGGGGAATGGGGGGCAGGAGACATAGAAGAGGGATGTAAACACCCTGTTGCTCAAGCAGCCTTTGTGCCACATCATGGAAGGGGCCTGGGGACTTCCCCTCGGAATGGAGACATATCACACACAACGTATCCCGTTTTTCCACTGAGCTGAGCTGACTCATAGGGTTGGCCTTTGGAGGCTGCAGATGCCACAGGAGGTAGATTTTAAACACTTCATATTCTCCCCAATTTACCAGAACACATGCAGTTAAAATCCGCTTGCTCTCCGTCCGGAAAACAACTTATAGGAGACACGAGGAAAAAATAAAATCGTATCCAAGATTCCAAATTTCTGCTTCCAATATCCCCAGAAATGTAGCAATGGGCGACCAATGGCTACTGCTGGTGGTAAATATATAAATATGCTCTGGCACTCTCACATCCAGGGGTTTTAAGGCCAGAAGGCTTAACTCTGGTCCAGCAGAGCCATGACACAGAACCTCTTCAGCATTTCTAGCAAATAGAGAAGTGAACTTGCGATGCTTAATGGGGTGATCAACTGGATCAATTTCAACGTTTTAAGAGACAAAAAATGGCCCTACAGACCTAAGCCAGGTAAAGCCGAGTTCTCTTGCTTGGGTTGGGCCTTAGAACGCTTAAAGTAATGACGAAGGGGGGCATTTGGCGTGTGGATGGACGTATTCCTGCCTCCTCTGGAGGTTACACAAGGACAGCACAAGCCCCAACTCTGCCTCAGCTGTCGAAGCTCATCTTCATGGTGTGTGGGGGAGGGACAGAGGGGGGTGGTGAGGGGACCAGGGCTGAACTCACCTGTCCCAGTTAACCTACTGGTGGAACAGTTTCCACAAAATCTTTTTATGTTCCTGTACCCCCCTTAAGCCATCCTCCTCCTCTTCCTCCTCCAGCTGCCACCAGCCACTTTGCCACCTGCTCCCCACCACTTTTCTGAGATGCCCCGTCCTTCTGACATTCCCCGAGGCTGTTTTTGGGTCACCAGTCCTCTCCCTCTGCCTTCAGCCACTGTCTGCACAGAGAAATTATCTTTCTTAGCCTGTAGATCAAGCAAGCTGAAATAGTTGCTTCTCATTTATTTTGGTGCCAGAAGCAGATTCTTGCTGAAGGAAGGATGAAACACATGAAAACCTAGTCTGCTCATTTAGTGTCATGGCTAAGCCCCCTGTCCTCAGCCTTGTGACATCACTCCTTCCACAAAGAGCCTTGGTGGCGCAGCGGACTAAACTGCTGTTAAAGTAGCACTTAGCTGCCAACTGCCTGCAATTACTGCGAGTTCAATTCTCACCAGGCTCAAGGTTGACTCAGCCTTCCATCCTTTCGAGGTAGGTAAAATGAGGACTCGGTTTGTGGGGGCAATAAGCAGACTTTGTATAAAATAGAACACCGCTTAGGGGGGGCCCGAAAGCCCTATTAAGCAGGTATATACAAAAGTATGAAGGCTATTGCTTAAAAGCATTGTAAGCTGCCCTGAGTCTCAGGAGAAGGGCGGCATATAAATCGAACTAATAAAATAAATAAATAATAAAGCATGACTTCAGAGAGGACCACCACAGACATTGTTCTCTTGTCACAACTACTAAATATTCTTGCCCAAACTAAGTACAAAACACAGAGTCCCCCCCCACCCCGACTTTAACCTTAGTAGGGAGGGGCTATCTGCACACTGTTCTGTTTCTTCAGGTGGGGAGGCAGAGTACAAACCTGTCAGAAACAGAAACAATCCCTAATCACAGTACAACATCAATACAATCTGAAACATCTAAGAAGATTCCTGGGTGTTTTATCTCCTACCTCTGCAAGAGATTCCTGGAGCCCCTTCCAATTCACAGGCCTTGAAGCGTGTGCCCTGCAGTTGCCAAGGCCTTCCCTGAAAGGCTGGGAAGGGAAGAAAGGGGCACCCCAAGCCTAGCCTTTTTGGGGGGGGTCGTTTCCAAGATGCCTCAGATTAGTCTCATCCAGGGTGAGCAGGAGAGGAGGCAGCCGCTGTCTAAAAGGCGGGGAGCTGCCGAGGACGGCGTCCAGGCAGAGGGGAGGGTTACCCCAAATAGGGGCTGCCCCCAGAGTGGTGGCTCTGGCTGCTGCTCATCAGCTCTGCCTTCCCTTTTGTGCGGGAGCCTGTGAGAAAGCAATAGTTGCTGAGGATTTTATTGGCCTCCCTAAGTCAGATCATCATTGGATTAAGTGCAGCCAGGAACTCTGCCAAAAAGCAGCCAATTCTGATTATTCTCCTAAAACGCCAGAGGCAGGATTGACATCAGCTGGACAGAGGCAGGCACCGCTCGCTCCCACCCTTCCTGGGAACAAAGGGGAGCCTTCAGAAAAGAAAGAATATGGCCGCACAAGGGCCAAAGCCGGCCGGTAGGCCCCACGGACCCCCTTCAGAGAGGAAGGAAGCTGCTGATTCTGACTTGGCCTGGACCAGAGCAGGGCTCTTCTTGGGACCATAGAGTTCATGCGCTAGGAAGGGTCCTCCCTGACCAGCTTTGCCCCCTCCCTGTTGAGTGATGACCCCTCTAACTGCGCTAACTGACTGCACTCAGTCATGGGCCTTTTCCTGCCAGCCCTTCCTCTTGCTGCCCCTTACCTTGCTTTCCGCTGGAGGGGCTGTCGGAGTTGTTCTTGGCTGCTGCTTCAAGATGTTATCAATCAAACACCAGCACACCCTGGTCTTCTGCTCGTGGGAGTGAGCCTGCAGGCTGAGCACACACTCCAGCTCCTAGCACACAGGGACACAGAGGCCGGGAGAAGTCGAGGAGAGCAAGGCCCACCTTTCACCACATCCATGGGCTGCCTTCCTCGGCGGCGGCTTTTCTCTCTGGGATACCAGCTGATCAGGAGCCCTTTACAACAAAACTAGCTGCATGCACAACCTCCCAAGCTGAATGCCAGGAAAGAGTCCCAGGGGGCTTTTACTCAAGTCTGCTGGTTTGCTTTTCCTTTGCAGAGTCAGTGTCCTCCTTGCCCTGCCGGAAGCGGCAGCAGAGTTGCCAATGCAGCTCCCCTCTCCTGTATCTGTGGAGGGCAGCACTGAGCAAGGGTCGCGGCTCCCCTCCCAAAGGACTCCAGTTGGGAAAACAGGCACTGCACACTCTCAAGGGCACATGTGTGTTATTAGTAGCCTGCAGCATCAGCACCTTCTTAGCTTGAAGCAATTAAAAGGGATGATTTAAAGAAATGGATTCAGATTTATAGAGGCTATACGTAAGCCCAACAAAGCTATAGATGCAGATAATACAGCATTTAATGCAGACTGTCCCTGAGAAGCTGATGGGGAGCTTCCCATGCACTCTCCATCACAGGCAATCCAAAAGCCTGTCCCGGACACACACACACACCCGCCTCAGATAATGGAATTAACGGCTTGCATCAATTCAATTAGGCCGGCCAAGAGCAAAGCTCTGCAGATCGAATGCTGGCAAAGCAGAGGAGGCTCTTTGCAAGTGGCGCCTTTTCCCTGGGCAAAAGAAAAACCAAGCCACCGTCTTCCCTTCCTCCAAGTCCTCCTGGTATCATAAACCCATTTTTTGCTCAGTTTAACTGGGGCAGTGATACCTTTTATTCAAATACCTCAGTAGGCTCAAGATTCCTATTTAGCCCCTTAACGTGCTCCAAAACCGAGACAATCAGCTCAGCCTTGGAGGAGGGGGGGAAGGTTTTGAAGGAATAAAATGGTGGCTTAAACCTCGGCTCAAGGTAACCATTTTGCCCATCAGCCCTGCAGGCCCACAAGTTCGTCCACCAATCCTGGAGATATTCTGGAAGGACTGCCTAGGATAAACCTGGTCTGCAGGTTCCCTCTGATCATCTGGTCTAGTAGAAGGGAAGTAATAACGAGTTGTGAGTTGTGTGTTCTTCAATCAGGGCTTGAAACATGATGATTTTTGCTAAACCCAAAAATGTACTTGCCCTCCCCCCCCCTTTTACTTGAACCATATTATTCATATTCAGAGCCCTAAGATGACGTCTTACAGCCCGCTGTCACATTGCTGTCACATGACCTTTTCCGCATTCGCAGAGCTGGGTGGGCGTGGTGACGCATCTGGCCCGCAGACCGCCAGTTCAACACCCCTGTCTTACAGGAAGGAAACTTATTGCATCATGGACACTAACTACAAACACCACAAGGACAAAGACCCAATAAACTCTCTTCCTTATTTACTGCTAGTCTTCGAGGTTGCAATATTTTCTGAGGCTTTCTTCTAGGTAGAATTCAGACTGCCACCACCTCTCTGTGACCCTCTGGGTAGAGTAGCTTCTAGTCCTATTTCTTCTGCCAGCTACAGAAAGAGGCTGATGGAAGCAGTAATTGTAGCTGGAAGCTAATTTGCAGGTAACGCTCACCTCTGCTAGATAAAGAATGCAGAATTTCAAATCTTCAGAGGAATCTGCAAGAAAAGTAGATTAAAGGGGTCATTTAACCTTCTTTGACTTGACAAATGAAAAATACTTTTTTGGCCAAGCACTCAGTATGCTGTAGTTGTTTCCATGGAAAAGGGAAAGCTGGAAAACACAGCATTTCTAAACGTAAGAAGCTCCAAACAGGAGCCCTGGAAGCCGACCTAGCCAAGTGGTGAGTCCGCTGAGCTACCCAGCCCAGCATTCTCTGCTGGAGACACACACCTAGGACACACTCAATGGATCAGATGGACATACAAAACATAGAAAACTACTTGACAACAGTGCCTAATCTAGCCAGGTGGTCTTAAACAAAAAAGGTCCCTTATTCCACTTCCCTTGACCTGGTGCTGCTGGGACTCATTAATCCCACGGGCCAAGCAGAGATTTTTGGTGACAGCAGCGGTCAGTTCTTATGACAAGATGAATTAATACATGATGCCAAAATTACTGTTGAGCATGGCCATCTTCAGGGAAAGGAAGGCTGCCAGGGAGCACCTGAATCCTTAAGCAATTTATGCACCTGGTTTAGAAAAGTGAGGTCCAAGGAGGAGCCGCAGTGAATCCCGTGAGATTCCCTCCCTCATGGGGTCTCCTCACCCATGAGAACCATCACCAGAGAATCTGCCATGGCCACTTAAATGACTCTCCGCCCAAAAAAGGACAAGCCAGGGTCACGTGGCCTTCGATGCAGTCACGGCTTCCCTCTTTGAGGGTTCAGGAGTACTGAAACAATACGAGAAGGGAAGGCCTGGTCTGCCCTTCAGCTCCTGGGACAAAGGGAGGGAAGGTATGTTGCAGTCCGTAAATGCAGACCATGACCGGATCTTCCCTGGGAGGCCCATCACTTCCTGCTGGCCCAAGGACGGGCTTCATGGAGGAGCCATTCTTTCACCCGTGTTCTGGACTTACCCTCTTGCAGCCGCACGTCCTTCAGGTAAAGCGGGTTGCGAAAGACATTACATTGCCCAGGCTCCTCTTCCTGGGTGAAGAGCAGTAAGTCTGAATAAACGAAGAGGGTCACCTGGACAAGGCAGAAGGAAAAAAGAAAAGTCTCACAGGGACCTAGTGCCAAACGTTGAAGCAAACTAAGGACTGTTTCTGCAATTGATTACATTTGGTTTAGTGTATCAGCCCCCATTTCAAATCTCTTTTGCTCTTTGCCCTGACTGGGGCCGGCGTTTCCCTGAAAAGGGCTTCTGGAGTCACCCCTTGGCGTCTCATTTCGGAGCTTATGGGCCTAGAAGTCCCCGTGCAACAGAGCTCCAAAAACTCCCCAGAATTTCAAAGATTATCACTGTGGGAAGAAAAATCAAGTCTAGACAGGATGTGACTGAAACTAGCATAAGGTTTAGGGAATGGACATTTCTGGCAGAAGGCCACACAGTGCACAGCCAACTGCCCCTTCATTTTTAGCGGAAAAAAAGTACGATGTTATCACAATTCTGAGCAAAATACTGGAAGCAGCTTCCTTACAAAATACATACAATGAAATCACCCTAAGACCACCAGACGTGACAACCTCGCAGACACATTCCAGCCAAATTCAGGAATTACAGTAGCAGCAAAAGAATGGCCATTTTCGTTTCAGAAATACTAGCCGAGGCAAAATATATATATATATGTTATTGGAAGCAAAAGGAGAAAAGTGGGCACCCCTCGCCACAGCAATGCAAACAGCATCTCAGCACACTGATTAGCCAGTCAAAAGGAAAACTGCCCATTCCAAACAAGTAATCTCATCCATCGGCTGGTAGCAGAAATCATCCATGGGTGCAGCAATGCACGAGGGTTCAAAAGCAAGGGTATTAAAATTGCAAGGTCTCCGGAAACATTAGTGTAAATATTAACCACACTAATATCTCACGGTGAACCTACGGGGCTTTGGAAAGAAAAGCAGGAGCCCCTGAGCTTGTGGAGCAGCTCCAGAAGGCGACTGTCCCAAGCAGGCCACTTGAGAAAGCCGCAGCAGCAGCACTTCCAAAGGAAAGCCAGGCCTGCAGAGCACAGGAGCAGGAAGACCAAAGGGGCAGCAGGTTGCTGCCTGGTACGGTCTGCCCTGGCACTAGGCCTCTCGAGGGTTAGGGTCAGGGCAGCCGAGTCTCTATGGCCAAGAAAGGCCTCTGCTTTTCAGGAGAAGCCCTGGCGTAAACCAGAATGGAGAAGGGCCTCCGTTTCTGTATTTATTTAAATACAAGTTTATCTGTAAATTAAATAAATTATTTGGCTAAATTGAAAGATTTCTACACCTTCCCGCATCTCAACCTTGAGACTTTGAATAAAGACGTTGTGAATATCAATTGCGAATATATCACAAGATACCCTTTGTGCCCTCTGAGATTATGGCACTTCGGACAGCTCCTGTTGGGTTCTTCTTCCTCGCCACAGAGTTCAGTATTAATAAATATCATTTCCTGGGATGGCAGCCAGATACTCACCTCAGTCGGTTTGTTTCGAGTCTCGTGAAGGAGCAGCTCTTCTGATAAAAGCAGCGTCCGAGCTGGGCTGCAAAGATCCAGAGGCTAATGGAGTAAGAGAAACACACACAGACACACAACTCAGAGACTCTGACAGAGAGAACTCTTTGGAGGGCTCCATCAATTTCTTCCTTGACAGCTGCAAGCCCCTCATAACCAATGGAAAGTCCAGAATCCAGGAAATCAAAAAACAAAACAAGCGGGAGAGCCGGCAGGTCACATAATAACTATAGAAAGAATTCATTTTTTGGGAGATGCGATGATCATCGTTTTGCTCTTCAATACACACTGAGTGCAAGGAGCAGTTGAAACTAGCCTGGTGTGTGGCTGAGTAGAAAACATTGGCAAGGCGGCAAGAGAAAGGAGGCACAGAGCTTACATGCCCAAATGGGCATCTCTGTCTGAGGCAGGGGGACTCCATCTGCCCAGAGACCCCAACACAGCCTTCCTTCTCTGTGCCTCCACCCTCCGTGCCTAGCTGGAGGAAGAAGCTGCCTGGGACAGCTACACTGGGACTGAGATGACCAGGACTGCCATGGCACAGAAGATAGTCCAGACTCTTCCCAAAGGTTTCTGAAAGAGGAGAGGCTTCTTCTCAGGAGCAGTGGCCGTTCATAGAGGCAATACTGGTTGCCCTGCGTATCAAATTTTCCCAGCTACCTTCTGCCCACCGTGTTTCTGTTCAGGGCTTAACTCCCACCTGGCTTCCCTGGCTGTTTCTATTCCTATGTGCAAACTCTGCTGCTTTGGCAGAGGCCCAATCAACTGGCATTAACCACGGTAATTATATGATATGCCAAGAATCTGCATGCCACTAAACACCAACTGCTGGAGGCTGCACCAAGGCCGTGTCTAGGCGCTGTTTTTTTTTTTTTTTTTGCTGCATGCACAACAGTGCGTACAGACTACTCGACAACAAAGTGATGGTTCTCACCGGAGAATGGAGGCAAGTTAAAAACCAACAAGAATCCTGCTTTCAGAGCCTCGCTAGCGTGTTTCCTGGGGCACACAGGGGGCCATTAGGGGAAAGAAAAGGCTTGGCTGGGTGGGCTATGACTTCTTGCCTTCCTCTGCCCTGCCTAGGCCCTCCTCCTTGGTAATGCTTTGTGCCCTGTCTTTCCAGGGACATGAAGTACCACAATCCTTGCTGCTCCTAGGGCTCCCCGAAAGAGCCTTGCAGTAGAAGAGGAGGTGGCTGTTTCCATCCAGCAGTCGTCCGGCAAGCATATTTTGTAGGGGACCTGGACTCTGAATCAGACGTCTAGAAGGGTGACAGGGGACAGATGGCAAGCGAACCCTGATTGAGGACAGCTGGGTCAGAGAGAAATGCACAGCTCAGAGAAAAGTAACTTCCCAGGTATGGAATCTTCTGAGACTCACCTGCACGAAGATGGGGAAAACCAGCACTTTGGGCGCAAGCGTTACATATGTGCCGTAACTGGAGGATGGGATATGGGATCCCATCAGAGGGCAGCTCTGGGGACTGCTTCCATGGCTCTTGATGGTCTGCACCGTCTTCATCAGCCGGGATTTCTTGCCACAAGATTCTCCTTTGCACACATTGCCTGGATGTTAGGAACAAAAATGGGGGAGGAGTTCTGTTCTCAAGACTACCAGTCTCGTTAGGACACTGAATGCAGCCAGAATTACAAGTTCTGCAGATCCTATGTGGTATTTTATGAAATAAAAGACACCTGAAGGTCCAACCCCTATCAGTTCAGTTTGGCCCTAGGCATCACAGAGTCACCAGCTTCCTTCTTCAGGTTGGATACTAAGAAACTTAAAACACTGAGTAGAAATGATGGATCAGGACAGCCCTCGGCTCACTCTAACTGCCTCAAGAGGGAGGGGCAAAACTGTCCTCATACAACATTCCTCAGAAGCGGGTCTGCCGGCCGTGGATCTGTTTTCAGTAGGCCCTGCTAGGCAAAGGAGGCAAGGAGCACCAAAGCTTCCAGGATAAAAAAGCAACGGTTCCTTGAATTGCTTACCCCATTAGAGCCCTTGAGCTGCACTAGAAAGCAGAGAGAAAATCCTCAAAACAGACTGTGAAATATTTCATAGTAGCTTTGTGCACAATTATCAAGGAGACACTGATTTATCTATCCCTTTGCAGGGCTGCAGTACAAGGTTTTTCCAAGAGTCTACGGTAGAGGAAGTGATGCCTAACGGAAAAGCCCTGCTTAGGTGAATTCCCCACACAGACATTCTCGTTCCAGGGAAGCCACAGAGCCACATGGCATGGCTGGCACTGCTGTCACTACTCCCTGTTTTCGTGCTCGCCTTGACAGAACAAGAGTGCAAATACCGCCACTTTGGTCCCTCTGCCCCTTTCAGTGGGAGCAACAGGGGCTGACAAGAAGCTCCGTCCCAGGAGACTGGACGATACTCAGCCTATAGACCAACCTGGCCATAAGACACGGGCAGCTACGGGCAGGACACGGGACCACAAGAGACGGCCTGTTTGGCCCGCCAAAAATCAGTGGCCACTTCCGGTATTTCCATCTACTAGGAACACAAGGAAGACCATGCCAGTTCACCCTGTGCACCTCAGACTAGACAGGTTGTGGCTCCAGATCTTCTAGAATAATGTTGTATGTTTCTACCTCCTTCCCTTGAATCAATCTGCTGAGGTGACAGCTGAGATCAAAGGCTGAGTTTGGGGAATCTCATGAAAGCAGAGAAAACTCAGGTTGAGGCACTGGATGGAACGTGCCGAGGAGCAGGGGAGCTTTTGGCCTTGGAACTGGAGCAGGCAGCTGGGCACTTCTGTCCTAAGCCGAAAACATGGCTGAGGAAAAGAGATAAGGTGGCTCCAATTCCATGAAGCTGTCAAGAAGAGCTCACTTGCCCACCGCTGGGTCTGCCCCTGAGGCTCCCTCGGCCAGGGGCAGAACAGCTCAAGATTCAAAGGAACTTTCCCACCGAGGTTCGTGCAGCAACACAGACTTATGATGCTTATGAGCCACCCACCGGACTCTTCCTCCTTGCCGCTGCTGGGGCTCAAAGGCCACAGTCACGGTAAACTACAAGGCCAAATCCAAACTGGACATGCCCACCTCATCCATAATTAAGTCTTAATCTGTGCCAGCCTTGGCCTCAGATGCCCTCTTGCTGCCCTGCCTCTCCAGGACGGCCCCTTCCTAATAAACCCAGGTATGTTCAGCCTGCCTGGGAGTATCCCAGTTCATGAAGTACCTCCCTGCTCTCATCCTAGACTGCCTCACAAGATGCCCGCAGAACAAAATGGGGACAGACAGCCAAGCAGCTCTAACTCAGTATTGTAAAAGAAAGACGGGTTAAAAACGTAACATATTCATCATACAGAAACAAGCCAGCTGCAATTATTCTGCAAGCCTCATGCGTTCAATGCAAAACCCTGTTTCCTATCCTACAGCCATTGTGACAAAGACACCAGAGCAAACTTTGCCAGCTTCCCCCAGGCCCTTTCTGCCACCCTCTGGCTCGTCCACGAAGACGAAGCGGGAACATGGAAAGCCACTTACCTCCGGGAGCTTTGTTCTCCTGGCAGACTCGCCTCAGAAACTGCAAGACACAAGCACACAGCCAGTTCATCCCCTCTGCTTTTATGACACAGAATGATTACCTCCTATGTCTAGCTGGTCAGGGAGATGACTGAGTTGGATTTTTGCCCCCACCTCTAGTTTTCTGCCTGCTATCTCACTGGAGAATGTTCAGTCTGAACTTTCCAGAAATAGTTTTCCACATTGCTGAACTTTTCCTTAGTGGGAGAGGGTTCTCATTTTGATACCTGCCAGGCAGTTCAAAGGATAAACATAGCTCTTCGGAGTCAGCTGAACTCCAACTTTCTCTCTCTCTCTTTTCCATAGGTGCCAACATGTGAGAGAAATGTGTCTACCACATATAGAAAAACTGCCGCGGCCAGCTGGCTATCAATCTCCCGTTTTCCATACCTGGCCCCCCGGATTAAGTGGGGTAAGGATGATGTAGTTCTTGTCTGTACCACTGGAGGAAGGAGGTCGGGAAGGCGGAGGCATGGTGTGCTGCTGGGGAGCCTTGCCAAGCTCAGTGTATCGCTCCCAACCGTTGAGCGCAAACTCATGGTTCCCATCGTACAACACGTGACAGCTTTGCCGATGCTCGGGGGGCCACGATCGCCCGGTGCTGCTCTTCTCCCGCCGGGTGGATGGAGGCTGCAAATCGTAGGTGGATTTGCAAGAGGGGCGGCGGGGGAGCCCTTGCAGGCCGGCTTTGACTTGCGGCACAATGCGCCAAACAAGGAGGAGGATCTCCTGGGGACAGTTCCTAGAAGCAAAGGCAAGGTGGTCACTGATTGGTTGAGCTACGATCCCGGCTCCTTCCTGGAGTGACTCCCTGAAGGCAGTCAGCAGGGAAAGGTGCACGGACCGCAATACAAAACAAACCAGAGGCTGACCTTAACCCCACGGCCTGACTCGGGCCCTTCATCCCCGCCTGCCATCCCTTTCCACACGCAATTCATAGTCACCGAATCTCATGGGCCAATTCTACGCATTTCCAGTCTTCGACAGGCTGCTGATTGAGCCGAAGCACCGTGTCCAGTTGCTGCAAGCCAGCCTTCTCTGCTGGGCCACCTGGAAAGAAAAGAGAGGGAGCTAACCTAAAATGAGGTCACCCCTGAGAACTGGATGATTTTCACCTTAACGGCATTCAGGAGGGCCTATAAACCTGGTCTCGGGGTGAGGTGGATGGAGCCCCCGGTTTCGGATCTGTTTGTTGTCTGGATGGCCATCTTGTAAGAACACATGCCAGTAAAGGAAGCCAGGCAGCCCCCTCTGCAGATGAAGCCAACCCATCCTTACCAGAATCAACCGCTTGGACCCGAACAGGGGAGTCACAACAGATGGTGAAACCGAACCCATTCTTCCCACGCGGGATTGTAATCTGAAACAAAATAAAGAGTTTTACACACTTTTAAAAACTGGTTAAAAATGAATCATAACAATGAAGATTAAAAAATGTAATGATTTCAGTATCTGAATAGCTTAACATTTTAATTAATGATCTTTCTTTTCCTTTTTCCCCCGTTTACAATTGCACATACAATTGCTATATTTTTAACGCTATTTAAAATCCCTTTTTAGGATTTTGTTCTCCCTTTTTTGTTTTAGTGCAGTACATGATTTTTTTCCCTGTTTTTAAGTAAACTGTATATTATTAGTTGGGTGGGTTTTTTCTGAAGTATATTATTTTTTCTACAAAAATAATATATGCTTGCCCAGTTTACATAAACCATTACATATCAATATGTTGTGTCTATTAAGAATGTTAATTGTAACTTTTTAAAACTCAAAACAATATTAATATATTAAAATATGTATTACTTCTGAATCTCACGGTAGAGTTGAAAACAACAAAACTACAGTATACTACGGCCAGAAGGTGTTCATCCAAGGGACTTAAATATGCTATCATTGATCTTCTAACAAAAATACGTAACCCATTCTTCAAAACCATTACCAAACAACAATGATAGGCAGTGAAGGTAACAGCATTTTTTTTTAAAAAAAGGAACCGGACAAAGAAATAATTAGAGCCTAGATATCTTTACTTGTTCTGGGTAAACTGGTACAAAAACATTATTAATGGTAAAATTATCAAGCTGTATGAATTAGACTCATGTTTTATTGGTAACTAGGTATCTTTTACTTAAAAAAGAAAAGTAAAATTAATTCAATAAAGAAATCAGAGTGTTTGCTCAGATTGCCATCAGGAACAGAAGAAACTCCAGCTGACTCTCCATCAAATAAACCCCGAGACGTTTTTCTTTTCCCACAGAACAAACTCAGGAGTATATTCCATGGGAGACCCTCCTGATTCCATAGACACCCATTGGGCTTCCTGTTTGACCAGCAAAAGGGAAAGAACTGCCCTTCCGATTTCGGAGAAAGGCCGCCTGGGGGAGGAGCCCCATAGGGCTTCCAGGAAGCTCTTTCCTGAGGAAGAAACCAGCACGGCACTTCCCACCTTCTGAGCTGCATCTTTTATGTACCAACTAAAGGTAGGATAGAAGCGTGACAGATTCAACGGGCTCATTACCAACTAATGCACATAAGAAGAGGATATTAGCCTCTGTAAATACAGCAAGGGAGCTGTGAACAACAACAACTGGATGTTTGTAGCTGGATATATCCTGCAATCCTATGCACTTACTTACTGAACCCTTGCTTATTTATTTACTAAGTAAAATCTGTTAGGTTTAGCGGGATTAAACACAACAGATTTTATTTAGGTGTGTATGTCTTTTTCTTTCTGGATGGTTTAGATCCCCCCCCATCTCCACAGCTAAGGAGGACGAGCTGTCTGCATGAAGCCTGTAGCCCACCTCTGGTATCAAGCTCCTTCTTCAGCCCCCGAACAGCCGGTGGCTCGAATGCCCCTCACACCAAGACCACGGAAATAGAAAAGAGTCAGAAATCTTGCTCAACAGTGGCAGCATCAGGAAGACCAAGCAGGTCGGGCCCCGCCTAAGGCTGGCCCTTTCCACATAGAGAGCCCACACACACAAGAGCATCTCTTCTGTCTTCCTAGCAACACTAGAGGGACATCCAAGAAGCCTCGTCATTGAGGCTAACTCTTGAGAAGATAATGGGGCCAGAGGACGAGACGGCATTTCCAGGAAAGTGTCAGCAGCTAGAAGTAGATGAAAGAGCTGCCTGCTTCCCCTGGGGACAAAGGGAGGAGGCCAGGCAGAGGATGGGGAGGGTTACAGGGGCATATTTGCACCACCGCACAGCCGACCTAACCTGTGGAAGGCTGCCTAGCTCATCGCTCTGTCTCAGCACTCGCTTGGCCCTGGTCCTGGGGGGAAATCAGAAGTGGGTTCTTTGCTTCCAAGTCACAGGCAAGCTGCTCTTTGGAGCAAGGAGAGTAAGCTTCTCCTACCTCACAAGTATGTGGAAACTCTGCTGACTGAAAGGCAACAGGCCCAAGGGAAATCAGGTTCGCTGGTTTCTGTCCAGGAGGCCAAGTTGCCTCTCCCCCATCTAGCTCCCTCAGAAATACCCCCCAGAAGGCTGAAGCCTCAGCACAGCCCAGAGAAGGGGGCCTGGTGCCCCGCTGTAACCGACCTGCTGGTAGCGCCGCTCCGAGCACCCTCTGCACAGTCCATGGAAACGGCTCATGTCCGATGCCTCAGGGCTTGTGACCAGCCCATCAAGGCACAGAGATCTCCCACTCTGCCTGACCAGCGAGAGGAGGACCCAGCCTCTGTGGCCCCACACGGCTGCCCTGGGAACTCAGGAGCTCACAGAAGAATGGCAGGAAGCCACCCCTCACCTCCCAGGCGGCTGCGGCCATGTGCAGCTTTGTGATAAGCCCAGAGGTTTCCTGAGAACTTGGAGGGAGAAGGAAGGCGAAAGAGTTCAGAGTCAGATTCCTGCCAGCAGCCCTTGTTCTGTCCCAGCTACACATCAGCCCTTGGAGAAGCACCACCGGACCTTTCCCAGCATCAGGAAAAGGGGGGGGGGGCGGTGTGGGTTTTTGCCATACTTTCACATTCATGAGGAAGGGAAAGAACTGTAAATAATGAAGGCGCACATTCTCCCCGTACTTTTCACGGCCGCTTAAACCTTCATCTGTAAACAAAAGCGTCACAACCTGCTGTTTGATGCAGGCTGATTTTGGGGGCGAGAACAGTTTAGAACTCCCAGCACTGCTGGGTCCTTCTCCGGTCCAAGATAGGTCAGGGCACCTCAACCAAGAGAAGCGGGGGAGGTCTTTCCCCCTGAAGCAGCAGCAGCCTCTTTCGGGTCGCAGGTCGTGAGCTGTGACCTCCAGAGGCTGAGGGCTCCCTCCAAATCCCTCAGAAACACTGAATTTATCCGTGTTTCCAGTTGGGCAGTTCCTTTGCTCCTAGCACTTGCCCCAGAAAATGGGCCTCCTTCCCGTTTGATTCCTTCCTTCCTCAGCCCTCCTGGGTGAATGGAGTCAGCAATTTGGCCAAAGAAACTGGAGCCCACAAGCTAGAATGGGGCTCGGCTCGGCTCCTCCAGCCGGCTTCCACACACCTTGATCTGTTCCATGTCCTGCTGCAGCTGCTGGTTCCCCAATAAGGCAGCCGGCTTGGCTAACGTCATCTCTGGTAAAAAAGAGAGAGGGAAGGGCACAAAGAGGGAATCCGGACAGGCCCTTCTGGCCTTTGGCAGCAGGGGGGCTCGTTGTGTCCTGCCCTCCCAATGGGGAGGGGTACATGAGGGCCTCCTCTTCGTCCTGCTGCTACCCATGGATCATGTGCCTGTTAATAGTTTACCAATCTAAAAGCATCCAATACAACAGAAATCAGAGGAATAAAGGTAAAACCCTAAAAAGGATTAAGCAACAAGACTAAAATGGTTCTACCGTACTATTAAAATTGGTAGATTTACATTTTATGCAAATCAGTTAATCCCCATATAGTTTACAGTACAGAAATGTTTTACTAGTTTCCCCCCCCCCGCCCCCAAAGTCTTCTGATTTGTGTCTTGAAACAGAGAAAAGGACAAAGGCAGCATTGCAGGTTGTTCGTGCCACCAATAAACGTTCTCTCCCTTCTGTCTGTTTTTTTTTAATCTCATGAAAATGTAGAAGTGTACGAAAGCATGTTCTTAAGGGCCCTTTTTTTGGATGCGATCTACCAGACGGGGAGGGAGTGGGCATCTGTGCTTTGGGTTCCTAAAAGGTCCAACCCCACCTAAGAGGGTAGGTGAGACTCCTCTGCCTGAATCCTGTCTGGCCTGCCTTGACAGTCTCGGAACTTCTCTGGAGAAAGAAAGCTCTCCAAGTCCTCTCCCCTGGACAGACCTACCTTGGCTTCGCTTGAGCTGCCGTGTGCCCACTTTCAGGTGCTTTGTTCTGCCCAGATCTTCTCCCAGTAAGTAATACCAGCCACAAATTTTCTGCAGGAAGGAAGGGGGGAGAAAAAACACCAGCTGTAGATTTTACACTCTTTCCTGTTTGGTGCTAATGTGCTACTAAAAAAAGAAATCCCCATGAAAGTCTCTGCATAAAGGCTAGAGGGCTTCGGCCACTAAAATTCTACACATCTTGCTTACACCTCTTATCAGCTTGGCTTTCAAAACAGGCAGCAGAGGGCAGTGTTTGCCTCCCAGCCTCATTTCCTCCAAATTATACTGTAATTACACTGTAAGCAAGTGAAAAAGATAATTAAAATGCCTCAAAAAAAATCCCATTTGTTACTCTGAAGATCTCGATCTAGAATTTTTTTTAAAAAAATTATCTCTATTAAGATTGGTGTCTGCCTTGAGAATTTTAAGAGGGGAACACGATATCCTTTAACTTAGAATATCAACTTGTAAATTGCTGTTAAGTTACTGGCTTCATTTTTACCAACAGGGGTGTCATCTTCTGGATGCTGCAAGGGACCGTAGTTTGAATCCAGCCCTGCCAGGAAGGTAGAGAGCCCCCCCACCCATGTTCTCACTCATCATACAGGGATCACCATATTGCTCTCAAGGCCTCCCTTACCCGATACTAAGCCCTCTGAAAAGTATGTCACTCCTGAGCATTTCTGGCAGACGGAACTGTGTCTTCTGAAGACGATCGGGAGCAAAGTCACCATTCTTGGTTCAGCTATTAATAAACCCTCAGCCATCCCTTTCTCTGCAAGGCAACCCTTCTGCCTGGGTGCCCCCCACTCTCAGCCCCAGGCACCATTCCTACCTTGTCTGGACCCAGCAGGGTCTTCACGCCAAAGCTCATGCAGCCAAGGAGTCTGCTCTGCCTGGGCAGGAAACAGGGAAAGGGTAAGAGACAGCCCAGAAAGGAACCCACGCGGGGGGGCGGGAGGGAATGCTATTGTGATTGCCAGCAGGAGCACCTCTCTCTGTCATCCTGCTGCTGCCCTGCTCTGCCCTCTCACCCTTGCCTTGCTGACGCTCAACCTGCAGTGGCGCACTGGTTAGAGCGCAGTACTGCAGGCTACTTCTGCTGCCTGCCAGCTGTCAGCAATTTGGCAGTTCGAATCTCACCAGGCTCAAGGTTGGCTCAGACTTCCAAGGTCAGTAAAATGAGAACCCAGATTATTGGGGGCAAGAGGCTGACTTTGTAAACCGCTTAGAGAAGGCTGTAAAAGCACTGTGAAGTCGGCCTGGCCTAACTTTTTCCCTTTTAACTTTTTAAATTGTAAATTTTAAATTTGACTTAAGTATTGGGGGTGTTTTAATTTGTCCCGGGCCATGTGTTTTATTTTTTGGCTGTTCACCGCCCTGAGTCCTTCGGGAGTAGGGCGGTATATAAATTTAATAAAATAAAATAAATAAATAAATCCCCTTGATTACTCTGCCCTCTTTACCTCGAATCCTGTGGTCGGTTCCAGACTGTGACAAGGAGGCGCTTTTGCTCATCTTCCTCCTGCAAACAGCTGGAATGCAACAGAAAGAAAGTGACCCTCAGCCCTCAGGAATCAATCACTTGGCCCAGGCTCCTTCACACACTCTTGCAACTGACTGAAAATCTGAGATTCTCTGCCTTAGGCAGCCTTCACCGGTATGTATGTACCTCCAGGGGAGGTGTCCTTAAATGAAGGCCAGATCCAGGAGTTGCGATTCAAGTGGAGCTCAAAAAGGGGACCGTGCATCTGCTCAGCCACAAGGCTGCCCCACCTCTGGATTTAAACACTAGCTGAGGCGTTCTGGCTATTGAAGAATGCTACCATACAAGAATCCTCTTGCTACAGCCCCAGTGGAGACCTTCGCCTCCCTCAATTCCGCCCCATGGAAATAAGGAGGGAAGGGGCACACAGTTCTGTTCAGAAGTGACCAATTGAGGAAGGAAGCCTGGAGCTGCTACAAGCACCTGCCTGGGAGATGCACCATCAACTTCCACGCGGAGGGCCCAAAGCTGTGGGACTTGGAAGGCAGCAAGTCTTGATAATCCCCATACTTACAAGATAAATTGCTCGTGGAAGACAGGGTTTTTACTGCCCAGAATGGTCTTGGATTTTTGCCTGCATTTCCGTGATGTATCTGGCACAATGGACACCTTTGTTAAGAGAGGGAGAAAAAAATGCTGAGTGTCTTCTTTTGGACATCAAACCCAACCCCCACCCCCAACCGAGCTGCAGCAAGCAATTCAAGCACGAAAGGAATATACCTCTCCCCGCAACACAATACCCCAGGGACCTTCCCAAGTTCTGCACTACTTTTGGGTGGGCATGGGAAAGAAGACCAGGGAGCAAACTAGCCTCCATTCCATTTCCCTCCAGATGCCCACATTTCCCAAAGCTGGATGAAAACAGGCTAACCAGAGGAGGGGCAGAAAATCCTGCTGACAACAGAACATTACAGGTAGTCCTCACTTACTGACCACTTGTTCAGAGTTGTGATGGCACCAAAAGCACATCCCTTGGGACCAGGCCTTGCAGTTCCAATCCTTGCACTTTCCCCCCACCCCCCAGTCACGTGATCGTTACCTGGCTGCTTGGCAACTGGCCATGGTCACCAGGTGGCCATCTGCAACCTTTCCACAAGCAAAGTTAATGGAGAACACTAATGACACTAGACTCCTCCTCCTAAGAGCCTTCCCCAGCAGTGTCTTCTTTGTAGGTGACCACGGCCATACCTTGATAAAGGAGTCACACATTCGATACTGTTTTCCCATTAGACCTTTGGCTTCCACGACTGAGTGGGTGGAGAAAGAAAAGAAGAAGAAATGGCATTTTAACAGGAATGAATGGAAAGAATTCTATTTACGGACAGCAACAGGAACCTTCTCCTCAAAGGCTACAGTGGTCGTTATACACACTTCCTCCATATTACTACTTTCTGCCTGTCTCACCCGCTCAGTTCCTGCATCCTAATTGGGCATCTCGCTGCCCAATATATGAAAACAAGTGACAAGTGCTTGGGCAAAAACCAGGCAATTAACGCACAATGTTTAGGTCCACATCTGCCATTCTGGATTACAGAATCCGGCCTTGGCTGCCCTTATAGCCACCAGGGTGGGAGAAGAAAATAGATAACAAGTATGCCTGTTCATGAGGCAAAGTGGATTTGTTCTGAAGGGTGCCATGGCTTCCCCTGCAAACACTGTATTTTCAAGGAAAGCCAGAAGTCCTGTCCTTCTGCCAGGGCATTCAATGTTTTCTCTGAGGAATCCTCTGCATGAAAAACGCATCGGCAGTCCTGCTTTTCCCACTTAGGACACGATGGCCTCTGCTGCCATGTAGAGATGGTGTCTGAAGCATCACAGAGCCTTGGAAGGTGCACCCCGAGCTCCTGGCTAATGAAGGGCAGTTCAAGGGCCAAATCAAAAGCATAACGGTGGGCCGGACAGCCCCCTCCCCACAAATCCCCAGCAGGCTGTAGGTAGTCAATGTCATATCTAAACGCTTCAGGTTTCCTCATTTCTTGGGAAGGTGGTTTATTACTTCTGTACCGAACACCCCCCACTGACTTACCATAAAGTTTAAGCCTTCTGCCTTGCATGTGGATGGAGAGCTTCAGCTGTCCTGGAGCAGACAAGAAAGGCGATTGCAAAGTTGCTTTGTGACCCTCTTTCGCACAGCCTCTCAATATTCCATCTTTCTCCCCATCCCATCTGTGAAACGGAGGTGGGTTTCTTTCTCTCCCCCACAGCACTCTCCTCACGCTTCTTTACGTTAAATATCTTGCGTTGCTTACGCCAATTTGTGGCCCTAAGCAACTTACAAACACAAATAGTCCTCACTTAGAAAACAGTCGTTCAGCAACCATTCAAAGTTGCAACAGAACCAACAGTACAAACGGTGCAGGCTCCCCACTGGATCTCCACCGGGCTGCTGGGAGAACCACATTTTCAGGGCTTCCCAAAAGGCTGACGAGGACAAGGCTAACAATTATCATGATTGCCTATGGCTCTGTTGCACCCGGGGACAATACAAAGAATCCTAGAGGTCTGTGCCTGCAGGAGTGGAGGGAGAGGACACAATACTGAGGGATCGACAGAAGTGGTTTCTTGTGCTCTTGCAAGACTGCACAATGAAACAGGGGCTAAATCACAACCATTGCCTCGCCCACCTCACCCTGTGGAGGACTCACCAAATGTTGCCAGACAGCAAGGAAACTGCAAACGGTTAGCTGACTTGGCACAGAGAGAGCCTCGGTGGGAATGCCTGGGCTCCATGGTTCCCTCAGCTCCTTAACTGGCAGGGAGACCAGAGACCATTTTTCCAACTGCCCAACGGAGGCAGCTTCCAAGCACAATTTTTCTCCCAGGCGGCTGGCCTTGCCTTCTAACCACCACTATTTGAATAGGACTAGAGGCCCTGGAAGCCCATTGGTGGATTTGAAAGTCAATCTGCACCTGACGGCAACCACAATGACACTCTTGGCTCCACACCCGACACGCCTCGTTGCCTCCAACTGCCCTCCCTCAATCACTCCACTCCCGAGGCTCTCCTGGCAGTGCTCTCCCCAGGCTGAAAAATGCCCTTCTACGCCTGGATGCCACCTATGAACATTTGCCTCCAGGCATCCATGTACTGCATGCAGAAGTAAGCTTAGGTGAAGCACATAATCTGACTTTAAAGCTCATTTGCTCAAATGCTAAAGCTAAAACTAATAATTCAAAACATGCAGAAGTTCAGCCTGGCTCAGAAGAATTGACATCAGATTGTTTTTCCATGTATGCTAGCAGTGCCTTCCTTAACCAACAAGCACTGTCCTCATGTTGCAGGTAATTTATTATGCATTTTATCCATTGCTTCTGGGGTTTTTCTCATCAAACAGCAAAGGCCAACAGGCGCTCTCCCCTTAAAGGCAATCCCTCGCGTGAAGGATGTAGGCATCCATTATTTAATACCTTTAACGCTGGGAAGGGAAGCCCTAATGAACGTTCATTTACAGGTAAGCTGGTTTACTTTCTAGGGGAAAGTAGAGTTGCTCCTCTTCTTAAGAAAGAGCCCAGATTTTTTTTCCTTTCCTTTTCAAATACCCATGTTCCTGCACAGTCACGCTCCCATCTTCCCTTCCCCACACGGGGACAGTATAGAAATCCAATAAACTCAAACTCTAAACTCTAACAATGTTCTCTTCTTCAGCCATGGCCCTTTCCCGGAAGGGCTCCTGGCCCTGACTTTACCTGCCTCGCATTTGAGGTGCAGCATCCACAGTCTAACCAGGGTTCTTCTTTCCCCTACATGCCTCTGTGCCGGTGTCAGCGTGAGGACTATTACAGGATGTTGGTTTCATTTTCCTAAGTATTTATTTTTTGTGGACTTTAGCAATGTTTTTCATAGTTCTGAATGTTATTGTTTTGTGGACTGTAACAATCTGTTAGACAGTGGATGAGCTGTACCATGGAGGGAGGGAGGGAGGGAAGGAGGAAGGGAGGGAAAGCAAGGAAGGAATGAAAACTCTGGAAATGGAAATGCTATTTTGCTCTGTAGCCCCTGGAGACTTAGCTACCTTACCTCCTTGTCTTTGACCAAGAGAGAATGCTTGATGCAACATCCCACCAGCCCCTTCCTTGCCTTCATTCTCTGCACTTACCCTTCTCTTTAACACAAGCGTGGCTGATCTTCCTGCGTCGCTTTAGGAGGAATGCAGGCAGCCTTTTTGGAGAACTCTGTACTTGGGATAGGTTTTCACCCAGAAATTGCTCAGGTATGCAGCCTTTGACACCAACCCCGAATTCCATTCCTGCAACCAAAAGGAAATCCCAAGAAATCTGCTGGCTGGAAGTAGATGGATGCCTGGGGTCGGGTCCAAGGAGGAATGTCACTCCAGCCCCTTTTGAACTTGCAGCATTTCTAATGAAGAGGCAAAAATGTTGAAGCAGGTTTGAAGTTTGATTCAGACTGAAAAATTCAGGCTGGCCTAATCCTGTACTTCAAAGATGAGGGTGCAGCAATTCCTTGTACAGGGCAAAAGAGTAACTGTGGCAACCGATTCAGAAGATTAACTACAATTTTAAAAACACATTTTAATATTATTTTGAATTCCTTTTTGCTGCTCAGTCATAGGCTGAGACGGCTGGCTATATAAATCAAAATGTCAGATAAATAAAGTGAAAGGGAAGCTCTTTCCAACCATACCCCACAAAAAGCACAACTAAAGTAAGGCCACGCCACTAGAAAGACTTCAAAAAGATACAGAACCAAACCTCCCACTGGCTCTACTGAAGTTAATCAGTTGCCACAAGGCTTATCTTGCAAAAGATCCTGTCGTAATTTAACGAGTAACTTCTCTGCAAAGGATTTTCTGCAAAGATTTGGCGGCAAGGTATTGTTTTCCAATCCCTATTTCCACTGGAGCAAAATCTCTTAGAGCCCCTGCGGCACGGCTGCCTTTGCATGCAGGACTCCTTGTGGAACCACCTACTTCCCAGGGCCCACTTCCAACCAGGATGTCATTCAAAAGTTGGCAATATCTCCACTGCCACCAATTTGCCCTGAAAATGCTACTTGATACCCTGCTCCTTCCACTTTCTCCTACCTGGGAGAAACGGTATAACAATGGTGGTGGATCCAACAAAAGCCCACCTGGCCCAGCGCAGTCCATCTGAAAACAGATAACCAGTCACCTCCAAACACAAATGCCTCTCTCTCTCTCTCTCTCTCTGCTGCCCCCAAAATCAGGAAGTGACATATCCAGATGTGGTCTCCGAACACCAACAGGCCTCAAACTCCCTCATTCAGCTGTAATTTCCCACTCCTCACAGGTCTCGTCCCTTTCAAAATCCACTGAAACTGTGGCCATTGCCAGCTTTGGCTAGCTGCTGAAAAAGCTCTCCTTTCTGTCTAACTTGAACAACCTGCCAGCAGCATTGGAGATGTAAGAACAGAAGGCTAAATTTATTGTGAAGTCCCATTTAGGCATAGTTTTACAGAAGAAAAAGAAATACTCTTCACATTCAGAAGTCACAGAGAAAGCCACATCAAGGGTCTGAAAAACCTCACTGGTCTAGAATATCAGATGCAAAAAGTATATAGCTTTCAGTGAGTAAGTGTGAATAAACCAAGCTTCTTAAGAGTCAAGAGACAGACACACGAAAGCACCAAACTTCCTTCTTGTCCCATCCCTGCCCTGTAGTTTGATCAGTCTTTCACTCCTTCCCTATGCATAGAAGTCCTGATTTTCTCCGCAGAAAGCCCAGCACTATCCATCTAATTAATGCAAGAGAGGGAATCTATAGCTCCAGACAATTATTTCTTCAAATTGTTACAGCCCTCAAAAAGAAAAATGCAACGGTTGTTAAAACAGAATCCTGATAAATGGAACATCTTTACCCAAATCCTGCCATGGATCTTATGTATCTCCTAAATGAGCACCCTGGAATCCTTTTCATCTTCCAGCATCGTATAGGTGGTTCACACCACAGAATAACACCCAGAGAGAGAATTACATATTCCCAAACTATTCCTTCTCTCTCTGAAGATGGGCCCAGGAGAAGCAAGCCAACAAGCTGGGACTGCAAAGGAAAAGAGAGGGCTCTCCTAACAACTTTGTGCCCCAAAACTTGGGAGAAATTATGCATATTTTATTTAAAATGTTGGGGAAAGCTAAACCCGGCTACTTCATAGACATAATTCACTGTTTTACCATATAAAAAACATCAGTTATATCTTTACAACTTTTCTTGGCCCCATTTTTAAAAAAAGAAGTAGGCATATTGTTGCTTTCAGTACTGACTGGTCATTCTCCCCAGAATGTAACTTCAAAACAAGGTAAACATTTTAGGAAGGAACAGCCAAGCACCCACCTTGAGAAAGGTCTGGAGGAAGCTGCTTGTGGAGGCCTGGCAGAGCTGCTGTGAATGAAAGCTGCACACGGGGAGAACACAAGGAAGATTAACCACAAGGGGGAGGAGCCACACTCTCCTTTTTTTCAAAGTAGAGGGGTTGCCAAGAGAACTCCACAAGCAACACAAACTTTGCCCCAAAGAGCCATTGTAGCAGCAGAAGTCCACTCTGCTGTGGTTAATTACTTCTCCTGGGCAGACAATTCTGGACTGTCAGTCTCTCACCCTCCCAGCTTCTTCTGTACAGCAAACCTCTTCGGACAAGATCTCCCTGGCGGGGCACAAACGCCGCCTTTGGGACAGAGGCAAGAAACTACCAAAGCCAGGGGATCTTGTCTCCACATAGCCAGAGCCAGGGCTTCTTTGTTGTTGTTGTTAGTTGTGAAGTCGTATCCGACCCATCGTGACCCCATAGACAACGTTCCTTCAGGCCTTCCTGTCCTCTACCATGCTCTGGAGTCCATTTAAGCTGATGCCGATTGCTTCAGGGATTCCATCCAGCCACCTCGTTCTCTGCCGTCCCCTTCTTCTTCTTTTGCCCTCCATCGTTCCCAGCATTAGGCTCTTCTCCAGGGAGTCCTTCCTTCTCATTAAGTGGCCAAAGTATTTGAGTTTCCTCTTCAGGATCTGGCCTTCTCAAGAGCAGTCAGGGTTGATCTCCTCTAGGACTGACCGGTTGGATCGCCTTGCAGTCCAAGGGACTCGTAGGAGTCTTCTCCAGCACCAGAGTTCAAAGGCCTCCATTCTTTGGTGCTCAGTCTTTCTTACGGTCCAACTTTCACAGCCAGACACGGCAACTGGGAAAACCATTGCCTTGACTATCACACTTTTGTTGGCAGGGTGACGTCTCTGCTTTTTAGTATGCTGTCTAGATTTGCCATAGCTTTCCTTGCCAGGAGCAAGTGTCTTTTAATTTCTTGACTGCAAGAACTTCTTTAGATATAACCAATGACAAATAGAATGGTCTAAATTTATCTAGGCCTCTGAACCACAATAATGAACCAAGAAAGAAAATGAAGAAAGAGGAACCAACCTGTGTTTTATTTACAGTAGGTAACCCAAAGCAGAGAACTATTGAGAAATAGGAATTCATATCTGAAGGTTCTTTCACTCAGCAAGGTTGTTGAGAAGCCCAGACAAGAGTCAGGGTGCTGCCTTTTACGCACGAGGCCAATGTATTTGGGGGAAGAGAGCCAAGAGGCAGAATCACCATGCTTTATTTTCTCCCAAGAAATCCTATTTATAAAGGACACTACATTATTTAGATTATGAATCCAAAACTTAGGGAGCCCTGAATATTTGTTTCCAAGACTTATTCATTTCAAAATAAACTAATTATTTCAGAAACCACCTTTCCTCTTCCAATTCCCTTGCAAAAGTACCTTGCTGCTCACAGAACGGGAAAGAAATGAACGACGGCCACCTCTGACTGGCTTCAGAAAGGCCCACTGGAGCTGAAGGCCACCGGATTCTGCTCATTTTCACAGCTGAGTCTTTCTTCCCGGACTTTTGTGTGACTCAGAAGCAGGCTGGGAAGACCCACAAAGGGCCTTCCAGACTCGCTTGTGAGGCGGCCTCTGTGCTCAGGAAGAGGGGTGTGGAGAGGGAATCCAGTCTTGCAGGAGCGCATGTTTACACAGAACCGCTAAGCCCTTTCCCTTTTCACATCCCCATCTGCTCCTTTAGCTGTCCTCTAACAAACAGAACGGCCTTGGCCCTTTGAATTATCTTCCTTTTTAAAACATAACCCTGAGTTGTCTTTGAGACCACCTTAACTCAAGCGCTGCATATGCCCGCTGACCGCTCGTGTTGTCTTTCTGGCTGTGCAGTGTCCTACCTTTGGGTTATTACAAAAAGTTGTTTTTGGGAGACAAGGCTCAGAGAGGCACAAAGTGGGGAAGCAGGAATTTTAATGGTTGTAAGTTCAAGAGTGTGCCCCCCCCACACACACTTTTTTAAAAATAGAAGTAACCATCCTTGGAGTTGGCTCCTGATTACCCACCTGGTCACCCCCTCCCTCCCTCCTTGTCCCTTTTGGATTCAAGAGAAGCCAAGGGGTGAATTAGGGCTGTTCTCAAAGAGGGAGGGGGAGGGAGGAGGGGGAGGGGGCCCTGGGGGCTGCAGCGGAGCAAAGGTCTTGGGTGCTTCCTGAGAGTCTTCTTCGGGCCAAGCCTCCCTGCTGATGTCTGAAGCATCCCTCTCAGCCGGGGTGGCCTCCTTCCAGCTTGCCAGATGCTCGCAATACTGCCTGTACCTGAACTTGGCTTTCGGTAGGCAGGAAGCAAAGGGATCGCAGCCTGAGTAAAATCAAGCCAAAATTGGGCAATGTAAGGACAGAGGTTTACCAAAGGGACCCCATGACTACTGCCACCTGAGAAAATACCTTCATTCAGAGAGGCGAGAGGAAATCACCTAGATAAAGGTTCTGCTTCTTTGCCCTACTGGCTGTGTATGACTTCCTTTTTGTCTGCAATAAAGAAGCCAATCTAGCCAACTTACCTCTGAGAGTCTATTGTCAAGTAAGCCTTTCCTTGAATAAGAAGCCTCTGCAGGCCAGAACTTACTGCAAACCTCTGGTGTGAAGCCAGACAACTCAAGGTAGAGAAGGGCAGCTTGAAACAAGGACAGCTCCCTGCGCATCTCACGGCCCCCCCGAGACTAATCGACTCAGGGACAGAAAAGCCTCGCTGCCTTTTAAACCCTTGGTGTCAATGGCTCCCTCTCTCTACTGCACCTGGTCACCATTTGGGGCATTTATTCTGTCCATTTAGAAGTTATCAGGCCATTTTTACTGTGGTTACTTAGTATATGAAACAGTCTCCATGCCGGCTCCAGGGCTACCTTTTCACCAAGTCAAATGGAAAACACCAAGTGAAGGCCCTTCCCAGCAACGGCCTTTTCTCCTGATAGTCTTCATACACCAAACAGAGAAATTTTGTAAGTTATTTGGCTCCACTGCTATTCCACGGGAAACAGAGACGAGTATGACGGCGCTAAAGGAACAGGCCTTCCCTCCTCCTGCGGCCTCCAAGGCTTCCCCTTCTCCTCCCGAATCAAAGGGAACATGACCTCCTGCAACCGTTCCGCCATTCCTTTCTGGCTACTCTCAAGACCAGCACAGCATCCCTCTTGCTTCCAGGGTGCTTTACCTCCTTCCTTGTCGAGGAGAACATGCGGGACACTCCCACCAACAAGCTGGCAGGAGTGCTTGCTGGCCCAAGGGTGGGGGTGGGGGTGGGGTGGCAGATGGGAATGGGCAAGGAGGGCAGCATCGGGGCTTCTGCTGGGGGCGAGTAAGGGGGAGCTGACAGAAAGGTAAATGCTGAACCTTCCCTCGCCTCAGTTCCTTAGGCTTCAACTACATCATAAGGCAGACCCCTAGAATAAAAGTCCACTGCACTCACCCTCCATGCCCAGCCTTGCCATATTGCTCTTATATTCCATAAATTTCACACAAGATTTTCTCCTAGCAAACATTCTTGGACACGCCTGCAGCTTGCAATTCCCTGCAGCCTGGAGGAAAAACACCCACAAAAACAGACAGGTGATTTTTTTTTTTTCGGGGGGGGGGGGGCAGCAAAAACAACAAAAAAGAATTAAAAAAATCAAGAGAAACAGCTCAACAAACCAGTTTCCTGCCTCTTTTCATGTGGAAAGCAAGAGAAGGAGAAAGATCTGCCCATCTTTTTCTGGCCAGGCAAGACCCCCTAAATCCCCAGGACTGGCTACTTCCACAGGGAAGATGCCCATGCTGAGAGAACGGGAGGGAGAGGGATTCCTTCCAGACTGCCCTCCACCCTCACCCCCACCCCCCGCTTCCCTTTATTGCAGCACTTTCATCCCTGCCACTGTGGGGCTCAATCCTGGCACAATCAGCCATCACTGAGGTGGAGATCACCGCTCGTCTCCATGGCAGACCCCATCGCCTGTTCACGGGGCTTCAGGCAACCAACCCTTGCTGCTCCCAGCAACTCCAAAAGCCCCAGAGCCATGCTACCCTCTCCCTCTGCTATCCTCCTCCAAAAGCCCCAGAACCATGCTACCCTCAGCCTCTGCCTAGGTCTTCCTTGTCCCACTCAGTCAAGGATCCAGGAGCCACACCTGGGGATGCAAGGGGCAGGAGGGGGGAATTAGTGACTCTGCACTGGAGGGTCAGAGGCACTTACAGATTCTGGGAACACCTGGCTGTGCTCAAGGAGGCCCCCTCCTTTCTTGTCTTGATGGTTACTAGCATCCCCCAGCTGCTCTACCATCAGGTGTCTCAGGACCAGTGAGCCTGTGGCCGGTCAGAAGAAGCGAGTCAGTCCTGGCTGGGAAGTCTTCTAGTTACATTCAGATAGTTCTAAGGCTAGAATGGAAACAGGCAAACCTCCTGAGACGATCTTGGGCTGGCGGCCTAGGCTTCTTCCTGAATCTTTGTCTTTCATGGGGATCTAAAGAAAAGAGGGGGTGGAAAGGGAAGGAGGGAGAGACTGCAGCAAAGGCCAGTGGGAAAAATCCCAGGAGAACAAGTCAGAAGGGTTTGCCTCCTGTCTCTTTAATTCTACCTCTCCAGTATTTCACCAATTGACTCTGAGTGATTCGCAGCCCCCAAACAAAGCAAGTACACAATTGCTACCGCACAGCTTGGGTCTTGCTCACCTTAGCTTCAGATCGGTCAAAACTGGGCGCCTTCTGCACAATAAAGGGGGCTGCCAATTTTTCCTTGGTCTCCAGCAGCTCCCTTCCTCTTTTGCTCTCCTGAGTCACACTTTCCTCATTTTGTAGCAACAGATGCAGAGCGGGCACTGGGTGTTTCCTTGTCCTGAGGAGGCTGTCATCCGTGTTCCTTTGTTGGCCTAAAGAACTACAGCAGAGTACAATCTCAGCTCCCCTCCTTCCCAAATGTTCCCAGAAAAACCCAGTTAACAGGAACACAGGTCGTTTTTTTCTCCATGGACCAAAGATGCACCTGACTTTCTCTTAGAGTTTGGAGCAAGATGGAAAGGGCACAGTCCATTTTCTACAAGAGATGCCGCCTTAGGCCACTTCCTCAATCTAACTAGAATTCTTGTTGGATAAAAGGATTAGCGCTTGGGTGTCCCGTCAAAAGTAGCATTTTAAAATGTTTAATTTAAACCTTCAAAAGGGAAACCTTCCTCTTTTTTTTTATACTCAGTTTTTTATCCTGTTATATATGCTTTTTTTCATATTCAGATAAGTATGACTCTTATTTTTAATACTATTTTTATTAAAGTAATACATTTCTTCCTTTAAACTGGTTATCAACATAATGGAAAGACTGTACCATGATTTCATGTGATAACAATTTAATTAGTTGTTTAAAAATGAGATGTAGTACTGTACTGTAACTAAGAGAGAGAGGCTGGTCCAAAGCCACCCAGCCAGCTTTCATGCCTAAGGAGGGACTAGACCTCATCATCTCCTGGTTTCATGCCAGTACCTGAATCACAACACCGAACTTTTTGCACTGGTATTAAATAGTTTTTAAAAAAATAAAGGTTGCTTTTTAGAACTGACCTTGATTGGTTAGACTTTTGATTCCGCCTTAGATGACGAAAGTAGGGCTGACCCCCTGTAGGAACTCTATTTGACTTTTTTCTTTTCTGCAAAAAGAGATCACTCAAATACAAAAGCAAAAAAAAAAATATCCCAAGCACACCTGAATCCCATCCAGAGCTCTGCATGTACCTCCCCCAATGCCCAAATCAATCGCCCTCGAGTCAGAAGATCCTGGTATCAAGGAATCAACTGAGATTCTGCCATTCTACTCAGGGTTTTCAAATCTCCTTTGTCAAGGCGCTTCTGGAAGGAGGGCCTCTTCCCTATACCTCCGGAAGCCCCAATCTCTGCCTTTACCAGCAGTCCCAAAAAGCTTCCAAGCTTCAGTCCAGACCAGGAAAGTCCTCACCTGCTAGATTCCTCTCCTTCAGGCAAGGGGTAAAATAATGGGCGAGGACCAGTCAATCAAGCAAACAAAAAGCGCGCACACACACACCGCAGGTGCAACTCACAGTCCCTTGATGATCCTTGAGAGAGAGGAGACTTTCCAAAGCAAGGTCCTTCACACATATTCCTTGTGGAGGCGCCTTTCTAAGAAAAAAAAAAAAGAAGACCCACTTGATTTCTTATACAGCGATCCTACACCAGTTTAAAAGAGAAGTATTGCAATACTGAACAAAAAACAACCTCTCTTCCTCCTTAGAGAGAAGTGGGAGGCAAAGAGGAGCAGAAAAGTTACTAGGCTGCCTTAATTAAAGCTCCCATGTGAAGGTTCGGCCCTTCACTTGCAAGCACCTCTCTTTCCCGTAAGAACACAGGTCTCCCCAAATACAAAATTACATTACAAAATGTTTTACATTACAGAATGAATCAGATATGCAGTGGCCAAGACGAGCAAGCAGAGGGAAATCCTGCAGAGCAGAGCCGTTGTTCACATCCATCCCCAAATGCAAGACTACCAAATTACATTTATGGCATCACTTACTCTCTCCTGTTAGGATTCTCAGTCTGTAGGAATCTGGGTCGCATGTCTGGAACCCACCGGATAACCGTGCTTCCACAGGCTGCCTGGGAACCCAGTCTTTGCACCCCAAATTTGGCGAGGTCTGTCGCCTGCATCTAACACGTCCATGCGAAAAGGAACGACTCTTTACTACTTGGCAAAAGAAGAGCTGAAGACCACAACAGGAACAAATGCTGGATTGTTCAAGGGTTAACAGTTCAAGTTCAGCTGTAGTTCCAGAAGGCATCCAGGATATTCTGCCTTGGTTGCTCTCTGGGCTAACTGGCTAGCTGAGTGCCTCAAGAGACTGTTTCTCAACAGTGAAAATGAGGTTTTACTACTCGTCTACTTTGTTTCATTATTTAGAAGATTTCTGAGACAATAAGCTCTTCATTACACACAGCTATAAACTCATGAGGAAAACCTTTCTTTGCAACATGTATTCCTTGCTCAATTACAATAACTGGGACTGGCAACTCCACCTCTAAATGATGTAGTCGTAAAGCACATCATCACGTGGCTGTGCCAACCTAAAATAACAGTTGTGTGGCAGTTCCAGCTGTTGTTATTAAGTGAATCCCGCCCAGTTGCAGAAGCCCCAATCAAGAATGCAGAAGGGCAAAATGTGTATCAAAACGCAATAATGCAGGCAAACCCTGCACACAGCCTGGAGTTTAATCCTGACGGGGCTCAAGGTTGAATCCACCTTCCATCCTTCTGAGGTCAGTAAAATGAGGACCCAGGTGGTTGGGAGAAATAGGCTGACATTGTAAATTGCCCAGAGAGTGCTATAAAGCACTATGGGATGGTTCTATTGATATCAACCCTCACCTCAATGAACAGGACTCACTGAGGGGCCACAATTGGCAGAGTTTCCTCTAATTTCATTGCAGGACATAGAGCCTTTAGCCACATTACTGAACACAGAATACAAGAAACTTGAAGCAGTTGGGCATTGAATATAGTCTGGGTGGAGCCTCCTTCAAGGCCCAAGAAAACACTTCTACATATTCCTCCCCTTGCTTCCCCCTTCCAAACAATCCATTGAATTCACTCACCTTCTCAGGTTGCTTCAAGGAGGTGAAACTTATTGGTGGGAAGTGGAGAGACTGAGATTCCATTCTGGAATTCAGACCTGGGAAAGGATTCCTTTCTGAACTGAAATGCACACAGAGGGAGGCACACAATGGAGGCCATGCAGAAGGCACAGAGCCTGTACAAGAATTCTGCCTTGCTTCTGCATAGTTGCAGACATGTGCAGAAACAGCCTGTCCTGTTCCATTGACTAGATGGGTGCTGTGAAAGAAAATCTTGCATAGGCGGGGGGGGGGGGGGGGGAGGCTTTCTTACAGAATGCTGCTCTATGCCTATCATCCCACAGACACAGACACAGACATGTAGAGGAAATCCAAATTTGCTGACCTCAATACTGATATGGGGGGTATCCAATCATCATTCAGAATACAATTTGAAAAGCAATTTCTAGCTCCTTTGCTCCTGGAAATTGTCTTGGAGCTGGAATCAAAACCTCCCACACATTTAACCCGTTCTCTCCGAGGATAATGGAGGGGAAGGTCAACAATCTTCAGGGTTGGCAGTTTGTCTGAAACAAGGAGAAAGCAAAGAAAACTTTGAGATATATATATATAAAAAAATGGGGGTTTTCTTTCATGCACATCTACTGTCAGCATAACAACAATGAATCCAACACCATATTTGCTTATTGATATAATATTAGAGGAAAGAGATTTCCATTTCATTCTTAATTTTTTCCAGTCACATATCTTAAAGTATATTAAAAGATGATGTTAAGAACACATTTTCTCTTATGAGTATCCATCTTAAAAAAAACTGCCCAAAATGTTTGAAATACAGATTGACCACTACCCAAATGAAAATTAATATCTGTTAATAACCTGCTTGCTTAAATTAAAACTTTTTGGAATGGTTTTTAGTCAGCACCGGCTATGAAACCTAGTTCACTACTATGGCCAGAGATAGATTTACGAGAATAACAATGATCCCACAGCTTGTCAGCAAGTTCCAAGCAGGTTATTCAAACAAATTTGCCTAAGTGTATTGCTGGACCTGTGGAAAAAATGCCAGCCACATCACCCACAGGTACATTTTTGCTTACTCCAGTCCTCCTTTTATATAGCTCTTTCTTACTCCATGGCCAGGAACGGAAACAACTGTCAAGTTTCCGAAAGATGCCCTAATTAATTCATGAGCCATGATCCAAACTTCAAAGGAAATATAGTGATTTATTTGGAGCACCATTCCGGCAATACCTGGATGCAGTCAGGACTGACCCCACGTAGATTTACATTCCCCTATGACCCTGTCTCTCGCCTCCCCCCTGGCCATGTCATAAATCACATTCTCCAATTAACCACTTTGGCTGGCTGTGAAACCTAACACCCTCCTTCTGACTGGGATCAAAAAAATGTATGGAATTCACTTCAGTTCTCCCTCCCTCCTGGTCATGGCAACTTGAAAGCTTTGCAAGTTGACAACAACTGCCTACCAGTCAGTTTAAGTGGCCTGGCATCTAATTTCTACAGAGCGCTTCTTACCTTCAGATGCTGGGATATCTCTTCCAGGTATGACTACGTTCTTCAGAAAAATGTGAGGATGCCCACTTTCAATTCTCCGCATAGACTCCCAGCAGGGTGGATGCTGACAAGCGATCATATTGCAAATGGTTTCATCCCACTGACCACCGATATTGATTGTACCCATTGCTGTCAGCAACTTTCTGCAAGGTGATGCAAGGAAGAAAACAAAGTGAAACAACTGCTCCAAAGTGGTGGATTACGAGATTAGTGTTCAGAAATTCCCCCATCCTTCTGAAAACCACCATAGTTGGTCTTCCCTTCTGAATATAATCCAGTGTTGAGGCCGACTCCTCACAAAGTTCATTTTGTGCTTTGGGGATGCTCCGGGACTATCTCTTTCTGCGAGGCAGCAAAAAGGGGGGTTATGTTTGGACCTCTTGGGTGACTCTTGTGGTGAGTTGCCTTTTTAACCTGTGATGGGAAGGGCAGCACCAGGATACAAAGAGAGGAGGAAGCTTCTCAGAGCCTGACCTCACACGTCTGTGGGTGTAAAACTAGGTAGAGGCAGGTGTAGGGTCTCCTGCTTGGGCAGGGGGTTGGGCTAGATGATCTGCAAGGTCCCTTCCAACTCTGTTAATCTGTTAAATCCCCTTCCACTTTAGCTTTTTGGAAGCAGCATCCTTTATAAATGCCAATTATCATAATTATTACTGTTATGCCCATGGTCCCAGTGGAGGACCAGTCGTGGTGAAAGCTTCAGACTACAAACCGGGAGGACTGACTTATTCTTTCGCCTCGGGGACAAAGCAAGCCTGGGGATCTTGGGCCAGCCAAGTCTCTCTCAGCCTCAGGAAGGCGGCAATGGCAACTAATTCCGAAAAACGTGGCCAAGAAACCGCAGGGAGGTTTCCGAGCTCGGGACTCGACTGAAGAAAATACGGAGTTCGAGGAGGCCTGGGGGAAACGCCTAGCCCGCTCCGGCGCTTCTCCTGAACCAGGCCACGTCCGGACACCCTCCGAAACAGTCAAAGCGGCCCCTCTCCCGGCGTGAGGCCTCGGCTAGGCCGGCCCGCCCTCCGCGCCGACCCTCCGCCGAGAAGCCCGGGTCGGGCTGGCGAAGGGGCCCCTTTCCGCGACGCCCTCCCGCCCGCGGAGAAGGGGCGCTCCGCCATCCCACCTGCCTGAGGTAAAGTAGGCGCCGTCGCTAGGCAACGAGAAGCTGCCCTCATTTCCCTGGGTGCACCGCGCCGGAAGGCGGGTACCGGATATGGGCGGAGAGAGCGACGCCGAGCGCTTCGATGGCCCCGCAAATGGCCCCGCCCATCCGGTTCCTTTCCTCCTGCAAAGCCATTGTGGGGGCCGCGGAAGCCAAGCCAGCCCCGCAAATGGCTCCTCCCTCCCTCCCTCCGGAAGGCTTCCCTTGGGGCGTGTCCGGCGGGCGCGGTGCATGCTGGGCGAGGGGGGCGCCGACCACTGCTCTGGCTCCGCGCGCCTTTCGAGCTCCCCGGCGGTGATCGCCCCGCGGGCCCCCCGCGCCTCTTCCCGGGCGGAGCTGCCTTCGGGGGCGGCAGGGCGGGGGCAGCCAGGCCACCGGCGCTGCGGGGCGGAGGCTTCCCTCCCTCCCTCCCTCCCTCCAGGATGGCTGAGCGGCCGGAGGACCTGAACCTGCCCAACGCGGTCATCACGCGGATCATCAAGGAGGCGGTGAGCGCGCGGGGGGCTCCTTCCCTCTGCCCGGCCCTGAGGCCGGTGGGGGGGATTCCGGGCTGGGCCGAAGCGCTTCCCCCGGCGCAGCGCCTTTCAGCCGACCCGCTTCTCGCCCCTCAGCTCCCCGACGGAGTGAACGTCTCGAAGGAAGCGCGGAGTGCCATCTCCCGGGCGGCCAGCGTCTTCGTCCTCTACGCCACCTCGTGGTGAGTCGGCGGCCGCACCGGCTCTCCTCTCGGGAGTCCTCGGGGCTCCCCTCGCCCGCCGCCCGCCTCCCGGGGGAGAACCGTCGCGCGTGCTTGTTGTGCGGCGAGAGGGAGGAAAGTGCCGCTTTAGCTTTAAGGGGATCGCTTCTTCGCAAAAAGTGGATGTTGGTCACCTGTCTGTTTTGTGCAGAGACGATCATCGAAATGGATAGGCTGAAACTCTGGGATCTGCCAAGCTCGGCTTGTCTGATTTCCCTTCACCTGGTTCAGGGGTCAGCAACCTGCGGCTCCGGAGCCACATGCGGCTCTTTGGGCCCTCTGCTGTGGCTCCCACCACTGGCTGGCCCCGCCCCTCGCCCTCCCCTCCCCGTCACTCCTCTCCTGGCCTGAGAAGGTAAGGGTGGGGGGTGGGGCGGAGAAGCGGCCAGGGCAGAGGCAGAGAGATACAGAGGGGGAAGGAGGGAGGGGAGGCAGAGGGAGGCATGTCAAAAGGATTTTGTGGGTCCTGGTGTTTTTTAACAACTGGTTCTCTGTCCTAATGACCAGCTGGGTAGGCGTGGCTAGGGGGTCGTGTGACTGGTGAAAGTGAGTGACATCGAGTGGGCCACGCCCACCCAGGTTTGGTGGCTCCTGGTGTTTTCTTTTCTGTGGGAAACCGGTCCAAATGACTGAGTGCTTAAGGTTGCAGACCCCGATCTAGTTTACCAAAACATAAGTGGAAAACTTTCACGTATAATGGGGGATGTTCGTTTGCTTTTACCTTTTTAAATTAGTGCCAATAACTTTGCAAGGAAGGGGAAGAGAAAGACACTGAATGCCGGAGATGTTATTTCTGCTATGGAAGAGATGGAATTCCAGCGATTCGTTGGGCCCCTAAAGGAATCCTTGGAAGGTAAGTGCACCTGGTTGCCTTTTGATGTGCTCCCTTCAGCCTTCAGTCCTCTCCTCCCTTCCCTTCATTGGCTTCTTTTAAAACTAAAACTTTAGTTGTTTGCCAAAGGCCAGTGCAACATTTTAAACACACTTGCCATTTTTTCTTTAAAAATTCATTCAACTGAAACAAAATTAGGAAAGGTAATACCAATATATGACTTGGTATCAAAAGCAAAGAACCAGATTAAACTTTTCCTGCCGCAATTATCCCACTCGAAAGTTTGCTGCCGCATCCCGGCAGCTTTATTGCTGGAATACTGACACCACCGTTTTGAGATACGCTATTTTCCCTTAAGAAAATGATTGTTGTGAAATGGGTTAGAAATAAAGGATTCAGCACTGAATGACTTGCTCTTTAGACTGATTTTCCCCACAAGGGATCCACTCATAGTTCTTCAGGGATAGTGGTGAGCTCCGCAGAGCCACACCTCCACAGAAGCTGCAGCAAGGCATAATATTTTTGCCCCATCCCCTAAGAATGGCTCTCATGCTGTGCTCTTCTTTGCATCACTTTGACTCAGTGGCATACTGAGCAGCAGGCACAGCACCCGTCAGTCTCCTGCTTTTGGCAGAGGACGGTTGGTTTAACGCTGTGTGTCTTGGTGTTGATCTTCTAGCTTACAGGAATGAGCAGAAGGGCAAAAAGGGAGTGTCAGAACTCAAGAAAAAAGACAGAGAGAAGAAGGAAGATGCTGAGGACCCTGACAAGAATCGGGAAGAAGAAGAAAATGAGGAGGAGGGAGAGAGGATGATGGAGGACGAGGAGGAGGAGGAGGAAGCGCAGCAGCAAAATGAGGAGGAGGAGGAGGTGGAAGAGCAGCAGCCAAATGAAGAGGAAGAAGGGGAGAGCTGAGTTGTAGTGGGGGGGGGGGGCAGTGAGGGGAGAAAGCCAGTGGAAGGAAACACAACCGTCTCCTTTTGTGCTGAAAATGGCTCTGCGGGTTCTGGGGGCACCTCAGGGAAACTCCTTCTTGCCTTCTCCCCCCAGTTGGAAATAATGACTTACGTGGCATCTGGGGCTTCTTTCTGGGCATGCGAACGCTGCTTGAAAGGGGCACCACTTATCTTTCCTTGTGGTGCTGGGGATGCTCTGATTTTGGCTTAAAAAGACTTTCTCCACACCCTCAATGTGTTTTCTTCAGTGCTTATTGAACGGAGTTTAATTAAAAGTCGTATTTGCAAAACTTTTCACTCTTGACTGATTTATGCTCTGCTGAGCAGGAGGAATTTTATTTCTGCCTATTTCGTTCTGTAACAAAATGGGCAGTGAAAGAAGAGTTGTTCTGGATTGCTCCTGTTCCATTCGTGCAACAAAAAGGACAAGAGGTTAGAAAATCTTGCCTTGATGACTTCTGGATGTTTCCTCCCATCGGCAAATCTCTTCAGTCTGTCCTTCCTGCTGGGGTTGCATTTCTAGTCTCCACTCCCAATTGTGGAGCAAAATATCCTTAAGCTAGAAAACGCACTTGCAGCTAAAAAGCAAGGCCTGAGGCACAATTTATATCCGCAATGTTGTCAAGAGGCAAAAAAGTCAAAAAGCCCATTGCCATCTTGAGAACCAGCAAAAAACAGCTGCTGGGGTCTGGGGGGGGGGGGGACACCATTCCAAATGCTTCTGCAGATCGTCGCCATTTGATTCTGGAGAATTCCATGAGCCAAATTCACATCCATCTCTCCTCTGGCCCAGGAACCTCCTTGGCTCCCAAAAGTAAGATTCACCCCTCCCTCCCACACACAAGAGTTTGTGGGCTCTGCCAGTGGAAGTAGTAGTATTGGGTGTCCCTAAGACTAGTGGGGGCATCACCAATCCAGCTGTCCCTTCTGGGCACTGAGTTTCTGGCTGTTCTGGCTGTAGAACTGGGAGAACCAGCGCCGGTGCCTCAGGATGGCGGCATCTTCCTTCACCAGCAGCGGCTTGGAGAGGAACCTCTTGTTATTCCAGATCATAACATCCCGCTCAAACTGGTTCAGGAGGAATAGTGGAAGACAAATGATCAGGAGGTAGCAAAAGAACAAAACCCTCAGCTTAAATGCATGAAACAATATAAGAAAATCCAAAAAAAAAAAAAAGTAAGATACCCGCTGTGTTTATGTTCAATCCTCGGGCAAGGAGTGGGTGGCTTCAATGTGTCACCACAGAGGCTGCAAATTTGCTGTTGCTTTTTTAAGCCATTTCACCCATTTTATTTACTGAGTTAAGCAGGCAGTGCCTCAGTCTCGCAAGGTATCTGCAACAACTTGGGGGGCCTCCCACTTCCACGTTCTGCAAACAATTCAGTCTACATTTCTACTCTAAAATGCAGCCCTAGTAACATGGATGTGTTTGGTCTCTGCTCTGCAAAGGGAGGTTGGAAGCTCAAGAATTTCTGGGATGCAGTTACCTAGACCCTTGTCAGCACCCCTTCCCACTCACCCCCCTGTCCTTCACTCAGCCCTGAAGGGCCAGGAGGTCCCACAGACTGAGTTCGCCCCCAGGACTACCACCTGCACCTCCTCTCACCTGGACCTGCTCTGCCCATAGGATCAGCTTGGCAATGAAGGAGGGTACGTTGCGTGGGAAGTAGATCTGGTGGACGACGTGCTGCAAAAGTGGCTCTAGAGGGGTGACGGTCTGAATGATCAGCCCCTTGCCCAGGAACGCGTGACTCAGGGCCATCATAACCAACCCAGGACCAATCTGAACAGAGAAGACACAACCAAACCGTTTTTCCCTCCAAACCAGACAGAGATTAAGCAAACAACCCAACAAACCAAAAGTGATTATGATGTACGGCTTGCCTTGCCTTTCTCACTCTCTTTGGGAGAGGCAACCAATTCAGCATCACATTAACCGATGCAGTCCTTGGCTTGGGACAAACACTGCCCTCTCGCTGGACGGAGAGGATCTCGTACCTGCCTGGCCGAAACATGCAGATCTAGGAAGGCGATGGGCTTGCCAAAGAGCAGCACGTGGTGGGTCAGAAGCATGACTGAACAGTGTCCGTTGGGCTCCGGCTCAGGCTGCCACTCTGCCTGGGAAGCAAGCACTGCACTGACTGGAAATGCCCCTGCTGCTTTGGCACCAAAGCCCCCGCCAGCCCTGCTTAGAAACAGCCCAAATGGCCATTCCCTCCCCTCCTTTCTTTCCAGCAGGAGGAAACGGACGCTTTGGAGCCAGAAAGAGACCAAGATAAACTCCTCCTCCCCGCCATACGTGTTGCAAGCAGTCTAGGGTGGGGGGCTGCCAAGAGGAGCTTTTTCATTCCTGCGACCTCTGTTGACAACTGAAGGCAATGCAGAATCTCTTCCAGTAGGACAGGGAAGGGGGGTCTCCGTGCCTGCCCTGCTTCGCTTAGTAGCTGAGGCTTTTTGCATGTGTTTAATGTTGGCCTTCCAAACATATGGACGTATGCAGCTTTACCCAATCCTCCCTTGTTGCTTCACGTTTAAATTGGAGTGCAGCCTCCGTGACTTTCACAGAGGAAACTGGCCCACAGGGATTTGGGAGCACTTGCCGGTTACCTTACCTCCCAGGTGTGCCTGAAAAATGCCCAGCGGTGGTTGTCTGTGAAGCGCAGGTCATTTCCACTTATGACCGAGGGATTATGGAGAAAGGAAAGGTGGGCTACATCGGCAGCATTCTCTGGAATTTCCTACCCGGGAGAGAAAAGAAACATTCAAAGCAGAAGCACGCCTTTCCCCAAGTACCAAGAGAGGCACTCAGACTGCAAAGCAATGGACATTACTAGCTGAGAATCAAGTGACAAGGCCCATTTGCACCCAGCTGTTCTTTCCAGTCAGCTGCTATGTTAAGGCCATCAAAGGCGGAAGTCCAGCTAACTTCCAAACCCCAGAACTGCCTCTCTGCATTCCGCCACTTCTCCCATTCCGCCCCATCCTGAATCCCCAATACCCGGGTTCGGTTTGAAAAGGCACCGCCACTGGCCTTCCCTCAGCGGTGCAAACTACCTCAATGTGCACGCTGACAAAGTGCTCCGTTCCAGCCCGGAAGACCCAGTTGGGCGATGATGCCTCTTCCTGCTCGGCGACTTGCCATGCTGGGCTCGTGCCATCACAGTGATACCACACCATGATCATGTTGTTCATTTCACACGATGGCCAAACTTTGGTAGTTGCAAATTCAGGCACTGGAAGATATGGAGCACGAGAAGGTAAGTAGACAAGGAGGGCCAGTTTAGGGACTTGCTATCCCAGGAGTGTCAGTTTTCCCATGATCTCTGCCACTGGCGGCTCTAGCAGAGCGCAGCACAGGCTCTCTCGCGGCAGGGGCTCCGTCGACCAGTCCAGCCAAACGAAGCCAGGAACGCACGGTGTGGCTATCGGCGACAAACCCTCTTGTCGGCTCGAGCTGAGCTCCAAGAGGCTCTGGTCGAGGGAAGGGCTGGCGCTCTTAGAAAAGGTGGCCCTGCCTTCTGCCAGTCACCGAAGGGATCCCCTCACCGCCCCTAATTTCTGCAGAGAAAGGCTCAGCAGCTGAGTTGGAGCCGCCCCTCTCCAGCCACGGGGGCGGGGTGGGGGGCGGTTCCAAGTAATCAACATTAACCTGTAAACTATGTATTCCCTGTTGCCGCCCCCACGACAGGAGGGAGGGGGACAATGGGGAGATGGAGGGGAAAATGCCTGCTCGGGAAGCCTCCCGGCTCTCCTGTTTAGAAGAAGAGGGAGAGTCTCCCACCGACGCTGCCTGGGGCATAGAGTCTCAGGGGGGCTCTCAACACAGACCCCCAAGGAAGCCTCTGAGCAAGCTCCTCCTGGTCGGCGAAGCGACTCCGCTTGGCATTTCAGCACCTTGGAGGTGGGGTAGCCCGGTCGGAAAGGTTTCCGTACTCGAGGGTGCTGGAACACCGCCTGATGACAGGAAGGGCTTCCCAGGGACCCGCGGCCAGCTCGGTTCTGCTGCTGAGCGGGGGGGAGGGGGGGCGGGTTCCCACAGGTTTTACCAGCGGAGGGGGTCTTGCAATGGCCGCAATGCTTGCAAAAGCAAAGCCAGGGAGCCCATGCCTCTGAGGCTCTCTCTCTTCTGCGGAAGGTCCTGGGTAGAGGCTGCCTCCTTCGCTGAAAGAATTGCAAAGCCCCCCGACTCTAATTTTTCGTAGCCTCACTTTAACAGCAACAAGAAGTTTTGCTTGTGCCACAGACCCCCCCCCCCCCATGTTTGCTTTAGTGTTATTATTTTCGTTCCTGTTTTCAAAGCACATTTGGAAGATGTGGGACACCAACATAGTAAAGTGTTTCTATAGCAACGTGCACTTTTTAAAGACGTCACCAAGACCGGTTGGATTGCTGGATTCTGGGGCTGCTGGAGGAAAAAAAAATCTCAGTTCTTTTGTTCTGAACAAGGGGGGGGGGGCTTAATCTTTACCGAGATCTGTGGGTGCCGAAGTGAAGATATATATACACGTATAGGAATTCACTCCCACCCGTCACTTTAGCAGTATTTGCCATTTTCTGTCCTGAATGCCTGCCTGCCTCTCTGCTTCTTTACAAAACCTTTAATTTGCTGGTGGCAATAAAAGCTGTTAAGAGGTGGTGCAGGAAGGCTCACCCTGCATTTGTCGAAGGCGTTTAAAATGAGAACAAATAAGGAACCAGCATTTGTTGCCGCCAGAAGCGAGACAGCATCCAGTTTAGGGGGTTCCATTAAGGAGGGAGAGGCTGTGTCTATTCGTCTGACAGCCACGGGACGGTTCCTAAGCAGCCGGCCCAGGAATAGCTCTGCTGTTTGGGGAATTATGCAGCGGCTCTTGAAAGAAAGTTCCATTGCTCAATCTGGAGGAGAGTGGCCAGGTAGAGCAACACTCGGACCACTGCCCGGTCTGTACTGCCCACCAGGGACAAGGACATTCCTGCCCAGCACTTTATCACTGTAGGGAAGCCTCCTTCCACCCTTAGCGGGGGGGGGGGGTTAGAGACTCAAGGGGGTTCACTGTCTCCTCTCAAGGGAAAGGAAGGTGACCCACATTTTCCACTTCGTTCCCAGCTGCAGACGTGCACAAATTGCCCTGCTCTTCTGTCCCGTATGTCGAAAAATAATCTTCCCCCCCTCCCACTGGTGAGCTGTCCACCTGCTTGCCATCTTCTTTGGCTTTACTGGATCCTCTGCCTCTTCTTCCTCCACAGCCAGTCTATTCATTCCTCCTTCCTTTCTCCTCCCTCTAGATCCCTCCTTCCTTCAGTTGGGCTGCACCCCCAACCAGCCGAAGCATCTCCTTCTCGCCTAAAACCAGGTCACCTGCTTTTGGGTCGGTTGGCTGGCGAGAGCTGAAAACCAGGGAGGCGTCTCGGAGCTGGGGGGAGAGGGAAGCTGCAGAAAGGGAGGATGCACTCCCATCCTCGGGAAGGCAGAGGTCGGCCGCCTTAGGTGGCTCTTTCCTCGCTGAAGCCCCAAGGTGACCACCCACCCACCCACCCCACTTCCTTTTTCTTCTATTCAGATACGGGGGCGGCGCGGAGGGGGGGGGGCTATCTTCCAGAAGCCGCTGGCGCAGAAAGTGGGGGTGGGGGCTCCCTCAGGAGCGGGAGGGTTTGGCCGGGCGGGGGCTGGCTTTCCGGGGCCCCTCCCTCCCTCGCTCGCCCCCCTCGCCCCCGCCCCAGTCGACGTGCCGCGGCTGCCGCAGTGGCAGGTTGGCGGAGCCGCCGGGCGCCTCTCCCGCGCGCCCGACCGACCGCAGGGGGGAATTCAGCACCGCGGAGAGCGGCTCGCCCGGGGCGCGGGGCGCCATGCGGCTGCTGCTGCTGGCCGTGCTGGTCTGGTTCTCGGTGGCCCGCGCGGGCTGCGAGCCCAAGATCATCAACATCGGCGCCGTGCTGAGCACCAAGAAGCACGAGCAGGTCTTCCGCGACGCCATCAGCCAGGCCAACAAGCGGCACGGCACCTGGAAGATCCAGCTGAACGCCACCTCCGTCACCCACAAGCCCAACGCCATCCAGATGGCTCTCTCCGTCTGCGAGGACCTCATCTCCAGCCAGGTAGGCGCGGGTCCAGTCCCCCTCCCAGGGCTCGGACACCCGCCTCTTGCCTGCCCCTTGCTCCCCAGGAATCCGCCCCTCCCTCATCTTCCCCAGGCGGGCAGAGAAATGCCTGGGAGCCTCAGGAGCCAAGGAGTGGGGTGGGGGTGGGGGGTGGCAGCGGTGGGACCCTTTCCAGAAAGCATCCCAAAGCCCCCTTCCCTCCTCCTCTGCCCCACCCCAGGGAGAGCTGTGTGAGCATAATAGGGGGAAACTGAGGGGGGGGAAATCAATCTGGCTCACATAATGCGCCAAGGCGGGCACGGGCATGAGAACGTGCGTGCATCTGGGGGCGGCTCTTGCAAGGCTGAGGGGGATTGAAATGGCAGGGAAATCATCGAATGGGAAGGGAGAAGTGCATTGCCTGCCCACCCACTCACCCCAGTTGCTGTGTGGCATCACTCGGGAGCAAGCACTCCCCCCAACCAAAAAGCTTCCCTGTATGCTTGAGCCCTGGTGTGCACAACCAATGCAAAGCAGCTGGACTTCTGTGGGCACAAACACAAGCTTTCTCACAAACAGGGAGGAAGGACCACAAAACCACACCTGCACACCCCTTGCAGGCTTACAAGTGGACAGTTCTTTTCTTTTAGAAAATGTAGTCTAGAAACTCAACACTGGATTAAAAATTAAGGGTACACGACATGCGCCCTCAAGGCCAATAAGCCTTCTTCTTAGAGAGAAAGATGGGGACCTAAATCCAGGCAACTGTCCTCAGGCAACTGTCCCCACAAGCTTGCTTGCCCGCCCCCCCCTCCCATCTTGCTGTTTGTTCACCTTTCTGCGCAAGAGCCAAGGAAGGGGCAGGCAATAGGAAAAGAGGGGGGAGGCAATTGGGTGCAATTCTTGAAGCCCCCCCAACCCGAAAACAGCAGAAGAGTCCAGATTAACCGGACAGTCAACTGCCTGCCTGCCTTGAATCCCAAGGCATCCCAGCCAGCCTCCCAGGAACCACTCTGCATCTCATCTTTTTCACTTTGCTTCCACGGGCCCTGAGCTCACTGGTAACCGCCAAGAAATCCAGTCAGCGGGCCAGGAAAGGCCCTCCCAGAGAGCTCAGAAGGGGCTTAGCACAGTGGAGCCAGGATCCAACTCAAGGCCATGAAGCAGAAAGACCAGGAGGGCTCAGAGGCCACCACCAAGAATCTGACAAGCCAGATACTCCAGAAAGGCTCGAAGGAGCAGTTCTGGTGAAATGAAGTTCCTTGCCTCACAACTGAATAACTAAACGCAGCAGCAAAGGGACGAATAGAATAGAATAGAATAGAATAGAATAGAATAGAATAGAATAGAATAGAATAGAATAGAATAGAATAGAATAGAATAGAATAGAATAGAATAGAATAAGGGAAGGGACCTTGGAGGTCTTCTACTCCAACCCCCTGTGTAGGCAAGAAACCCTGCACCACTTCAGACAAATAGTTATCCAACATCTTCTTAAAAACTTCCAATGTTGAAATATTCACAACCTCTGAAGGCAAGTTGTTCCACTAATTAATTGTTCTAAGCATCAGGAAATTTCTCCGTAGTTCTAAGTCGCTTCTCTTCTTGATTAGCTTCCACCCGTTGCTTCTTGTCCTGCCCTCAGGTGCTTTGGAGAATAGCTTGACTCCCTCTTCTTTGGGGCAGCCCCTGAGATAGTGGAAGATTGCTATCATGTTCTAGTCCTGCTTTTCATCAGACTAGACACACCCAATTTCAGCAGCCGTTCTTCCTATGTTTTTAGGAAGGCTGTGAGACAAACTATATAGGCAGGGCTAAACAAGGAGCAGAGCAAAGTTTGCCCATGGAGGAGGCTTTCAACCTGGAGAGGCCTGAAGAGAAGATGAGGAGAAATTCCTGAAGGAAAAGGCCATCAGTGGAGCTGCCTCTGCCTTCCTTCCCATGTTCTGGGCAGGATGCCTGTGAAGGCCAGTTGCTAGGGAACGCGAGTGGGAGCAGGAGACCTCCCCTCTTCTGCTCCTCACAGGCACCCAGTCAGAAGAGTTGATTTGATGGGCCTGGAGCGAAGGGAGGAAGGACGACCAGGGCAGCAGATGGAGGCAACAGGAAGGCTGAGACGGGAGCAGGCAGGGAAGGCGATGCTCGGTCTTTCACACAGCACCAGGAAGAAGCGGGATGTTCTGCAAGCCACTTACGGCTACAGCAGGCACTGCCTTTGGCAAAGGCTTGAGCGTCACTCTCAGCCACCACCACCCCCCCCCCCCCCTGCAATCTGGTTTAGCCTCATGCAGTAAGCCCACTTGTCTTTTTTACAGGGAACCGGAAAAATGAGCAGAGTCGTTGCGCTCCATGACATCCCTTCCCTCCACCCCCGGAAGACTCAGACCAAGGGCTTTCCTATAGCCCTGCAATCTGCCTAGGGGGCTGGATAAACTAGTGGTTTAACTTGATTGACAGTCATTTCGATCATCACGGGTGGTTCTAAACTTAATTTATGTATTATGCTAATTGGGGACTCTTTTCAAAATTGGCTCCCCCAAGGCAGCTGGATGGTGTAGGTCACAGAAAGAAAAAAAATCTGCATGCATTTGTTAATTCGGCCCACTGCAAATCAAAGGCACCGTTTGGTAGTCAGGCAAACGCTTGCCGTTACCCACAGGCTCCACGGACTCTAACAGCCCTTCCCTTTGGGTTGGGGCCAGGTTTTCCCCAGAGTGGAAGAGAAGACAAGCCAGCCCTCAACCCCATTCTTGCCTTGCCTGCTCCCCTTGCAACTGCCCCCTCCCCCTCCTTCTCTTTCTCAGAATCTCAACTGACTCTTTCACCTGAAACGGCCCTGGGGGAGACATTACACTTCCATGCTAAATGTGCGGTTAAATAAATCGTATTATCTAGCCTGCCTGTTCCAAGGGGACTCCTCCTGACCCTGTAAATGCCTTGGAAAGATTCATGTAACTCAGCAGAAGCAAAACAGCCTCAGGAAAGCTGACACTCCTCACGCAGGGTGGCTAGGAAACATCCGCTCCAGCTGGCCCCAATCTCCTACCCTGGGAGTTACTGTCCAGAACGTCCAGTGGGCGCCAGTTGGCGAAGTTGATTTTACCACCAGCCACCAGAATTTTATCGCAAGGATAAGATTTATCTCCCAAATCATGCCAGGAGCTAATAAAATATTGGTTTGTTTTACTAACAGAAGGCTAGTGAGAGTGAATTTCACAGGTAATACCAGTTCTGTCTGAGTTCCCCTAACACGGTCCCTGAACTAGTTCAGTTTTCTTGACTTGCATAAAACACCGAACTACAGCTTTCTGCTGTTTCTAGCCAAAGAAGTGTTTGAAATAATATTTTAAAATCCCAAATACCTCTACGATCAAGCAAAAAAGCTTTAAATGGAATTGTAATTCCATAACAAAAAGCAAATTACAATATTTCAGAAATGCAACCTGTCCTGCCCAAAAGAGACATTCAGGAGTTACTCTTTCATAAGTGGCTAACTAAGAAGAGTACAGGTAATCCTCGACCTACGACCACAATTGAGCCCAGAATTTATGTTGCTAAATGAGAAATGTGTTGTTAGTTTTGCCTCATTTTACGACGTTTCTTGCCACATTTGTTAAGTGAATCACTGCAGCTGTTAAATTAGTAACATGGTTGTTAAGTGAATCTGGTTTCCCTGTTGACTTTCCTTGTCAGAAGATCGCAATGTCCCCAGGAGAGTGCAACAGTCATAAATGTGAACCAGTTGTCAAATATCTGAATGTAAACCATGTGACCATGGGGATGCTGCAACTGTCATAAGTGTGAAAAATGGTCATAAGTCATTTTTTTCAGTGCCATTGTAACTTTGAACGTTCACTAAACTTAGAAATGCGATAAATTAAATTAATTTAATTAAATTAAATTAAACGAACTGTTGTAAGTCAAGGACTACCTGTATCATCTCAGAAACGCTGACCCTTCTCAAGTCCCTTCCTGTTTTGCCCCAGCTACGGACCCCAAAGAACGCAGCGCACACAAAGTCCGTACAAACCTTAGTTTACTAATTAAGGACTACTACTGAGCTTTCTTAGTAGTTGTTTGAACACAAGTACAGTTTAAATCAGTCTTTTCTGAACAAGGGCTGTTAATTTAACTTCATTAACAGCTGACAAGAATCCAAAGAATAATAACTCAATTCTGAGGTATAGTATATCAGATAACCGTAATCTTACTGTGGTTGGCAGAATGGCCAGAAGCAATTTGCAGGAAAACTGACAAGAGAGAAACAAGAGTTTCTGGAATCAAGACGCGAAGGAATATAAACGAAGTTGTTTCCTGCAAATTGCATCAGTCGTCGTCCTTCCTTAAATAGGCTAGGGGAGTGGCCAATTAGCCCCAAGCCTTACTCTCGAGGAGACCTCCTCCTGAGGAGCCACTCCTGCCTTTTAACAGCTCTGCGCCCCCGGGCATTGAGAAAAGGCTCCTCTCTTCTTCCTCTTCACTTATGGGAGCTTCTGGAGGCCCTGGCTGAATCCCCGCCTCTGGCACCACATCTTCTCCAGCCTCCTCATTGTCTGACTCGAGTGCCAGCTGCACAGGCTGCTGGCACAGCACCACACCAGCCTCCTCGCTGTCGGAATCAGCTACTAACTGCACAGGCCACCGACGGGCCACAACACTAACCTTATATTCTGTATAAGCGGGGGGTGAGGGGTGGGGTGGGAAGAAGCCGAACTGATTCAAAACAAGAGGACAAGACTAAGTCTCCACCTCCGGAACTCTAAATTGGCTACGTGAAGGCCTCTAAACACACACCAGTCTTGCACTGACAGGGGTTCTCTGCTTATCAATGCACGTAATTAGTTCTTAATGCCAGCTTTTGGTTTTTCCAGTTCCAGACAGAACTGATTGGCAAATGGCTGTGCAGTCTCACAAAGTATCTCCTCTCTTTAAAAAAAGCTTTTTTTTCTATTTTAAACAAGAGCCAACAAATGGATCATGCTTTTTGTGGCATTTTGAAAGTACATTTTTTAAGTTTGGGTGACAGAGAAAAATCTCTATAGAACATTTGCTCATTTTGTAATAGAGAAATAACAAAGTCAGACAGAAGCCAGGTAAAGGCATGCTTGAAGAATGTAATTGCCGGACCATATTCACAATTCTGGAGGCCACTGTCCATTTCACCAGTCCAACTACTAGTATTAGCACCTCCTCAGGGTGCCGTTGGCCAAACAATGTCGACTGGTGACCCCAGGGGGAGAGCCTTCTCTGTGGGGGCTCCTGCCCTATGGAATGAATTGCCCACGGACATACGAAGGATCCCCAACCTCCACGCCTTCCGTCGAGCTCTGAAGACCCTATTATTTCAGCAAGCCGGTCTGACGGGATAAGTGATTTTAAATTGGGTTTTAAAAGTGGTTTAAAATGGTTTTAATTGGAAGTTTTAATTTTGGCCAAAGATTGAATTGTTTTAATATGTTTTTTTAAATTTTGTCTTGTATGTTGTTTTATCATGGCTGTTCACCACCCTGAATCCTTCGGGAGAAGGGCGGTATACAAATATAATAAAAACTAAAAAAAACTAAAAAAACTATTAGAAACAGCGTGTGTTTCTGGGGCAGAGACGGGGTCTCATGTGTGAAGCGGTGTCGATGTGCTGTATCCTACAGGTGTATGCCATCTTAGTGAGCCACCCACCAGCTCCAAATGACCACTTGACACCAACACCGGTGTCATACACAGCTGGGTTCTATCGGATTCCTGTCCTTGGGCTGACCACTCGCATGTCCATATATTCAGATAAGGTAACAAACTCATTATTATCATAACTAATACTACTGTTATTATTGCTGCTAATACTAGTGTGCATATATTATAGTAAGAGGTAGAATATTCTCTCACTTCTTGTGTTCCTTGTAATTTAAGTTCCTTGTTTCGTCCATCCCCTGGAACAATTCTGAGCTCTCTTTTACACAACATTCCTTCAGATACTTGGAGACAACCATCATGTCTCCCTGTAGTCTTCCCTTCTCCACCAGAAACATGATGGACGGTGCCACCAACCTTTTCTTAGAAATTTCTTCCTTCCAAGCTCTCTGTCATCTTGGCTGCTGTCTTCTAGACATGCTGATGAGTTTCCTATTCCTAGAACTCAGAATAGGCAAGGCAGGCCATTGAAAAGACAAATGAAGAAGAGTCCTTGCTTACCATCTGAGGGTAATCTATAGATCTTTGCTGGTCAGCACATGGAAACAAGGTCTTTTCAAAAGCAGTTAAGCTTTAGAAAGATTTATCAGGGTAAAGTAAAAGGCTTACAAACCAGTCCCTGGAGAACAAAATAAAATCCTGGAGTTTGTTTTCTGGATTCCCTATAAAGACAGCCCCTTATGTGGAAAACCTTTCAACCGCCCAGCAATGTTGCCTTTTTCCTTTCAGACTTTTGGTTTGCTCCTGTCTTTCATTTGCAGAGTATTCACCTGTCCTTCCTACGAACGGTGCCCCCCTACTCCCACCAGTCCAACGTTTGGTTCGAGATGATGCGCTTTTACAAGTGGAACCATATCATCCTCATTGTCAGCGATGACCACGAAGGGCGAGCTGCCCAAAAGAAGCTGGAGACTCTCTTGGAAGAGAAGGAATCCAAGGTCAGTATCCCCCATGCTCCACTGCCTAAACTTCTGTGGATACAGCAGAACCTTTAAAACTCTCAGGCTTGTTGTATGTATGTAGAGCCGTATGTATGTAAAACACCTTCTTTCTTCCCATTGTTAACATGACTAACATCATGCTTTAAGCATCAACGGTGTCTCTTGAGTAGTACCTAACGAAACTTTGTACTCTTATTCATTTCACTTGCTTTACCATGGTCGAAAACCTTCTGCATAAAAAAAAAAAAAGAGAGAGAGAAAACATGCAAACAAAACCGGCAACAACTGTGAAATGAGGAGAAACATAACCTGGAGCTTTGCAAATCCCCATCTCTCAATGGCGAGTGTGCTGATAAGAGAAAGATCTCCAGAGTAGTAAGGAAGCTACCCAAGGCCTCCTGGTCTCTTGTGGGCCAGCTGGGGTCAGAGAGAGAGAAAGAGAGCATGAGAGAGAGAGAAAGGAAGGAAGGAAGGAAGAGAAAGAAAGAGAGAGAGGAAGGAAGGAAGGAAGGAGAAAGGAAGGAAGGAAGGAAGGAAGGAAGGAAGGAAGGAAGGAAGGAAGGAAGGAAGGAAGGAAGGGGAAATGGTTAGCTGAGCATCTCAGATCCTAGCACGGCTTGTCCCTTCCGTGGGCTCCCTGATTCCTACTGGCTCGGTCTTGCTAGAATACTTTGGGGTCAGGCTTGGTCCTGGACAGCAGCAGGATCCTTGGCTCTCTTTAGGATACTTCCAGTTACTTTCGCTTCCCAGCTTGCTGACATGCCTTTCTGCTACTCCCGTTCTCCACAAGCCTCTTCCAGATTCCTTCTAAGTTCTGGTCCCTTTCTACAGGAATTTATACTGCTAATCAATTTGCATCGTAAGACTGACATACCCGCTTTCATAATCAAGGTCAGAGAAAGAGCATCTTCTTCCACCCTGCAAAGCATAAAAAAGTCACCTTTATGCTGATACAACGGCTTGTAAGGCAAAAGGTTTGTTCCGTATTCCAAAAAATAGTGAATGATGGTGCAGATGTGCTGTAGCCTTTTCCTACTGGCTGTTATTAACACGCACTGGCTTCATGGCCTTCACTGGACTACACAGCTAATGGTTACCAGGCAGAGAAACCAGGGCAGTTTTCCCTCTGCAGTTCCCACAGCCTAGACAGAACTATGCAGACAGGACAGAGGTTGCTGTAAATACGGGTGGAGAGGGAGAATCACATCAGAATATTCCTCTCATTCAATAAATCTCTCTGCACACACAGACAACTAGTATAGCAAGTCGAGCTAAGTTGAGCTAAGAATTGCTGCTTTTCTATGTGTTTGTTGGTTTCCCTTTAATAAATCACCACCATTCCTGCTAACAGCTAACTTTTTGTTCAGGCAAAACTCAGAACAAGACAGATGCAATGGCCCTCTGTGGACAGGCAGAGTCCAGAATATGGCTCTGCCTTGGATCAGAAAAGGTTGCTCGTTGAGCCTCAGTCTTGAAGTCACTTTGAATGGCACACAGAATCTTTCATCCGTATAGAAGGGTCTTATTTAAAACTTTCTTTCCACACCCTATCAGAGCAACATAACCAAACCAAAGCCGCTATAAACTAAACCTATAGTTGCCCCAAGTTTAGAAAATGCTCTTCCAGATTAGAACGGAGAGGGTATTTTTAAAGAGCTTCCCAACTTCTACCAGATGCTCAGCTGGCAGAGCAGAAGGCCAGAGCAGAGGCTCCTGCAATGACTGGGGGATCCCTTCTTTTTTTGAAGCTTTGACTGCATAGTCCTAGGCAGGATTGTCCAAAACATCAATGCACTGGTGTCTAGCCAGTCCCAATAGGATTGCAACCCTCATGATTGCTCTGGGACGCTGACTCTTCTCTAAGGGGATGTGGCTCGGCTCAGAGATCTCACAAGAAGCCCTGGCGATGATCCATGGCATGGCGTGGCATTTTAATGGCTTTAATGTACTTTCCGTGAAAGAGGGATTACGCAGCAGGAGGTGGTGGCGGAGTGGATTGGCCAGTCACCACAGTTCAGGAGGTGCTGCATTTTCAGAGCCAGGGTCCCTGTGAACCCTGGAACCAGCTGTGGAGGAGGGCGGTTTGGCCTTAGGAGTTTCAGACATACCTGATGGGGGGAAACCCTTCAGTTTATTCCACCAAAGCTCTTCTCATGCTTCCTTCCCTCTCTCTCTCTCTCTCCGAAAGCTGGAGAAGGCGATGAGAAGGAACGTCCCATTCCATCTTTGTGCATCCACCTCTCTTGCATCTGTCTGCATCTGGCCTCCTTTTAGCCCCTGAGGTCTTATTGGATGTCCGCACAGCCATCTGGAAAGCTGCTTATCCAGATCAGCTACCCAAAGAATCTTATCTTCTCCTCTGGCTTTCCTGGCTTCCAAAAGGATGCGGTCCAGGACAAGTGATCATGGTTGGCTAATAGATCGGGTTGAACATACCTATTATGGAAACTTATAATACTTGCTGTATGCTCCAATGCTCGACAGTGAGAAAGACGTAGCAAGCGAGAGGGGAGGCAAGATGGAGCCAGGTTCAGCTGGGGAGGGGCCAGAGGGCCCCCCTCTCTCCTGGGTTTTGCGTGCTCCAGGGTTATAGCGTTCCCTTTTCACAAACAGTGGAGAAAGAGTTGGATATTGGATTGCTTTACTACACGTCATTTTTTTTCAACTGTTTATAATATTCTTCTGTGTCTACATATTTTTTCTGTGCACATTATTCATCAGAGTAAAAAAAGGAACTATGACAGCCTCGAACAACTATCCTATGACAGCAAGCGAGGACCCAAGGTATATTTGCATGGACAATGCACGCCGCCCACCAACCTAACTAGCAAAATGATGAACTTGGCCACAGGCACAAGGAAAAATTAATTAAAAATCAGAATCAGAATCAAAAAAAATATGTACCAAGCAAGCGAGCAAACTCCATGTTTTTGGTAGCACGTTATTTTATGTTGGGATAAGTTTGGTTTGACCCTGAGAATGGAAATGTAGCAAGCCAGCCCTGGAAATATTTGTTTTGGAGACATGCATGTAAAGCAATAATCAACTTGCAAGTATTTTTTTTCTTTCTTTCTTGAAAAATTGAACCAATCCCTTCCTGCTGTCCTTTCCTTTCCTCTTCTCCCCCCACCTCCTGCCAAAAAGAAATGGTTCCTTGGCGTGAAACTTTCACTTTGATTCCCCACGTTCCCAAGATGAACCTTGTGCATTTTCAAAAATTTTGAGTTCCCCTGGTTTATTGTTTGGTTTTGTTTTTCTGAAAAACAACACTGGTTTGAGTTTTCAATTGCATTGCAAATAAACAAATATGTATCAATGATACTTATATATGCCTTTTTTCCTCTTTTCTCTACAAATGCACGCCTCTCTTTGACTCTTGAGTGACTGCATGCACAGTGCAAAAGTTTTTAAAAATTAAAGAGAAAACAGTATCGATTAATATCAAAGAAAGGGGGAAAAGCCCTAAGAGAAAAAAGAAAAGAAAGAAAAAAAAAGAGAAAAGAAAAGAAAAAATAACTTCCCTCTGCCCTTCCTTTCCATGCCTAGCAGTGCTTTGAAAGAGGGATGGAATTCTCTTTCCTAGAAAGCATGGTTCTGACTCCGCTCTGCGGCCTTTGCACTAATCCCTCTCGCTCACACCCATTGCAGGCCGAGAAGGTGCTTCAGTTTGAACCAGGGACAAAAAATGTGACTTCACTGCTGCTGGAAGCCAAAGAACTGGAGGCTCGGGTGATTATCCTCTCCGCAAGGTAAGCCCTGCACCTAACCACCACCTGCCTTTCAGCGTTCAGGCCTCACACGCAGATGCTGCAGCCGCTGGGTGCAACGATGTCCGGGCCCCTGATTCCTGGGGGGCCCTCCTGTCCTGCACCACTGAGAAGCAGTAGAAGAGAGGTAAATGATGCACCAGATGGGAATCCAGCCAAAGCCAGATGGGTTCCTGGCACAATCACAAGGGAAACCTCGGGGCTACAGACAGGACAGGAAAAAGCCACCCACCTGGCCAGGTGACCACAGCTTAGAGTCCAAACTCTAGGAGCTGTAGAATGGGAGCAGTCCCACCGGTACCAGCACTGCATTCCTTCCAGCAAGCAAACCCCTTTGGCTTCCTTTTGGGCTCCCTCATCCCACCCTCAGGAAACTGCAGAGTGGGAGGGGGAGGCCTTCTACTTCCCCTCTTTCTCCTCGGTGTTAGCCACACGCCATCAATTGATGGGGCTGAGGGCAGAGTCCAGCAGGTGACGCCCCCTGCCTAATATCAGTTCTGCCTTGATGTGACCCAATGATGTTCTCTGCCCTGAGACATGGAACAGCCAGATGCCCAGGCATGGCACAGGTGCCAGCAGTAGTCCTCAGGCAGACCAGAGAGGAGAGTAGTCCTCAGCCAGCAGCGGTTGCAGCTGCCCAAAGAGTCACCGCATCACCAGGGACAGTATCGAGATTGCAGGAACTGGTAGCCCCTTCCATGCTTCACTGCTCAGACCATGCCTGGAATATCCTGTCCAGTGCTGGTCATCACCATACAAGGAGGGCCTCTGGAAGGGATCCATACCCTCTGAAGAGTAGTTAAGGGAACTGGGTGAGGAAGCTTCCAATATGTGAAGGGCCGTCCCAGAGAAGCGGGGCGCACGCATTCTCCACAATGCCTGAGGACAGGGCCAGAACCAGTGGTGGGAGCTTTACTGCGGGAGAACCAAACTCAGAATAAAGGGGGATTTCCTGACCTGTCATGCAGAGGAATAGTCTGCCACTTGGAGCCCATCACTGGAGGATTTCAAGCCAAGGTTGGGCAGCCATTGGTCTGGGATGGCCTGAGGATTCCTGCCCTGGAAAGGGGGCTGGACTAAAAGACTCTGAGGGCCCTTCCAACTCTAGACAATGATTCTATGGTTCCAAAGTCTGGATTTCTACCGGAGCTAAAATTAAAGTTGCCCACCGTTTAAAGTTCAAACTTATTTCTAAGAAATGTATTTCAATCCTCTGCACGTTTACTCAGAATGAAGCACCATTGTATTTAATAGCCTTACATCCTAAAAATGTAGGATTATAGTCCCAGTTACTTGAACATGTTAACTCCAACTCTAAAATTCTAAATTGAGGAGCCAAGTTATCTATTAGCTCTGAGATTATTACATAAAGAAATAAATTGCTAGATAAAACATACGATTCCACACTTTGCAGTTACTGACATAATTTATGCAGCGTGTTCACTCATCCAGCAACTTTGCACTGGCTGAACGGAGAACTGGAAGCTGAGACCCCAAAGGTTCAGCTGGACAGCTCACCTTTAGAGAAACTTCTAGGGTGCCAAACATCTGTGGTTCTTCTGCATGGGTTATTTTCTTAGGTTTCCCACCTATCTTTTGTTTCTTTCCACACAAAGGAAGTGTTAAGAGGAAGGTCCTTGAGAGAGCCTCCCACCTTCCCCAACTCAAGAAATGTTCCAAGAGAAATCAGGATCTTGAGGAATCTTGGCTGCCCACTCCCTGAAAGGGACAATTTCCCTAAACTACTTGCCATTTGGTCCTGATGTTCTGCCTCCCTGGGATCACTGACTATCCAATAATTTGCCCATTCAGTTTGTGAGAGCGTTCTTCCCTAATGCCTCCCTCCTGCAGCCCAAGCCAGACAAATAGACGGCCCCAGCCTCGGACTCCTGCCTTCTGCACTGGAGAAGCCTTCGGGAGCTTCCCTCTCTCCCTTTAAGAGCTGAGGTGGCTCACTGGTTAGAGTGCAGTATTGCAGGCTATTTCTGCTGACTGCTGGCTGACTGCAGTTCAGCAGTTCAAATCTCACCGGCTCAAGGTTGACTCAGCCTTCCATCCTTCTGAGGTGGGTAAAATGAGGACCCAGATTGTGAGGGCAATATGCTGACTTTGTAAATCGCTTAGAGAAGGCTGTAAAGCACTATAAAGTGATATATAAGTCTAAGTGCTATTGTTATTGCTATTAAGGAAGGGCAAGAGATTCCTTGCCAGTGCCATCTCTGTTCTCTTCCAGCGAGGACGATGCCACCACCGTGTATATGGCAGCAGCCAAAGAAAACATGACCGGTCCGGGTTACGTATGGCTGGTGGGAGAAAGGGAGATCTCAGGCAACGCCTTGCGCAATGCGCCAGAAGGTACCCATCCTGGTCCTACCATCCTCTCAAGTCACACAGCTTCTGGTCCCAAGTGCCTTCCTCTTGGCTGTCTAGCATGCTCTGCTGACGTTTCTGTTCTGGGTTGCCAGATGAGAGAATTTACAAGATGGGGAGGGTCAGCAGTAATGTGGCAAACTGAAGCAATGTCCTGCCCAGTGTGGACAGAATGGAAAGATTCATCTTCCACTTCTTATAATTATTTCATGCGGTAAGGACAACCAGCTCGCTCAGGGACTAAGGCGAGGCTCGGAGCCTCCAGGCCCAAAGGCAGTCTCACTCAGACAAGCAGATTCTGGGAGTAAATGGCTCAGGATCGCCGCCCTCGGTGCCCCCAGAGGCCCCAGCCAGCGGAAACGGAGCTCACATAAGGGGGTCTTCTCAGTCTCTTCTCTTTGACCGTTTCAGGACTGATTGGTTTACAGCTCATGAACGGGAAGAACGAATCTGCTCATATCAGAGACGCAGTCGCTGTGGTGGCACAGGCTGTACATGACTTGTTTGAGAAGGAGAACATCACTGACCCTCCCCGGGGCTGTGTGGGGAACACTAACATCTGGAAGACGGGGCCCCTCTTCAAAAGGTAGCGGTTCTCCTGCCCCTGCTCTTCAGGCCGTGGGCCCAGCAAATACTCCGGGAGGAGGGAGGGCCAGCTGAGTCACGGGGCCTGTCCCACTGCCCAAGACCACCCGGAGTACTTCCCCCCGGACCCTCCCGAGAGGCGAAGGGGGCTGAAACGCTGCTGCCTTGAGGCCACACAGCCTGCAAAGCCTAAACGAGACAACTTCTCTTAGGGTGCTGATGCAGACCAAATATGCAGAAGGCGTGACTGGCAGGGTAGAGTTTAATGAAGACGGGGACAGGAAATATGCCAACTATAGTGTCATGAATCTCCAGAACAACAAACTGGTGCAGGTCGGAGTCTACAACGGGAGCCACGTACGTACAGCCCATTTCTTGAATCTTCCTATCCCTTCATTTCAGCTCTAGAAAGGAAGGCCCTGAATTTTGGGCCTCCTGTGAATTTCCATAGTATAAAACGCAGCATAAAACACAGACAGTCCCACACGTCCTGCCCGGCCATCATTAGCGGCTGGAGCCTCTGCCCAGCCCTGCTGGAACAGTTTGTAACTGTCCTGCCTGAATTGCACCTTCACAGTTTCTGCCCAATGACCGAAAGATCGTCTGGCCGGGAGGGGAAACAGAAACTCCGCAGGGCTACGAGATGTCCACAAAACTAAAGGTAGGCTCTGCCTGGTGGCAATGCCCAGCCGGCTTCAGTGGGGAAAAGCCTGTTGGCTCACTTCCAATGAGAGAATTAAATCCGGGTTCTACAGGAGCTGCCCTCCCGGGTTCACCAATGAGGGCTGTCTCTGGGAGTCAGCCGGGGGGGGGGGGGGGCTCGTTGTGACCGCTGAACCTTTCTTCTCCCAAGCAGACTTTAGCAAGGGGCTCCTCCAAGGCCACAAGGCTTTCTGGCCTCTCTTTCCACAGATAGTCACAATCCATCAGGAGCCATTTGTCTACGTGAAGCCCACCCTGGCCGACGGGAAGTGCAAGCCGCTGCTCAACAGCACGGGGGGACTGGTGCAGCAGGTGCTCTGTACTGGGCCCAACGAGACCTTGCCAGGTGAACCTCTCGGCCCGGAATCTAACGCCCCAACTGAATCCACCCACCCACCCAAGACCCACCACTGCCAAGTGAAGGACTGCAGCTCCCACTTTCTCTCCATTGGCAAAATTCGCTGCCAGCAACTTAATAAGTTAAATAGTGAGGAATCCCTCCAAGGCATTTTCTTTATTTGCTTCCACTAATTTTTGATAGCTATTTTCGTTTTTTTTGGAACTAAGAGTCGGACAATTGCACTGCTTTAAATCAACATGCAAAATATTTACACGGCTGTCAAATATCCTTCGAGGAGCCTGGTTCCGCCCAACATTTCCCTGCCCTTATTCCCACCTTTTTCTTAGCCGCATCACAAAGGGAAACCCATAGTAGCTATCTTGAAAGCTCCCTAGTGCACAGGGGACCCGGAGTCGGATCTTCAGAGTGGGAAGGGTTGATCTTTTCGTTTCTCTCTTTCCTCATTGCAACACAGGACGCCCCAGCGTAATGTTATGTTGTTATGGCTTCTGCATCGACTTACTCATCAAGCTTGCGAAGACAATGAATTTTACCTACGAAGTTCATCTAGTGGGTGACGGTAAATTTGGCACACAAGAACGGGTAAGGATATTGCCTTCCTCCCGGTCTAAGTGAAATTGAGCCAAAACAGTCAAAGTTGGCAGTAGTTCTCAATTTGCTTTGAATTTCTAACGCTTATTTTTCTTCCCATTCAAAAAAGGGGGTGGTAAGTCTATGTTACCATCATGCCCAACCACCGTGCATCAACATCTGGAGGTTGGAACCTGTCAGCATTCAACCAAGTTCAGAAACAGCTGCCGCAGGACTAGCTTCAGTTTACAGAGAGGGGCCAGGGGTTAATGACGTGGTTTAAGCCCAAAGAAAGACCAGCTTCCAGAACAGGTGGATAAAGAACCTAAAGCAAGGCAGGGGAGCCTGTGCTGCAAGCAGACAGGGGTTTATATCAAGCAGCTGGCACGGAGGTGAGGAGCTGTAGAGCCCTGTAGACTCCAAATAGGATGTGGCGGCAGCTAAGTGAACTAGCAAGGGATGACTGGCATGCAGGTATTAACCTACCTGGCTTGGAAAAGGCAATGCAGCAGGCACTCCCCAAAGAGAGGAAGCTGAAGGTTTTGACTTGAAATCCCACTTAACTTGCAGCTGGCCTGAAGTTCAGAAAAGAAAGGGCAGGAGGGGTTGTCAGCTGCATTGGTTCTCCCCTGACTCAGCAAAGGCCAAGAGAACCCAATATTTCGACCAGATCAGGCATTACCAGCAGAATATTTATAGCACTGGGTTGATCTGTGGAGTCTTGGGTAACCTCTGAGCTTGGATGTTTGCTTGCAGAAGTTTCACTAGAGAGGTCCCTGGTCAGGATGTCTGCAAGAAACAACCAAGCTCAGAGAGCTCCAAACACTCTTAAGGCTTCCTAGTAGCCACAGTCCATGTTATGCCCCTCCGTTCCGTTCCCTTCCCTGCTCGGACTTCCTAAGCAGCTCATGGCCAGACTCGCCTCGCTCAGAGGGAGGAGCTCATGCACTCACTGAAGACGAGGCTCTTTTTGGACAGGCCTGTGCAACGGAATGACCCTGGCCGGGGCTCTAATTGCAGGTGAACAACAGCAACAAGAAGGAGTGGAACGGGATGATGGGGGAGCTGCTGAGTGGCCAGGCTGACATGATTGTGGCACCACTAACCATTAACAATGAGCGGGCTCAGTATATTGAGTTTTCCAAGCCTTTTAAGTACCAAGGACTGACCATCCTCGTCAAGAAGGTAACACACGAATACCGACAGGGCAAAATGGTAGCCAAGAATATGAAGAGCAGTGGGAGCAAATCCCAGGCCTTCAGCTAAGGATGGAAAGACAGAGCCTTGAGTAAAAGGGCCTGGGCCGTCCTGCAGCAGCGGCTGCCTCCTCTGGAATGAAGCAATCCTTGTCCAGTAATACCCAGCCAAAATTAATTGTAATCCTAACAATAAGTGAAGGGGAGCTGCAGAAATAAAATTTAACAGCAACCTCTCTGATTCGGTGTGGAAGGTCCTTTTGCTTTCCAGCCGATTATGACAAACATAGCAATAGCAACAGCCCTTAACACTTATATACCGCTTCACAGTGCTTTTACAGCCCTCTCTAAGCGGTTTACAGAGTCAGCATATTGCCCCTAACAATCTGGGTCCTCATTTTATCCACCTCGGAAGGATGGAAGGCTGAGTCAACCTTGAGCCTGGTGAGACTTGAACTGCTTAATTGCAGGCAACCGGCAGGCAGCAAAAATAGCCTGCAGTACTGCACGCTCACCACTGCGTGGCCACCACGGCTCTTGAATAGACCCTCCATGTTTGGGGGCAGCCAATCCCTGAATTCCTCTTGCTCTGTGAAGGGACAAGAGTGGCAGGGTAAGAGTTTCCGCTTTCCTGCCCTGCCTGAGGATTTCCCAGCAGCACTGGAGTCTCAGTGATGGGAAACCGGTCTAGGCCACGTTGGCCTGATCCACCCTGTTTTCAGCAGATCTCCGGATTCTGGCTGGAAATGGCCCACTCATTGCAGGCTTTTTCCAGCCGTGATTTCCTTCTGTGTTGCAGGAAATTCCCCGCAGCACTCTGGATTCATTCATGCAACCATTCCAGAGCACATTATGGCTCCTGGTGGGGCTGTCGGTGCACGTGGTGGCCGTGATGTTATATCTACTGGACCGTTTCAGGTACCTGAATCCTCAGAATGGGGAGGGAGACCCGGTGTGTGTGTGTCTGTGTGGCTGTGGTGGGTGGGGATTGGTCATGAAAAGCCTCTGCAACTGGAGATGCTGGGATCCAGAAAATTGACAACGATGTTGCTCAAGATGGAAAATCCAAAGGCCATCGCCATCAGTTCACTAAGCAGCCACTTAACCATCTCAGGGTATGCTTCCTTTGCATGATTTATTCCACATCCAGTTGGAGGGAAAGGCAGGGAAATCCTGAAGCTTACGTTCTGCTCAAACCCTCAGAGTTTTCTTCCCAGCCGGAAGGTCTGAATACCTGTTTCTATTTGGTAATCCTCAGACCTTCAGGCAGTGGAATGAACCGGAAGCCTGCTCTTGTATGGACAGCCATATCAGTGCCAATAGCGGCACTTCCTAGATGGGACAGAACTCAATCAAGTGGTGTTGCCTGTCTCTTTTGCAGTCCCTTTGGCCGATTCAAAGTGAACAGTGAAGAAGAGGAAGAGGACGCTCTGACGCTTTCATCGGCTATGTGGTTTTCCTGGGGGGTCCTTCTGAATTCTGGCATCGGAGAAGGTGAGCCTCAGACCCCCTGGGGAGGGAAATCGCTGTTGCTTTGTGCCATCAGAGGGCAGAACGCGTTCACCAGAGAGGAGAGATGAGGAGTCAGTAGAAGGATCTCCCTAGAAATGCCTCCCTTGATCTTAAGGCCTGTCCCGTTTTTTGTTTTTTTTTCCCTTTTGGGTCATTAAGTTCCATGTCAAGCAGAGGAAAAACTTTCTGTCCCTTCCTCTCCAACGTCAAGAGATTCCTTGTTTCTTTACTCTCTTGACTCTATCAGGTGCCCCAAGAAGTTTCTCAGCTCGGATCCTTGGCATGGTCTGGGCTGGTTTTGCCATGATTATCGTGGCCTCCTACACTGCCAACCTGGCTGCTTTCCTGGTGTTAGACCGACCAGAGGAACGGATCACCGGCATCAACGATCCTCGGGTAATGAGAACGGCAAACTGCCTCCAAACAGTGGCCTGTGACTCAGGAGGTGCTACTCAAATATTTCAGTGTATAGAACCAAAAAGAGGGCCCAGAAAAAGAGGGTATGTCTCTTATGATCACCATAAGAGAAACAAAAAGCAAGAATTGTCAGTGAGGGAAGGCTCCACCGCCCTGACCATCCAATATAGCCCTGGTTCAGATTTGATGGAGGGCAAAGCGGTGGGGGGGGGGGAGCCAAGAGGGTAAAATCTTCTTGTTCTTGTTTCCCAGTTGCGAAACCCTTCGGATAAGTTCATCTATGCCACCGTGAAGCAGAGCTCGGTAGACATTTATTTCCGGAGGCAGGTGGAGCTAAGCACCATGTACCGGCACATGGAGAAACACAATTACGAAAGTGCTGCTGAAGCCATTCAGGCTGTTCGGGACAAGTAAGTGTTCGTCTGCAGCGCTCCTGTCTCCCCTCACGGCTTCTCCTCTCAGGTCTCCTTCCTGGAGCAAAGGATGGATCAGCATAAAGCTCAGAGCCTTCGGACTCTTCCAGCCCAGCTGCCTTTAGAGTAAGAAATGAGCTCCTCCCTGGCTCAAGGAAGCAGGCCAGGCACAGATGCTCTCTACAGCCAGTTTAAGTCAGAGGTGAAATGCTCCCGGTTCGGACCGGATCGCCCAATCCGGTAGCGATGACGGCGGGTGGTTCGGAGAACCGGTAGCAAAAATCCCTGCCCCCCCCCCATGCCCAGCTGAGTCACGCAATCATCAGAGGCTTTTTAAAAAAATTTCAAAGCACTTTTTCTACAACCTCTTCAGCCGAAACAATGCTTTTAAAAATAAAAAAAAGCCTCTGATGATCGCGCGGCTCAGCTGGGATCGTCAGAGGCTTTTAAAAGCAAAAAAAAAAAAGTTGGCCACGCCCACCCAGTCACATTATCCCCACTACCACCAAGCCACACCCACAGAACTGGTAGTAACAAATTTTACATTTCATCCCTGGTTTAAGCCCACCGCTGCTTTGGGAGGATCCGGCCACAGTAGAGGCAGCGGGCTCAGTAGGTTCCCCACACAGAAACGAGCAAGCAGGCAGTTCCCTCTTCTGATCAGTGGACACAGAGGGCGACTGGCTGAGTTTCTCTGCGAGGCAGCCCAGTTCCTTCGTCACGCCTTCTCTCCATCTCTTCCCCATTTACTTTATGGCCCTCCTTCCATCTCCACCACAGCAAGCTCCACGCCTTCATCTGGGACTCGGCTGTACTAGAATTTGAAGCCTCGCAGAAGTGTGACCTGGTGACTACAGGGGAGCTTTTCTTCCGCTCCGGCTTCGGCATTGGAATGCGCAAAGACAGTCCCTGGAAACAGAACGTCTCTCTGGCCATCCTCAAGTCTGTACTCTGTCTGTGGGGGAGAGGGGAGGTGGGAGAGCGGAGAGCTTTGGGAAGGGGGCGGGTGGGATCAAAGGCCAGTATGCTTCTTTGAGCATGACAGTCTGTGTTTTTTAAATAGGCTGTACACCGCCCTGAGTCCTTCGGGAGAAGGGCGGTATAGAAATAAAATTATTATTATTATTATTATTATTATTATTATTATTATTATTATTATCAGTAGAAAGACAACAGGCCTCTCAAAACACTAGATTTCAAAGATACGCTTCCTAGAGTCAAATAATTGACAAATTATTGTGTCAGAGCCCCAAGCACACGCCACTCTGGGCTATTCACGAAGGGTACTCACTCAGATGGCTGCAAACATCCAGGCAATGGCGAGATGGCAGTAGGGAGTAGTGTTTCTGTATTTCCTTGTTTCACTCACTGCAATCCTCTGCCGCTGCCTCATTCCGGCCAGCTTCTGTTGACTATGTGGCCACTGGCTGGATAAGTCAATCCATCCTGATACCAGAAACATGGAAGAGTTGTTAGTAATCCGTGGGAGAGCTCTTTGGGTTTGTGTGTGTGTGTGGGGGGATAAATCCTTACTGGGAGGTAAGGGAGAAGAGTACGGGGCGCAGTTTAAATCTCTTCCCATTGGAAAGCTTAGCTCAGGTTATACCGGGACAGAGAAGAAGGCCCTATGGTTCTCCTCCCTGTGCAGCAGCAGGAGTAGCTTCCTTCCCCCGGCGAATCATCCGTGCCCCCTTCTTTTGCTTCCAGCCTCCACGAGAATGGCTTCATGGAAGAACTTGACAAGACTTGGGTGAGATATCAGGAGTGTGATTCCCGCAGCAATGCTCCGGCAACACTCACCTTCGAAAACATGGCAGGTAAGGTGGCTGCTTCCCACCTGCTTCGCAATCCCCTAATTTTTCTTTGGATTTCCCCAAACTTTTCAAAAACGTTCTCCTTAATTTCTTCCAATTCAATGCATGTTTGACTTCAGTGACATGTAAGCTGTTATCACAGAAGATCCTGACTATGGTTGCAATGAATTAACCTTTTTCTGGATCAGCATAATAGACTGAAACCAATTGACGCAATTGAAGTCCTATCAGTTCAAAAGCTGAGTAGTCTTAACAAATGAGTGACTGTAACCACAAGGTTTTTGATTGGCAGGGTACACTGTGGTAGTGGGGGTGAGGCAGAACCCTGGGGGTGCACCCAAAGGCCCACTAGTGGAACTGGGCCGAGCTTGGTCCCTTCCCTCAAGTTGTCCTTTAGATCCAAGAGGAGCCAGACTCAGACACCACGCTGGCCGTGCCGTCTGCCATGTGGAAAAGCAGTACGGAAGGTTCAATCTGGCTGAGGGCCATGGCCAAGTGGGAACATGCTCAGCTACCAAGATTGCCTGACTGAAAGCATCTGCAGCTCTCGGCAGCCTGGAAGCTGTAGGCATCACGGGAGCCAAGAGGCGGCTATAATATCCCTAGCTGAGCCATGGAACGATAGGATAAAATGGGGCTTTGCTCTAATGCCGCTCATCACAGAGCAAATGGTTTCTTGAATTTAGAATAGCTTTATTGTCACTTTAAATGTACACTAGTCGGCACACATCAATTTCGTTGATGTGGAATTTCGTTGCATACAGCTCTCAAAGGGTCACCTCCTCCAGTATATACTACATGAACATGACAGAAATAAATAAATAAATAAATAAATAAATAAATAAATAAATAAGCATACACCCACATATATTATATGACACAGTTTGCCTCTATGTCAGTGAGGAGATGGGCATGCTCAAATGCCTCAGCCAGGAAAGAAAACCTCTGAAGGCCCAACCGCTTATTGACCTGGGAAATGTTGCCAGGGATGCTCCCCTCCTATCCTCCTGCCACTCAGAAAAGCAATGGCAGGAGTCCTTCGTTGGCATCGCAGTTCTGGAAACCTGGGAAATACCAGACTTCCTCACCAGGAAGCCTCCGACAAAGCAGATGGCACGGAGGCTTCTCTGCCCGAGAGGGGTATTTTCATGATGAAAGGGAGCTGGAGAAAGCACCGCAGTCTCCGTCCAGATGTCTCCTTTGGGTTAACCTTCCTGCTTGTTTCAGGTGTATTCATGCTGGTGGCTGGAGGTATTGTGGCCGGGATATTTTTAATATTCATAGAAATAGCATACAAAAGGCATAAAGACGCCCGGAGGAAACAGATGCAACTGGCGTTCGCGGCAGTTAATGTGTGGCGGAAAAATCTGCAGGTAGGACAGACCGTTTTTAGAGCAACACCTCCAAAACAGGTGCGGTTTTTTTTGTTTCCCATTACTTCACCCAATCAGTGACTACCGTGCTATGTGGGATGCCCAGAGGCCTCCCTTCCCGCTTGCCACTAACAGAGGCAGCAGTTCCACGGGGGGGGGGGGGGGGGGGGAAGGGAGGGGGGTGTTACACACATGCCCCAAGCCCACATCCTGCTTTCTGGGGAGGCCAGTGGGGCACTCTGCAAATCCAGAGATTGGACAGGCCAGGGGCCCTCAGCCAGGCTTCTCTTCCCTGGGTGTGGCCCAACTGCTGCGCTTACCAGCGGGGCCCTCCCCCTTCTCCCCCGTTTCTCTTCTGGCCATCCAGGAGTCCAATGCTAGGAAAGATGGCGGTACCGTAAGGCTGTGATCGGGGGAGCACTTCCAGGAAGGAGGCCTTAGGCGATCCAGTGCACAATTACATGGCTACAGATATTCACACAACCCGTGGCCCTAGTTCCATCCAATGTCCCTTTAGCATCCCCCGTTGCCAGAAGAGGAGAGTAGAAGGGATGGAAATCTCTCCTGGCCCCCCCCCATTCCCACCACTGAGGCCCCAGAGACAACTTTTCGAAGAAACACGCTCACCTCTTGCCCATCCTTTCACGTGCCAGCAAACTGGATCCGATCAGTGGCTCATGTTACTGGTATATTTTTCCCCACGGTCTGCACAGGACTTAAGCCAGAATCTGCCAGACCCGGCTTCTTCATGCCAATGCCGCCCATAAAACCAACCAGGTTTTGGCCATCAAATCGGAATGCCTGCTGCTACCACCTTCAGTATCACAGACTAGGGCACCCAGCTGCTGGTTTGCCGCACCCTTCCTTGCAAACGGTGTGCCCACAGGCCGCCCTCCTCTCATTTCACGGAGAAGCGCAAGGGAAGTGGTGTCAGAGTAATGCCAGAGGAAGCCCCCTGTACAGAGAAGGAAAAGCCAAGAGAGCCTGGCAGGCCCATTCCCACCTGCAGGTGCGCCTAGCGCTGCTGAAGCACATTCAAGGCTCGGGGGGGAGATACCAGAAGAAGGCAAGCCATCCAATGGGAAGCCACCCACCAACACAACCATCAATGAGCCAATGAGTCCTTACCTCCCTCGCTTACCTGCCCCGCCCCACAGCCATGCAGAAGGGGGTTAATCCAGAACAAGAGCACATTAGTCACTGCCATTTTTCACTTGCCAACTTTCTAGAAAAAGTCCTGCCCTGGGCCATGTGGGGGGGAAAAAGAATCTGTGGGGCGGTCAAGCATGCCACCCCAGGGGTGATAAATAAACAGAGAACGATGCTAAGAGATCCGTTTGACAATGTAAGACTTTTTCACAGGAGGATTCCTCAGACCACTAGTATCTGGTACATTGCTAGAAGGTAGGCAAGTGGAAAGATTTCTTTCTTCAAGAAAAAAAAATACAAAAAGCAAATATATCTATAACTTTTTTTGTTTGGTTTTATTTTGCTACCTGGGGAAATCACAGTTTTGCCATGGCTATTTTTGGCAATGCCATGGGAAGGCAAAAAAAAAAAAAAGAAAAAAAAGAAAAAAAAAGAAAAGAAAAGAAAACCCAAAATGAAACCCCTCCCCTCCCTTCCCATCCTCTTGCTAGCTTTTCTTTTTCTGTGCATGCGCGTCGGAGTCATGGAGAATAACTGGAAAGGAGGAGGAAATGTATCCCCCGCGCATGCTCCATGCACCTGTGGGATACATTTTTGGTCACCCCGTCACGGGCTGGTAGAACCACACCTGGTTTCACCTTTTCCTCTCCCAAAGGGGTTAAAGAGAAAAAGAATGGGAAGAATTCGGATCGGCTGGGCTCCCCCACTCACCCTGCCCCACAAGAAAAGCAAGTTCCCCACGGTGCTGACCAGGTTTGACTGCCTACCACCCAACAGCTGTCTTTTTTGCCCCTCTTCATTCTGTTTCTTTGAGTTCCTGGCATCCTTAACTATCATTCAGAATTGTAATGCTTTGCTTATTCCCTTTCTTTTCCTTGTTTTAAGTTTTAATTTCAAGAGATTTTTGTTGTTTTATTTTTTTATATTTTATTTTATGTTGAAAAACAGTTCAAGTTTTACGCCAAGCATCACTGAAATTTTTGGAATACTTTTTTTTAACATACAATGACCTTCTCTTCCAATGCAGTCCTCTCTCTCTCTTGTGGCCGTAGGATTCACCTTCAGAAAAGGCCCTGAGCATTTTTATTTAGTGGTAGGTGAAAGTGTCTCACCTCTCTCTCTAGTTAGACCAGCTGTGACAGACAAGAAGGAAGGGGCAGGGAGTGAGATGTTCCCCTAGGGCCCCATGATGCTGTGTCCGTGTTTCTCCTGGGGAGGCCATTGGAGCAGCCAAGGCCTCTGGAGTGTATAAAATGCAGCAGAAATCCAGCTGCTGGCTCTGCCCCCCCTCCCCCCCCCCATGCCCATCTTAAGGGGATCCTTTCCACCACATCTCAACTTAGTTCCGAAAGAGTCCTTCCGACCAATCGGCCCTCGTGTAATTCCCAAGCCAAGTGTCAGGGCCACGTGTATGTCTGGGACTGAGAGCCATCAGGAGATGGTAGGCATTGTCTTGGCCATAGAAGACAGACAAGAGACGTATCCAGGATCGTCACATGGGGCTGTGTTCATCTAGGTGTAGAGATCCAAGCCACCCAATGGAGATCTAATCGCTTATATACATATTCATTTTAGGATAGAAAAAGTGGTAGAGCAGAACCAGACCCTAAAAAGAAAGCCACTTTTAGGTCCATCACCTCTACCCTGGCCTCCAGCTTCAAGAGACGTAGGTCATCCAAAGACACGGTAAGAGGAAGAAAAACAATTGTGCCCTCTTTCTTTTTTCTCACTCTCTCTCTCTTTCTTCTTCTACCATCCCATCAACTACCACACACCCATCCCGAAGCTGCCCGTGTGACCTACCATAGCCTCATGTCCGTCAAGAGTCAGTTGGTCGGTCGGTCAGTCGGTCAGTCAGTCAGTCAGTCAGTCAGTCAGTCAGTCCCGTGTCCCTTGGCAAATTTCAAAGCCGAAGAGGGCAAAGGAGGTTTTGAATGCTTTGTAGTGTTCTGTGAAGAGTTTAGAGATAACTGCAATGAGTTTCTTGTTCTAGTTTACTTATTTATTTATTTTGAATTCTTTTCTTTCATTCTGTTTAGAATTGTGGTTTAAGTTTTGCTCACTTTACTGATACCAACAAAAATCAGCTCCCCCCCCCCCACTGTTTTCTGAGTGTTCCTGTACCTGTTTGTCCCTATATGCTTAAAAGCGGTTACCGACCCCTCCTGCACTCACAGTCCCCCTCCCTCTAAATTCTTCCCTTCTAAATCTGGGCAATGTCTCACCTCACGCCGAGCCACATGTTCATTGTATTCTTTACTTGTAACTTTTGTTTGTGTTTTTCAAAAGAAAGAGGACATTTTAAAAAAATTTGTTTTACTTTACTTTTTATGTGAATAAGTGGCAACAATAGTCTCTGCTTATAACACTCCGGACTGAGCTGTGAAGGCTGGCAATCAATCAATCATTCTCTAGAAAGCAAAAGTTGTTGCTGTGTGTTGGTGTGTATCTCCCCCAAACGCTAGCAATCCAGCCCAATGAGAAAAATGCTCCTCTGTTTTAAACCCAAACTCCCTGCCAAAGGAGAGGCTCATGGAAACGCTTGCTCTCAGCTTTCTGCTTTTCAACATGCCCCCAGCGGGGCAGGGGCACAGGGTTGCATGTAGAAATGGAGCAAGGGAGGGCATCTCCCATCTGCATGACCTGGACTGGATCCCATGTACTACTGCATGTTGAAATATTTGGGAAGGAGGAAATGGAATTTCTCTTTTCTGCTCTGCAGCACAACACCAGGAATTGGCTCACAAAACTATTTCTTGCAGTGAGCTTAAATAAAACTTTTAAATATTTATTTTTATTTAAGATTTCCTTTTAAGGGAGGGTATAGCTCGTAAGAGTGTTTTTTGAACTGCAAGAAGCTACCAGGAAAGCAGGGAGTCCCAGTACCTTTCCCCCACATGATAAGGCAGGAGAAGTGAGAAAGCTTTCCCTGCTGCCTGCAAACTGGCAGGTTCGGGGCTGGGCTCAGTTGTGGAAAACAAAAACCTGAACCGATAGAAGAAGAAAAAAAACCCTGCAAAGGAGGAAGGATATTCGGGCCCCAAAACTACCCCAAAGGTGTTTTTTCAGGAGGAAACTGGACTTTCTTGACTTTCCTGTTAAGTCCAGTTGCCTACTGAAAAAGCACCTTTGGAACAACCATAACCTGGATGACTGAGAATCCCTACAGACTTTTATCCCAAAACTACCTCTGTCAAATGCAGCCTGAAGTAAAGTTCTGAAGAAATTGCTTTCCTTCACGGGTGCCGCCCGTCCTTTGCTAAGGACAAAGGAGCACAGTGTAGGGCCAGGGTACTGTCGGTGCTCCCCCTGGATGAGTGGGGCCAAGATGCTGGCCCTGTTTCCTATGAGGTTCAGCTCCAACCCTGCCCCTCAGAGCAGTCCCTAGCTCGGGCTCCTTTCAAATGCCTCCTTCCACAGGCCCCACAAAGTTCTCAGGGCAGCCTTCAGCACTTTGGGGCAGAAGGTCTCCTGGCCACTTCTCCCTCCTCCCTCCCGATCGATGGACAGGTACGTCCCAGGAAATAAGCCAAAATGGTTCTCCGGGCAAGGAGCCATCTTTCTCCCAAACCAAAGCCAGCCTCAAAAGCAGCTTCCCTGGAAGTCACTGTTCCTGCAGCTCTGGGGGATTGAGCGGCTAGGCTGAACCCCCTGCTGGCCCACAAGGCATCCAGGGCCTTCTTACAGACAGCCCTAAAGCCCTTTCTGTCCTACGTGGGACGCCCATGGTTTAACAGGGTGGTCTCCCCACCGCACGCAGCCCCCCTCCTATCAGCACCTTAGAAAATTGGCACTTGAGGGGCTGAGGCTGGATATCCCTCCCAAACTGTGGTTAGAATTCCAGCCGGCTCAGCCCTGGAGAAAAGCTTTCTGGGCACCCTCCAGCATCAAGTCTCCAATGCCCAGAGGGCACAAACTGACCAAATTGCTCCACTGACAACCAAGTCTCGCGCCCGCAGCTTCTCCAGTGGAAGCAGCTGACATGGGCAGGCGGACTCCCAATCACCTTGTCAGGGAGCCTCCAGCTGCCAGGGCAGATCAGGAAAGGTGGTGCCAGCTGAAGATTTCCTGAGAGCGCACCCCCCCCCTCCAGGCCAGGCACAGGCTTCAAGGGGTGGCCTTCCCCTCAGGCAGGCCTGGGGGCTTTGGGTGCTGGGAAGGCCCCCCTGAAACCTTCTCCCTTCCACTGAGACGGCCCACAGCCACGCCCTTTCCTGGTTGCCCCCCTTCCCCTGACAGGACTTTATGATGAAGACTGAAGCCGTTTTGTCGGGGGGGGGAGGGCAAACCTCCCAGGGAGATAAAGCCCAACCAAAGGGGCCCTTCCATCTTTAAGATGGTGGCTCTGCCTAAACAATGCCCCCCCCCCAGGAGGCCGAAGGCAGGAACCCCCCTTCCTCCCCATGACCCACTCGTGGGCCCAGGGGAGCCATTTCTCCACCCAGGCATCTCTGGGGGAAGGCCCAGCGCCCTTCTCTCTGAGGGAAGGGTGCCCACTTGACTCTGCCACTGTGGCGCAGGGAGTGGAGAGGTCAGGCAGTGGCTTCCCTCCCTCACCGCCCCTAAGGCTGGCAATGTGGAAGGGTCTGGGCTGAGGGGAAGCCCCGCCCCAAGCAGCCCCTGGGGGCCCAGATTACAACTGCATACGAGGAGCCCTGCAGGGAAGGGCATCTGGCCCGCAGCGGAGACCACCCGAGTAAAATTGGGGGGGGGCACAGCAGCCCACAGGGTGTCTCTGAGGGGCAAGGGAAGCCACTCCTGGCCTCTTTTGAAGGGCGCTTGGCTGGCAGTAGGTGCTCTCTGGCCCTTGCACTCTCCAACTGGGCTTCCTTGCAGACCCTCCGCTGGCCTCTTGCAAATAGGCCCTGTGGGGGGGTTGTCCAGGGGCCCCAACTCCACTCCCCGAAGCTCAGGAATGTGCCATGCTGGCAGGCCCCTGGGGATAGCCTTGTTTGCCAAGGGCCTCTCCAGGAAGGGAGCCTGGCATCTGCAGGGCGCCACCTATCTAGGCCTTGCCTTGCCAAAGCTAGCCATGCCGATTCTGCTCATAGCAAAGAAATAAAAGCAGGGGAAAATCTTACCCTTTGCAGCCAAGCCTTCTATTCGATTCCAGTCTATCCAGGCCTTCCAAGTTTAAAATGGAGCCCAGCCTAGTGTTTTTAAGGTAGGCCGAGCTGCATCCAGTGCTAGCCTCTGGGTGAGACTGCCACCAGCAATCCGTTGGCCGGAGCCAGGAAACCTCTGTGGAAGAAACGGTTCCTCCCTTCTGGAGTCCCAGTGACAGCAGCTCTGCCATCCCAGGATCCACCTTTGGAGACCCGGATTTTATCCCAAGGGATCAAAGGGCATTTCCATTTCCAGGCTTCCCAGAGGAAATGGGCTGGAGATGCTCTCAAAGAAGATGGAAGAGCTGACAGCCATTGGTTACACCTGTAAAATCTTTATAAATAGGATTCCCTTTTCCATCCTACTTGAGTGCAGGATCAGTGGATCATACCGATCCACGAGACAGTTCTGGGCTGGGGAAAAACACCACAAAACTAGCTTGTAGCTTGCCCTGCCATGACGTCCCATGGCCACCCCTAGTTCTGACTGCTTCCAGCCCAAAGGCCCAGTGAGGCCACAAAGCAGAGCCCTCCCAGTGGTAATTATGCTGAGGGCATCGACTCCACCAGGATTTCTGCGATGCTCATGAATCCCCCCAAGGTTTCATTCCAGCCATGATAGGAACCGGAGGCCGGGCAGGATTTAATCCAGTGAGCCTTCAGGGCTTTTTTTAGGGACAAAATCAGCATCAAGCAGCCTCTGCATCAAGAAACAGGCACAGCAGCTAGCCGAGTGGGCAGATATGTGGCTGCATTTGGGGATCATGGAAGGCCAGGCAGATGAAAAACCTTTCCTCTTAGACTCCAGTCTTGAGTGAAGAAGACAGACAGGTTTACATGCGATGAGGGGAAGGGACATTCTTGATGGATTGCTCAGGCTTCTCGAAGGGCAAATGCTGCAGGTTTGTTGGGCGGGCAAGGTGGCATTCTGAGGGGCACCGTGGTGAGGGTCGATGCTCTTTGCACAGCTGGATTTTGCCTTTAACTCTGGAACTGCAGCCAATGCCTCTGTAATAGACAATGTGCCATTCATGCGCCTGCTCCCTACAGACAGCCCCGCGATGTCACCACGCCCAGCATCCGTGAGCTGCAGTGCAGATAGCCCTGTAGAGACTCCCGGCTTCAGGAGCTGCTCAGCACAGGGTGGGCTCTTGTCCTGAATGTTGATTGACTTTTGTCCTGTACCCACGTCCTGTATTACGGGGGTCTGTAACGGGCAAGGAGCGTGAGGGCCCAGGCAGGGGTGAAGGGCAGGCCCCAGAGATCCCGGGAGGAGGGTGCCAGGAGGAGGGGGGGCAGAAGGGGAAGGGGTGGTGGTGGCACGAGCATTCTTTGAAATGTCCCCTGTCTACAGAGAAGAGACGCTGACTGGCCGGAAGTTGGCGGAACTCCAGGGCTGTCATGGCTGAAACGTGCCAGAAGGGGATTAGTTGCTCTCCAGGCGGTTGAACCGGAGGGCCGCCGAGGCTGTCATGTAACACGTCCACCCACCCCACCACCCTGTCCCAGGCGGGGATCCCTGAGAGATGATGCAGGTCTCTGTTGTCCTGGCAGGCAGGTGGGGGAGGCGCAAGCAGGGCCAGGAGGGAAGAGCAGCAGTCCAGCTTGGGGTCACCAACAATTGTAGCTCTGCCGCCAGGCAAGGGAGTGGCAAAGGAGGCCATGGGCTTCCCACTGGGCATTCCCTTCGCATTCCGCTCGTGTGTGCCAATCATTGTTTTTTTAAAAAACATGGCTACAATAGCACTTATTTAAATCTCTGGGGCAATTTGAAGTTTATTTTTGCCACAAGCTATTGCTACCGGGCAAAACAAGTAGCTTTGTACTCTAATAAATTGAGGGGATCCGCTGGGGTTCCCCAAAAGGTTTTCCTCAAAGAGACCAAACAAGCAGAGTGGCCCTTCCTAGGCACTAGCCCTCCCTCCTCCAGCAGGGACAGCAGAGACGCTTTCAGAGGCCTTGTCTCTACATCCCCCCTTAGCAATTATCTTCCCAATTTATCATAAACCAAGCTCACTGAGCTGCTTCGTTCTTTACTCCCTGGCCACTGAAGCCACGTCCCAGGGTGCTAAAACTAAGAGGGGGAGGAAAGTGCCACCAACTCCCGGTGGTTCTGGGGAGAGACTTTGGGCCCCGCCCTGGCCAGGCTTCCCTTGTGGGCTGCATCCTGTGCAGGGGACCTTCCACTGGCACTCGGCATGCGCAGGCTGTGGCCCAAAGCGAGGGGCAGAGACGGCCCGTGCATCATCCCTCAGCGATCTCCCACCAGGACCTGCGTCTCAATTGCATCAGCTGCTCGCAGCCAACCCCGCCCCGCCTAACATCTGGCCCGTCTGTCTGTCTGTTTGTCTCTTGCAGCAGTATCACCCCACAGACATCACTGGGCAACTCAATCTCTCTGACCCCTCGGTCAGCACCGTGGTGTGAGATCTAGGGACGGACCAATGGAGACTCCGAGGGCCCTTCTGGAGACACCAAAGGGAAGCCTTTGACATCCACCCACGGCGCCTGCATTGCTTTCTTCCCTCCGGCCCCAATAGATCCCTGCTTCCTCCAAGGGTGACCAATCTCACTTGTGGCCTTGGAATGAACTACTGAACACCAGGAGGCCTGGGAGCACCTCCGTTTTTCCTAGAGTGTGGCCTCCATTTACTTCTCCTCCAAGACACGCAGAGAAGGTAGTTCTGAGGGAGACGCCCACCCAGGAGAGGATGGATGGCACATTCAGTGAAGCGGACCGGGTCTCTTGCCGAGGGGAAGAGTCTCGTCATCATTCCATGCATGCACAGAACTCAAGCCCGCCTTACTTCACATGACTGTTTCTAGACTGTATCAGGGGTCTGTGAAGAGGCCCCCCAGCCCCCCAGCTCATGGTTCTCTTTGTTTATATATAGCATTCTGTAAAAAAGACCTGCTGGTCCACCACCTCCCACCCAGAGAGCCCTGTGGCCCCTTTTTTTTTAGGCTGCTACCGTGAAGGTGCCAGTGTTCCCTCAGGACACCCAAGGTTTTCTCTGATGGGAGGGGGGACTCTCCCCATCTCTCTCTGCTTTGACTACTTCTTAGCTCGTTTGTGAAAGAGAGTTTTAGCCAACCCCTTCCACGCCTCACACCTGGTAAAGCAACATTTCCAGCAGGACGGGAAGTTCCCAGCTTCTCTGCAACTCTTTGCTGGCTGTTGATCCAAATCTCCAGCTCTGCTCCTCTTCTGCAGAAGTGCTTTCCAGTCTCTGCCCCGGACGGACAGCCAGCGCTGACCCCTTTGCTCCTCTCCTAGGCTGGGATCAAGGGGAGCCTTGGAGTTGTTCCTCTCTTCTCACATGTTTTATGGCTACATGCATGGAGATTTGTAACAAATCTCTCTGGCAAACAAGCCCCTGCCAAGATCTGCTAGCCTTTTAGACCGAGAGGGTCCTGATTTTTTCCTCCCCTGGCCTCAGAACACCATGCCCCCAACCGAATATCCTGTGGTCCAACCTGTGCCACTGCCTTCTGGAAAGAAAGCCAGGCCTCCTGGCTCTCCAGCTGAGAGTTGTGTTGGTTCCAGAGTTTCCATCTCTGACCCTGATTGATCCTCACAATATTTTTCATTCTCCCACTCAGGAGGACCAAAGTACCAGCCTTATCACTACTCCAGCAGCTCTCTGCCACGTAACACTGGCCTGTCTTCTAGGATGGTTATGAGTTTGACTGAGGTAACCCTATAAAAATATTCTTCTGGTGTTAAACTGGAACCCCAAATCCGTTTTTGCAATTGTGGATGCAGAATCTCAAGATTTAAGATAATCCCACTTTGCCCAAAGATTATATGCTCTGTCGAGAAGCAGAAGCACCCTTAATCTACTCCCCTCCATGCCGCAAGGTCAGAGCCCAGGGCAGGCTGCAGGCAGGAGGGGCAGGCCCGGAGGCCTGGGGAGCTCTGAGCGAGCGAGGCCAGGGTGTCACTCTGACGCTGCTTGTGAGAGTCGGCAAACCTGATTCCGCACAGTTCACATTGCAGCTGCCCAGGGGACTCGAGTATGGTTAGCAAAGTAGTGCCAACTTGGGGTGCCTCTCAAGAACTCCCAACCTGGAGGAGGCACCTCAACACATGACCACGGCCTTCTCCTACACCCCCCCCACCCCCATTGTACCCTTCAACCTGGATCCTAATTTACCAAGCTGGCCTGTGTGCACCCACACGCATTCTGTACATGCTTACTCAGAAGTAGGGCCCATTGCATTCCCTGGGACCTTCTCCTAGGTAAGTAGAGATGGAACTGTAATTCTAACTAGAGTTTTTGAAATAAAGCATAAGACTTTGGACAGGTGCCCAGAGCCGCACTGAAGAAGCAGTGTTCAATAATTAAGAGTTATCATACATATGTATAGTTCTGCTGTGGGTTTTTGTAATAGTGAATTTAAATCCATTACTTTAAAATGACATATTCTTGCCTGTGTGTGTGTGCATGTGTACCTGCAAGGACTCTTATCCCAAAGGTGCTTTTTTTTCCAAGAGGCAACTGGGCTTTCTGGTTTTTCTTTGAAGATGTTTCGCTTCTCATCCAAGAAGCTTCTTCTTAAAGGTCCAGTTGCCTCTTGAAAAAGCACCTTTGGGATAACTGAGACCTGGATGACTGAGAATCGCCACAAACATTTTGCAAGGACACTTCTTTACTTAAATTCACGGCGAAGAGGAAAAATAAGAGGCAGCAGCCTATATTTCCCTTCCTCACTCTGAACTTAAATAAAATTTCCTCAAAGACTCGCCACAAAAGTCTCTGCTCCTTACAGGCGCTGACAAAGACTAGAAAGACTGGTTGGTAGATGTGCTCCCGATTCCCCAGACGCAGCCCGGTTTTAGAAGTTAGCTGCCCAACCACAGCAACTCTTGAAATTTTGGATGGTTCAGCAAAAACAAATACTGAAAATACCTGACAAGTTGCAGTAGCTGGAAGCAGAAGATGCCGTCTGAGGTGGAGCTGGAAGTCACCTGCAGAGGCTGGAAAAGACACCACACAGAAGGCCCAGCAGGAGCAGAAGGGTAGGTTGGAGAAGAAGGAAGGAAGGGAGGGAGGAAACAGGAAGGGGACCTCCAATAATTCTTCGCACCTGAAGAAATGATGGTGAGACAAAGCAGGAGATGGGATTGGATCTCCCAGATCACATGACTCTGGCTGTCAGGAAAGCACTGGATTTTAGCAGCTATATCATGGCTGGAAAGGCTGATCCCAAGACATGGCCCAGCTGTGGCTTTGTTGTTTCCGATAAGCAGCATCACTTTTTGACTTCAGAAAACATCTGCCATGTAGCCCCATCCACAGGGAGACATTCCCCGACTGCCTGGCTGAGCCACTCTGAGGTTGGCAAGCCAATGCCCGGCCGTGCCATCTCTCCAGGGCAGTCAGTACCTGTTGGGCCAAGCTCCAGCAAGGAGGGCAGGCACGGATGCCCCTCCCGTTCCCTTGGCAAGCTAGGCTTCACACGGCCTGGCCAGCCTCTCTGCTCCATCTTAGATCTGGAAACTGAGTATCCCTTTCCCCCACAAGCTCACCCCCGGCTCAGACTAGGACTGGCTCACCTCTTGCCTTTTCCTTTCCAAGAAGAATAAGGGGAAGCTCCCGGGGCTGCACATCATGGGTATGGTGGGGGGAGCCCACCTTGGTATTCAGGTATTTCCTGGTTGAGGACAAGGAGGCCAGCACTGCTCTCCCCATTGGGCAGAATTTCTCAAAAGAGAAAGTCAAACACAGGCCCTGTCCTCCGCACAGCCTGCGTCTCAGCTGCCTCCTGCTGCCACTCACTATATCAGAAAACAGGGACCTCTGGCTGTTGCCAGCCTGGGAAGCTGACAACCGCTGTATAAAGAGTGAGGGGCACAGAGCCCAGTGGAGGAGCTTCCAGGGGCACTGAGATGCCACGGTTTATCTTATCTCTCTTTCTGAGGAAGACCTGTGAAGTCACCAAGCAGGGAACAGAAGGGGCTATTGTTGCACGGCAATTTGCTCCAAGAAACGGGAGGAGGGTGGCATTCTTTTCAGGAAACGCAAAAGCAGCTTGCGGCCGAGTCACAGAGAAAGGGTGCTCCAGCATCTGCCTGATCCTCATGCCCACCTCGGTGGGAAAAGAGGCGCAGGCACTCCCTCTTCTACAAATACGGACCGCTCTTACCCCAGGGTTCCTAGAATGGTTCTTTGCATAGGCACAGGTACGTACAAGCCCAAATCAAGGACCCACTCAGTGGCTGAGAGAGGAATTGGGATTTTATGCACAAAGCATTGGAAACAGAAACGATTTCTAGAGCTATTATGCTGCAGTTCTGCTGGCAGAGACACGGGGAGAGTTCCAAAGGACGATTCTTTGGGAGCGAAACCCGCTTAGTGCAGGGGGGTCCCTGCGCGCCTCACCGGAGCCCGTGGCCAAATGCACGAGCCCGTCCTCCTCAGTTTCAGGTGGGCCACTGCCAGCGAGCCCAATAGGATGCCGACACAAATGCTGGCCAGGAAAGTCGATGGGCCGATCAGGAGGAAGAAGGCGTAGCCGGGGAGATGCATCCGGGCATCCTGACAACGTGCAAAGGATTCATTTCCAAGGGTCGAGACAGGATACTGGGCAAGAGACGCTCGGCGTTTGCAAGTCACTGAATTCACCTCTGGAAGAAAGAGCAGCAGAGAGCCGGTCATGGCAAGGCCATCTTGGTCGCAGCGCTAGTGCTTGGAGAAAATGTCCAGAGGATTCCTCCACCATGTGTGCAAACCAACCTGAGCCTGGTTGAAATTATAGCGATTGTTCGAAAAGGCACACTAACAAATATCAACTCTGCTTTTTTCAGAATTAAAATGGGTTCTGTTTCTTTTGCAAATGCTCTTCCGTGGGGCCAAAATCTCTTTAGGTCCTGCTCAGCCAAGAGGCCCTGCAGTGGTAAGTCAGTATGCTGAGAACTGGGAAGTAACTGAATATTCTTCTATTTCCCAACTTCTCTTGAGTTTTCTATTGTTTGCAGAAATGTAGAGTACGTTGTGTTGATCCTAGTTACTGTGGGGGGGAAACTCCAAAGCAACAAGTCTTGTCCCGTTTGTGATGAAAAAGAAACCCACCAACAGCTTCCCATGGCTGACTATGCTCCTCGAGATCTGTGGGGCATGTGGCAAGCGAAAGGGAGGCACGGGGAGGGCTGCTTAATGTTGCCCACCAAATGAGGGCAGAAGCTGTAAGAAGCCAGAAAGGGGAGTGGGGGAACCACTCAAGCAAACAGCCCAGAGCGGCTGCTTCTTTCACCACTAAGCCGAGCCGAGCAGCCTCTGGGGTAACAGCCCAAATGCACTGGCATGAAAACGCTCAGCTGAGGGGCAGCAGTACACGGCCATGTCGCCTCCACCATCTCTGATGTGCTCAGCTGTACACTGGGGGCCCACGGAGGTCTAGAGGGGCTCAGACATCGAAGGCGGCTGCTCTACCCCGGAGTGCCAGCCGGCTGCTTACCTGGAACTTTGTCCCTGTTCTTCACCAGCCACAGGAAGAGGGGCCGGATGCCACAGGAGCAGGTCCAGGGGTTGTCTTCAAGGGTCAGGTGAGACAAGGAAGGCAGATTTTCAAAGAAGCCGGCCGGGAGGGAGGTCAGTGCATTGCTGTGGACAAAGAGGGCCCTCAGATGGGGGAGGGCCCCGGGGAGTTCTGGTTCCAGCCTCAGGAGCCTGTTGTTCCCCAGTTTTAGCGTCCTCAGGGTTGGCACAGGGAGGAAAGTCTCTGGGTGCAGGAGGCTCAGGGAGTTGTCGCTCAGGTCCAGGTCCAGCAGCTCATGGAGGCCCACCAGGGCCAAGCGGTGAATGCTGGCCAGGACATTGTTGCCAAGGCTCAAGCGGCGCAAGACTTTCTGGGCCACAAAGGTGTCGTTCCTGAGAATGGCAATGCGGTTGTAGTCCAGCAGGAGGGTGGTGGCCTTTGTGGGCAACTGGAGAGGTACAAAACGCAGCCTACGGTCCACACAGTTTACTTTCCCCAAGGAGCAGCTGCAAACATCTGGACAGCCGGAAGCAGGAAAGCGTGGCAAGAAGAGGAAGAAGGTGAGGACTGTGAAGGCTCTTTGCCTTCGGCCACCAGGGCAGCTGCGATGATCGGTGGCTGGCAAGAGCAAGGTCCAGGTGCTTGAAGCCATGGGTCTCTCAGGCCCACCCTTGGAGAGGCTCCACACTTGTTCCTCAGTTCCACCGCTTCAAGCAATGGGAGGCTCAGGAACCGGTGAGGGTCTGCAGTCAAGCTTCCTCGCTCAACAACTTCCTCTGTTCGGAGCAACTCTGAGCACAACTTCTTGGGTGTGGAGTTAGTTCTGAGTCAAGCTTCTGCACTTCCTTAGCAAATATTTTGACAGGCAGCCGTGCCAAGGGGCAAAGCGGCCACTTCCTCCTGGGCCCAGCTGTCTTGGCCTAAGGAATCACCTGATGCCTGCCCCTCCTAGTCTGGCTACCTTCTGTACACAGACAGTCTTGACATGTGCCAGGAAAGTTACTTACCGGTGGGTTTCCACTTCTCCGTCTCCCGCCAAGGAGCATCTCTGAGACGCAAAATCTGCAAGGCAGGCCCAACTGAAGCAGGCAGTGCTGAGCTCAAGAAAAGCTCCTCACCCAAAGTTCCACAAGCTCACAGGATCAGCCATTCTGAGAGGTGACTAGTAAAAGCCACTGAGGTTGGCCTGAGGGGAAATCTCTCTGAAGCAGCCAGGATGACGCAACTGGAGATTATTGGTGACATCTAACAAGGAATCCATTGTTAAAAGCTGGTGGAGGGCCGAGTCCCAGATGAAGGCGTGGAGCTTGCTGTGGTGGAGATGGAAGGAGGGCCATAAAGTAAATGGGGAAGAGATGGAGAGAAGGCGTGACGAAGGAACTGGGCTGCCTCGCAGAGAAACTCAGCCAGTCGCCCTCTGTGTCCACTGATCAGAAGAGGGAACTGCCTGCTTGCTCGTTTCTGTGTGGGGAACCTACTGAGCCCGCTGCCTCTACTGTGGCCGGATCCTCCCAAAGCAGCGGTGGGCTTAAACCAGGGATGAAATGTAAAATTTCTTACTACCAGTTCTGTGGGTGTGGCTTGGTGGTAGTGGGGATAATGTGACTGGGTGGGCGTGGCCAACTTTTTTTTTTTTGCTTTTAAAAGCCTCTGACGATCCCAGCTGAGCCGCGCGATCATCAGAGGCTTTTTTTTATTTTTAAAAGCATTGTTTCGGCTGAAGAGGTTATAGAAAAAGTGCTTTGAAATTTTTTTAAAAAGCCTCTGATGATTGCGTGACTCAGCTGGGCATGGTGGGGGGGGGGCAGGGATTTTTGCTACCGGTTCTCCGAACCACCCGCCGTCATCGCTACCGGATTGGGTGATCCGGTCCGAACCGGGAGCATTTCACCCCTGGATAAGGGCGTTCTAAAAATAGCCCCTCTGGGATTTTGACCGTCTTCCCAGGGAGAAGCACAGGAGCGCCTGGCAGCCTGTCTTCCCTCTCTCCGGTGGGCAGGTGAGTGGATCCCAATGCTGGCCCAGCTGTCAATCTTATTCCCTACCCCCGCTCCCCTTTTCAGAGGAGGCTGAGAATAGCCATGCATTTGCCTTATTAAGGTATTTGTCTTATTAATGAAAACAAAGGAAAACACAAAATTCCAAAGGGATCCCTGGGTTGGGGTATGTGGGACAGTCCACAAAGGATCCCCAGCCCACAAGCCACCCAGGGCCTGGGCTTCAAATTTAAAAACCATTTGTAGAAACTACTGAACTGCTTGTCCCTATACTGTAGAGACAATCCCATGCTTGACAAAGTGACCCCTGCCTCACAAAACAGAAGAACCACGGAAACAGAGTCCTCGGCACCTCCAGAGCCTTTATTGGCCTCTCCTGTCATGGGTACTTGGTGTCATCATATACGACCTTGGAGGAGACCGTCCGGTCCCTTTCGTCCTCTGTCGTGAGATTGAGGGAATGGGACACCTTGAACTGGATCATGGTGACGAGAGCAAACTCTTCAGGGTCCAGAAAGCTCAGGCTGGCCTCTACATGGGCAAAGAACAAAAGATCCTGGCTAATGGCGGGTGGGGGAATCTGACCTGGGGTTGCAGCCCTTCCCAGAAGGCAAAAGGGACCTCAGGAGAGCCATGGCAGCTGCTTCTAGAAGGAGGCACCGAGCAAGAGAGCGGCTAGTTTTGCCCAGATGAAGTCCATTGAGCCCGGCTGGCAAGATGCCCCAGTGCCAATGGACCCAGTCAACTGAGGGGAAGCATCAGTGCGACATGTTTTAGCTGAAGGAACCTCAGAATAGAATGGATCTCACAACTGTGGGGTGTTCCCCTATGCTTCTAAGCTAACGTACCAGTGCAGACAGGGATGCAAAACGAGCAGTTAGTCCTGGGAGTCATTTGCTGGCAATCTTCCACACAGGTCTGTACAGGGACGCCACAAACTGCAGCAAGATGAGCCACACGGCCACCTTAGAGATGGGCACATTCCCGGCCATTCTCATATTCAAGCAGGCTAAAAGAGATCTGGAAACTGGAGCTGGCAGCATCTATTTTCTCCAGATAAATTGAGTGAAATAAACAAGATCTACCCATCTTTCTGAATGGTGGGACCTAGCTCTATCAAGTCATTAGGAACAGTTTTTACTCGATGGAAGAAAAGATGTTCTGGAAAGATAACACGGCAGAGCTGGTGGTATCTAAGAGCCAAAGGCAGAAGCTGTGTCCCAACTCCCTTTTCCCATAGGACCTCAGCTTCCTCAGGAGAAGCCCTTGCCCACTACTATGCAAGGAACACAGAGCCAGGCCTCCAGTGCATGGACTGGGTGCGAAGAAGAGCGGAACATTTCGTCCTTTTTGAAATAAACACCAATGTTTACCACTCTGTCTGATTTCCAGATACACAGTAAGACCTGTCAGGGCAGAAAATCCTAGAGCAGCTGCCTTTGCTGGAGACTTCCCCGGGCCTCTGCTGGCCTCTAAGGAGCTCCATGCCCCCCTTGGACCCTCACCTTTCTCTGCCGTGGTCTTCAACGTGCCACTGCAGTCACAGGCTGGCCGGGCTGCGCCTGCTGAGGTCTTACGGCAGGCTAGGCCACTAAACCCTTCTGCACAAACTGAAAGAAAGCAGAGCCAGGCATGAAGGGCAAGTGCACCGAGACCCCAGACCCATTTCTGGAAAACACAGGGATGACTGTGGCAATTTCAGAACCCGACTTCGGATGAGATCATTATTTTTCTTTTCAGATGACTCTCAAGAAGTCAGAAACTTCTGAAGCTGAGGGCCAGAGGAGAACTGCAAAATGGCAGAGGAAGGGCAAGGAGGCCAGTCCCTCCATCTTTTAAAACAGCTCTTAGGCCTTTGCTAGGCGTCTGATGCGCCAAGTTCAGTTGGTGAAGCTGTTAACATCAATATTAGTATACCAGGAAATATTACAACCTGGTTAAGCAGCAGGGCGTCTTCTGCTGATCTCAGAGACTTGGGAGCACACCAGGGAAGAAGAATCCTCCTTAGCCAAAATTCTGGGGCTTTCTGGGGTAAATTGTCCCCCATCAGATGGCAAATCCGTCCATGTGTCGCAGTCCCCCCCCGCCCCCCCGTGATCCCCCCGGGCATGTACAGCTCACAGTCAATTGTGGGGCCTGGGAATCAAAAACTGGTTCAACCCTGACCTCAGAAAGAAGCTCATAAACGGGACGCCTCCTTTCCCCACTGAAAGAGGAGCCACTGTGCCTTTTGCACACAGAGGTTCCTCTTTGAAGGAGCCCCTCCCTCTGCTTGCCCCCCCTGGGGCCCAATCAGACACTTACTGGTCCACACATGAAGCACCGAGTCTGCTTTGGGGCTGGCATCATCCTTGCTGCTGAGCAGGTAGAAGCCGGACCTTGTCTCCAGGACGGCCACACAGACGGGGCGCTCCAGCAGGCACTCCCGCTTGGCCCCCTCCAGGGTTTCTGCAGAGGGATAGAGCAGTGATGGCTCTCCCACCATGCCGTAGCCAGTCCACTGATCAAACCACTCTGTGGCTGGGAAGGAACGGAAGGGAAGACAAGAGATCGGATCAGCCAACTCGTAGAACACTGAAAAATTATTTGCTATCCATAAAAAAAAAAAGCTATAAAGCTGCTTTTCAAAACTAAGAAGAAACCACTGAAGTGGTTCACAATGCAGAGATAAACATGAGCTTAGCAGAAGTTCTGAAGTTTGGAAAGGTTTCACAACAGCAGCCCAGCGAGTCAAAAGGGCCCTGGAAAGGGCCCACTGTGGAGCCTCCGCTGAGCAGCCCTCCCAGGCAGCCCTTCTGTGTCATAACAAGCATGCCTGCTGTTGCTCCCCAAACGGTGCAAATACAGGAAAGCTAAGAGGGAGAGGAGAAGGCAAGCAGAGGAAGGGCTGCCAAACGTCCTGTCCCACCCACCCTCTGCTTTCCACAGCCAATGTCTCTCACCTTCAGGGCATTTGCACAAGAAAGGCCTCTCTTCCCCACAGCTGGCATCACTCAGAAGTCCTGTTGCTGAGTCAAACCACACACAGTCCTTCCGCCCTCCATTTGCCATGTCATCTCGCAAGTACCTGCTCCATGCAGAAGAGTCAAAGCGTCACAAGCGTTGACAACCAGCCTGTAATGCCCCCTGACAGAGGGAGCACAAGCTGGCAACATGTGGCAGGAGGCCTCCTAGTAGAGAGGCTTCAGGGGCTCCAGCAGACGGGGAGGGGCTGGGCAGGATGCAATGGGTTGCTGGAACCTTAGGGATCCCTCTCATTAAGCCACAGGTGTTGTGATCCACCAGCAGCCTGCGGAGCTGGCAGCGGAGTCAGACAGTGAGGAGGCTGGGGAGGAACATGGGCCAGTCCTGGAGTCTGGGGAAGGCATGGACAAGGGCTCTGCGTCGGAGGCAGAGATGGGGCCAGGGCCATCTGGCAGTGATGCGCAGACTCCGGAGCCTCCAGAGGCAGACAGCAGAGAGGCAGAGGAACAGGAGGAGCCTATTGCTAGTGCACGCATGTGCAGAGCTGCCAGAAGGCAAGAGCAGCTAAAGCAAAAAGGGCGACTCAGGAGTAAAGCCAGATGATTGGCCCCTCCCATAAGGCTTAAAAGAGCAGCAACAGGGCTTTGCCAAGAAAAACCTTTGGCAGGGTGCCAAAGAAGACAAAGGTTGGGGATAAGGCCGAAGGACTTTTTCTGAAGGACTTGTTTTGGAATTAATTTGGACTAAGCTGAGAATGAAGTAATTCTCAGGGGTTCTAATAAAATATGTTTGTTTAGGACCGATTGTGTCTGGTAATAACTACTTGGGCCTAGGTTAAAACAACAGGGGCAATCTGAGGCTAGGGACCCTTGTCCAGCTGCAGGACACTTTTATTATTATTTATTTATTATTATTTATTGAATTTGTATACCGCCCTACTCCCGAAGGACTCAGGGCGGTGAACAGCCAAATAATACTTGCTTTAAGGAAGGAGATTACTCCAAGCAGACTGGTCCTATGGCCACTTACTGAGCCACTTGCTTGCTGAGGGGCTCCAAGGCTGACCAGCGAAAGACCGACTCCTCCTTCCGGTCATTCAAGCCTGTCCAGAAAGTGCCTTGGAAGTGGGAACGCACCCAGTCCTGGATGGAAGGAAAAGGGATCCAGTCTCCAGATCCTCCAAGAGAAGAAGCTATTTTCTCCACTCCCCCCTCCCATGGTCCCGCCCAGAAGCCCCTGGCCCAAAATGAGCCAAAGTCTCCCTGGTAGGAACCTGAGGTGCCAGTTGCTACCCCTTCCTGACTGGCTCACAGGGGGGAAAGGAAGCACCAGAGGGCCAAGGGGCAGAGGTCGTGGTTGCACAGGGAGAGGGAGACGGTCCCTGCTTGCCAGCCCCCTGCAGAAGTCACAGCAGCCCCTTAGGAGACCTCAGTGTGCTGGGCATGGGAAGGAGGCTTAGAACAGAAACGGTACCATCTCCTGAAGTGTGGTCAGGTACAGCAGCTCTGTTTTTCTGAACCTCCGGCAGGCCTCCAGGGCCTCTGGCCAGGCACCAGCAGAGGAAGAGTCCCAGAGGTAGCAGCTGCCATTCCAGTGGCTCCATCCGGGCTCTGCTGGACAGGAACTCAGGGGTGCTGAGCCAGAGAGGAGAGAAGCCATCCCCGAGGGGCACAAGTAAAGACCCACGGTGCCCAAAGGGTGCCCGCCAAGCCCATCTTTCGGCCCATAGCTTTTATTTCCCAAGCACCAACTGAGGGGCCATCTTCCTCCTCCTCCCCAAAGGAAAAGCAGCCGATCCAGGTTCCCCCCCCCCCCCCCCCCCAGCATGCTGATGGGGAGATGGGCTGTGTTGCGGTCACCGCAGGACCTCTCCGCCTGGGCTGTAGGGACACCCTGGCTGCTTTGACCTCACCACGGCCCAGCGAGCCACTCACCCCAGAGCCCCTCGCACACCCAGGGCCTGAGGTGGGAGCATGGGGAGGCGGCCAAATCCGGGTCTCCCCTGGGACGAATCTCCAAGCAGCCTCCGGACACCAGAGGCACATTGGGTAACCTGATAGGGGAAGCAAGCAGGATTGCACCCGGCTGAGCATCGCCTGGAGATCCAACAGGAGGGCAGGTGCCATTCCAGGGAGTGGGGGTGGGGGTGGGGGGAACGGCTGGGGATTGGAGCTGACAAGAAGTGGTAAAGACGCCCCGTGTGGCTTCTCTCTCTGCTTTTCAGCAGGTGGAAGGAAAGATGGATGCTTCAGGTCCTGGGGGACGGGAGAGGCCAGGGAAAAGATCTGGAGTGAGAAGCAGAGCCCCAGGGAGAAGCCCCAGCTTCAGGAGGCCAAAACGGTGACCAACGTTTCCCAAAGCAGCTTCCTACCCCAAGGTGCTCACCAAGGCAGAGAAAGGCTATCCGCTCGGCCTTCTTCCCATCTCCATACTCCGCCTGCATCACTCAGCCCTGTCCAGCTGCCCCTCTGCACCATGGCTGCCACCCAGGCCTGTGAGGGAAAAGGGACCCCTCACTCTCAACCCTTCGGCCATCCTGGGGAAAGAAGGTCGGTCTTGCCGAGGAAGGGACCTGTGCTCTTCCCTCAGAGCCCCACAGGAAGGCTGGCAGCTCAGGCTGCCTGTGCCAGGGGCTGGCACGAGGGGGAGGAAAAGCAGGCCCGAGCTTGACTCTCAAGGGTCAAGACAGCAAACCGTCATCTTGTTAAAAGCAATCTCCTGGCATGTTTTGATGCCTTCTCTGCTTGCTTGTGTTTAAATATCTTGGTGTATTTACACTGTTATTAATTAACAGCTGTATAATAAGGAGGATGCAGCTTGAAGTGAGAATGCTCAGCAGCGCTGGGAAAGCACCTCTTTCTGTTTTACCGCTAGGCACAAGGGAAATTCTGCCTTGCCTGGCCATGGCCCCCTCCCCCCCCCCCATTAAAGAGACATCCAAAAGTCCTGGCCTTTTCCTTGGCACTGCTCAGAACCAGGAGGGTCACGTTTTCGCCATAGGCCTGACAGGCAGCCTTGGCCTCTTGCCAGCTCTTGCTGCCCTGCTCCTCCACGTAATAGCAGTGTCCGCCCCAGAACCACCAGCCGGGACCCCTTGGACACCTGGAATGTACCAGACCTAAGAGAAATGTTAACTGTGTTAAAAATTTAGCTGTACGGTGCCCGAGTAGATATTTAGACCCGAGACACGAGGGACGGGTGTGTTTGTGAACTTTTAATAAACGCAGCCACAAAACGAAACTGCACACTTTACCATGAAGACATGACGGGCTGAAGCGACGCACACAGCTCAGGCTGCCATCACACCGGCCGGTCAGAGGGTTGTAGGTGTGCGTGCTCAGGCAAGGAGAAGAGCGCCTCTGGCAGTGCTTGCCACAGAACCCAGGGGAGCAAGCTGCAAAGGGGAGAAGGCGTTGGAAAGGCCATCCCTTCCCTCCCGAAGAAGACCAGGCCTTCTTCCAAAGAACCACCCTTGCTGCCGGCTCCTGAAGAACTCTGATTTGTTCTATGGGTTTTCAGGCAGATCACACTCGCTCACCACTCAAATTAAGACACAGAAACCTGCCCAAGGAAGGTCATACAGGGATGGTCCTCGCTCTAGCAAAGAATACCCTTCCAGGCCAGCCAGGAGGTGAGTCCAGGGGGGCCGGAAAGCCCAGGACAATCCTGAAGCCCCTCGCCCAGCCTTTCAAGACAGGAAGGCACTGACCTGCCTTCACAGAGAGGAGAGCCCCTGAGCCAGGGCTGTCGACCAGCACCGTCCCGGCCACTGTGTAATGAGCTCCTTTCAGGCTCAGGAGCCCCGTACAGCGTTCCTTCTGCAGGTAGCAAGCATCTTCGGCTTCCTGCCACGAGGCATGCCTCTGCTCGGGAGCAGCCTCCTGGTGGGGCAGCAGCAGCTTCTCCCTGAATGAAGGCAGCTTCACATCTGCAGGGGATGAGGGCGAACGGCGTCTGCAGCTAGAAGAAAGCTCAGAGCCCCCCTCGTTTTGGACACAGCCTCTGCACAACAGGATGAGCTCTAGCACTTGCAGACCGGCACATCTCCAAGGTCTCCACCCCTCCACACACACACCTCTTTTTAATACATCCATAACAATTGGGTACGAATTAACAGCGGGGAGTGGAAGAAGGCCAAGCCCATCGGTAGCCGTGAGATGCTCTCCTGCCTCCGGTGTGGCTGGCTCTTGGCCTGACTAATTATCAGCCACTTGGGAGCGCAGAACAGCTTCCTGCCTTGGCCGAGAGTTCCCACTGGGATATCAGGTTAGTCACTGCAGGAAGCAGATTCTGGGCTCCATGGCCTGTTGAGTCTGAATTCAGCTCAAGTGTTCCTGAATAAAAGTGTCTGAAGAGACCTGGATAAAACTGGGACCTGTAACAGGTTCTGTCCTTGCCAAATCCCAGAGGAAGCAGCTCACCTCTTGGTGATTTTAGAGCAAAGTATTTGTGGGTGAAAACTTGTGTCCTTCTCCCCTTTTCATCCCCCAGGTTTGTCCTTGGCTTGGTTTGTGTGGAGCAAAGCCATACCTTCACCTCGCTGGCAAGCCCAAAGTGAGCCTCCTGGCTGCTGGAAGCCTCTTCTCCCATCTGCAGAGGGGCCAGCTGGGACCTGGAGGGGCAGGGAGAGGTGAGGGCCAGAAGGACTACGCAGGTCAGATTCCAAAGGCTCCGGGTATCCAAGCCATCCTCGCAAAAACTCTCTAGATAGAGCAACTATAGTATCGCAATTCACAGGAGGGGTTTTACGCGCCAGAGAGGAGGGGTCAACCCCAAGGCAGGGCACCACCTTATGGTGGGGAGACGCCACCGTGTGTGAAGAAGGGCCACCACGCCGCTCACCTTGCTCAGGGGTGGAACCTTCCTGACTGTGCTACCCAGATACCTCTTGCACACGGCCTTGGCTTCAACCTGACTACTGTAGCGCTCGTAAGACCAGCAACTTCCTCGCTCAAATATCCAAACCTCAAGCGGAAGGCACTTCAGTGAGGCAATGAGGGCTGTGAGAAGAGGATTCACCTTGACGGACAAGATAGGTGGCTGTGCAGTCATCCCAGAGGGGAGCCCCCGGGGCAAGAAGCTGAGGCAGACAGGCCCTTTCTGTCTGGAAGATCCCACCCTTTACACCCCAAGCTCTTCCCCTTTCTCGGGACCCCTCAGGGCCAGGGTCCCTGGCCTGTTCTTCTGGGCTCAAGGTAGAGGCTCTTGACAAGCCCAAGACAGCACATCTTTGCCAGAGCCCAGTTCCCAACCCTCAGCTGTGGGAGTGGAAAAGCTGGAGCCAGAGGGGGCCCTAGGCTGGGCGGACCAATCCAGTTCTCCTACCGGGAGCCTCTCGGTAATAGAGGAAGCCATCGCAGAGGCCCGTCAGTGGGTTGCAGCTCAAGCTGGGCTCACATCGAGGACACATCGATTGGCAGTCCTGCCCAGAGTAGCCGGGGGAGCATCTTGTTTTGACATGCACGGCTGCTGCTGCTGCTGCTGCTGCTGCTGCTCCAGGATCCTCCAGGGTGACAAAGCGTTTCCCCATCATAAGGTGGTGGCCAGTCATGGTGCTGACCACAACATCACAGCCCTCGCCCAATGCGCTGCACTGCTGCTTGGCGGCCTGCAGCGAAGGAAAGCTCAGGTCTGCAATCTTGGTGCCCACAAAGGATTTCCCAGGGAAGGTCATGTATAAATCTGGAGGAAATAGAAGAGGCCAGGTGAAAGGCAAGAACGCATCATCTCTTGCAGGGAGGGTCCCGGGCGACAGTTCCAGCAGGCAAGCCAGCCTCATCCCTCCTGCTCTTTTCACAGCCTCTCAGCCTCACCACCCCCACCCCCACCCGCAAGCTTTTCCTCTGGTCAAGAGACTAGGTCAGCCGGTGCTTCAGCTGGCTTGCTTGGTCAGTAAAAAAGTAATCCTTAAAAGTGCAGCAATCGGAGGAACAGAGGCAAGAAAGGGAGGGGATTCAGACAATGCAGCAGCTGACCAGAAGGCATTGTCCATCGCTAAAGGCTGAGGTTTTGGTTACGCCACCTTTAGAGCACGGCTCTAAAGTGGGCAATTCGACCTCCTATTCCATGTAGCTCTGTCTCCTTCCTGGCCGTGTTTGGGCACCCCTGTTGCTTTCTTCCTTTTTTCTCTACCTTAGCCTACCCTACCCTACTACCATCAGCCACAAAACACAACTGTCTGCAGCTTTCATCTTGCCACAAGGGGGCTGGGTTCCTCTTAAGTATCATTTGTGTGGAAAAGTTCTTCGCCAGACAGCAGAGCTGTGGGACGAGGGGCAAGGAGTTGTGCTCTTCCCCACCAGCTCTTACCGCTTTGGCGCGGAGCCTGGCAGATCCACCGGTGAGGCCTGTGGCACGGCTCGGCCTTCAGGAAGCCAGAGGTCAGAGCAAGCATGCAGACTGCCATGCTGGAAGGCTCCAAAAAGAACATGAAGCTACGTGGAAAAGAATTAGAGAAAGAGGAGAAGATGTGAAAAAAACCAGTTAGCTCCGCAATACATTTGGCCCAGTCAGCGAAGATCCCAGTAGCTCTATATGCCAACCTGCTAGGCTTGGATGGAGTTTAGCCTTGGCCATTTTTCTGGGTGGAGTAGATCAACCCAGAGCTTCTTGGAGGGGAGCCTCAGGGGTGGGGAGGCATCTTACCGCTTCAGCGCTTGGTTGAACCGGGTCCCATCCAGCCAGCTCCACAGATCTCTGCCACTGCTGTGCAACCCTGTCCAGAGGCTCCCTGGCACTTGCCCCTGCAGCCACATCTGCAATGCACACACAGGGGCGGCGGATTCCGCCGGGTGGGATTCCCGGCCATCCAGAGGCCAAACCCACAGAACTGCCCATTGCTCCTCGCCACCCACCCAAATCTCTGGCCACAACTCTGCAGCAGACCGGCCCCAGAGGAGGCAAGGCCCTTGTCTGCTTGCTGTGCTTGGATCTTCCCAGTAAGATGCAGAGCGGCTGGGCCTTATTCCTCCAGGCGGCCCAAAGCTCAACTGCTCACCAGATCCTGTGGGCTGTTCAGGGAGAGCAGGCTCCCCCCGTGGAACCGCTGGCAGAACCTCTGCGCCTGGCTCCACTCGAGAGCTGCGTCCAGCACGAAGAAGAGGCATCTGTCCTTCCAAGGCCTCCAGCCCCTGGAATGGAGACAGTGCACATCTGGGGAGAAAAGAGCAGGCGGAGGGCAGCCTGAGAACGCAGCTGGCTTCCTCCTGCCTCAGAGTGAGGGGAAGGCTCCGTGGCCTCCTAAGCAAGGAGCCCCGATCCTGGCGGTGCTTGGGGGGTGGGGGCGGGGGGGTGCAGATGGACTGAGATGTATCCAGTAGTGAAATCCAAACCGATTTGCTACCGGTTCGCTGACCACGCATGCGCGCTGTGCCCCAAACGTGTGCTGCATGCCCATGCGCGCTGTGGATCAAAAGGAGGCCTGGGAAGGTAGGAAGAACAGCGGGGGGGGGGGGGGGGGGGGGGAAGGAAATCAGCTGTGCCGTGCGATTAGGCTTCGCTAGAAAGCTAAACCCCACTGCACAGCTGATCGTCGGAAATATCGGTTTGGAAGAACCAGTAGCTATTTTTAACTATGGTTCTTCTGAACCAGAGCGAACCAGTAGCATTTCGTCCCTGGATGCATCCAATCCATCCCGGCTCTTTCCCTTCCCCAGAGGACTTTTTGGAGCATCCCCTGAAGCAGAGGGAGGAGAGAGAACATTGTGATGGAAAGAAGGGAGAACATACCCCAATCCAGGAAAAAGAACAAGGCCTGAAGAGTGCATTTCCCCAGATACAGCGTGGCATTGCCGGCTTCTTGAAACAAGCAGAGCCCCGAGTGCAGATTCTGCAGACGCATGTCCTGCAAGAGGCGGAAGCTGCTCCGAGCATCGGGAGAGCAGTCCCAGCTGCTCAGGACAGAGGAGCCACCTGAGGCCACCTGCACAGAGTGGACCCAGAGTGGCTCACCTGACCATAACTTTGAATTGGTTTCTAAATTACTTTAACACGTTTGGCTCATAAATCAAGCAGTACTTTTTTGAAGGACTCAGGAATGCCCGCACCCTCACAAAATTACAGTCTTCAGACTTATCTGGGGTTTGCAGGGACAAAAAAGACAAACAAGCAAAATATAGAGTTAAAAATGCAAACAAGTCATGACTGACCAGAAGACAAGCAGGAGGGTCTGCAACGTTGCGGAGACGACCGTTCAGCTGCAATCCCCAGAGAGCCCGTGTGGCACATGGGCCAAGCAGGGGCTGGATGTGGAGGATGGACCGCTCTGGGTCTGTGCAGAGAACCAAAGCCTTCCCTCTGAGCCGGAGGAGGCCAAACCACACAAAAGGACGATCTGGGGGGGAAGGTGGGGGGAGTGGGAGAGGAGAAGCCAAACACTGTGGTTCACCATTTATTTCCAAAGCACCGAAGCGAACTTAACCCTTGTCTCTGGGAGCTCTGAAGGAGGAGGATGAGCTGGAGTGTTTTTGAGTAAGGAAGAAATTCCTGCTGTCTTAATCACCTTGGGGGGCTCATCATCCCCAGACCGTGGGTTCCCACAGGACAGTGGGCCCAACTAGGCTTTGGGCAGCAGTTGGAGGCAAATGCAGAAAAGGAGGAAGCCGGGAAGGAAGGTGACACCAGCAGTTGGGAAGGGATCCCCATTCCTCTTGTGGAGAGAGGCAGCAACTCAACCACCAACAAAGGGATGTGAACAAAAAGGCCAACTGGGACGTGCAAGGTGAATGGAGCACCCACAGACCGGCAGCTGCATCACCCCCAACTTGGCCCGTCTCAATGCCCCACCAGAAACTCCTCCATCAGGGCAGCCATACTTGGTGCCCGCCCAACCCATCAAAATATCACACACTGGAGACCAAACCCACAAAAAGAAAAGAAAAAGAGAAATAGGTGGCATAAAAATAGAAATTTTTAAATTAGGCAACAGTGAAGCCAGTGACTTTAAAATATGAATGATTATGTGTAAACACAGAAGAGGCGACGTATTGGTTAATATCATCCTGAGGATTGTGGCAGATCTCTGCATGGCCGTAATTTGGGGACGTGAACGAGCCTTAAACTGATGGATTTGAATTATCCATTTTGGAATTTCTTTTTGTGTTGATAAACATATTATATTATCTTGAATTACAAGGCAAGAGAATGATGCTGGGGCATGCAGAAGATCGGGTTGTTACCCACTACGATGATGGGAATTAATAATCCTGATGAAACCCACAATTATTACTATATGGAATATAATTATAATGTCACTCGGGTGGTTGTTTTTACTTTTATACATATAAGAAGATATTTACTACTGATGGGGGCAGATATGATTGAAGATCCTGAATAAACTGTTGCACTAGCAAGCTATGTTACCCGATCATGGATGTTGGTTCTACCAATCCAGTGGAAAGACCTCAAAGAAGATACTATATGGATTATAAATTTAAAGTCATTGTCTTTTCTTCTTTTTTTATTTAGATATAATGGAAAATATAGACATATATTTTTAAGTAGTGTGGGCAGTGAATCAAAGATATTAAGAAATGTTGTGTATGGTAATTTTGTATGATAGTGGGTGAATAAGCTAGTTAGTAGATTGATTAGTCTAAGAAAAGGGATTTTTAAGTGATATATTTAGGGGAGTGGAGGAAATGGATAGAGTGGAATAAATGTTAAACTAGATTTTATGGGGAAGGCCGCTTTGAAATGTTATAGTAACATATATAGAAGATTAAATGTTAAAGTAGAACTTATCGTATAGTTTTAAAGTGGAGAAGTTATTCTATAATGTTATAGTATAATGTCTTTTTTTTTTTTCCTTTCTTTTCTCTTTTCTGAAATGTATGGATAAAGGGGGATGTTATAATATTAATAATACTTTTAGTAAGTAAAGGTCAATATCTAGAGGAGGGAGTAAGTAATCTGTTATGAATTAGGGTTTTTTTTTTTTTTTTTTTGTTATGAAGAAGTCACAGGGGGGGATGGGTGGGGAGGGGGGGTTAGGGAGGGGGACGGAGAGGGGAAAAAAAAGGGGGAAAATTTGTATTTGAAAACTTTTTCAATAAAAAAAAATATATATATCACACACACCCCTAGGACTTTACCTGGCTCTTCACTGGTGGGGCTGAACTGCACACCTGGAGGCTTCTTTGCAACCAGTTGACTCCAGCTCACCACGTTCCCGGGGAACTTCCACCTGTTTCTCAAGGCTGACAGTTGCTTCACTGAGAACTCAGAAAGGGCTCGGTCCCACAGGTTCACCTCACTCAGATCGCCCACGTAGAAGCTGGCCCCTGCAAGGTGACCCTGGTCAGCAAGACCCCTGCCTTATGCCATACACACACCGACAGATAAATGAGTAACTATAGGCAGCATGCTTCTCTCGCTTAGATACAGGCCTTACAGAGAAAAAGAAAGGCACTTGAGATGATAATGGCCGTCACTTCTGGCACCGGTGCAGACCTGCCACGGATACCACGATGCAAATCATCCCCCAAGTGACTCAGCCAGACTCACCCCCGTGGCCGCCCTCCAGCTGCCCTAGGCTCAGCCTTCCTCCCAGGGATAGCCCCTTCCACAGGAAGCCACCACTTTCAGACACGTCTGGCTGCCAGGTCTCTCCATCCACAAAGACTTTGAAGGGAGCAACGCCGGGAGTGTTGGTGACCGAGACAGCCAGGTGATGCCAGGATCCATCCAAAAGGAGGACTCGGGTGCCACTGAACAGCAGGGCTCTGCAAGAAGAACCAGAGCAGGACCTGGGAAAAGGCTCTGTGGCCCTCTCGCGCTGCTCATTCCCAGGCAAGGCTGTGTGGCCGGTGGGTAGAGAGGGATGCCAGAGGGATGCCAGAGGATGTGGATTTGCAGTGTTCCCAGGAAGGGTGGGTCGATGGCACAGCCCCTGCCCGCCTCACCCCTTGGCGTGGAATTCCAGTCCAGAAGGGGAGAGAAGGAAGAGCGCAAACTCTGCCTGCTGCTGCCACTTCAAGGAGTAGCTGACTGCACACATCCGAGGAGAGTCCAGGAAGGCGCTTCGGATCCACAGCCCAAAAGTGAAGTTGCACAGGTAGTAGTGGACGGCATCCTCCAGCTGCAGGCTGTTCCCGTGGGGGAAGCGCAAGTCAGAGGAAAGCGGATACTCTGGAAGAAGATGCCAAAGGGTTGAGGGCATCCCAGTGGGACAACAGAGACTCCGTGACCCCTCAAAACACTCAGGAGAGCCCCAATCAGAAAGCTCTGAATTCTGCTTTTCCCTCTGATCTGGAGGGCTATCTTTGACCAGAGTTGCAGGGGACCTCTTGCCTCCTTAGTTCCAGTGCATGGCTATGAGATTGACTCTCCCAGAAGGGCTCCCTCCATGAGGAAGAGAGCAGAATGGCCACCGGAGAAGCAGCAGCCCATGCTCAGGCCCTTCTACCAACTAAGTGGGGTCAGGATGCATCACCCAGGACAGGCCTGTCTTCCTCCCCCTGAGGGGGATGCTTATGTCCCTTGCTGTGCCTGCTTGGGGCTGGCTGGATCAACCTACCCAGGGAAGCGTTGGCTACGGTGGCTCCACTTATCTGCAAGGAGCTGATGTTCGCAAGGAAGGCATTTTGGCTGTCCGACAGCCGGAAGTGCTCCTGGTGGTTGAAGAAGCAGGCAAAGCCATCTGGGTAGCTGATGAAGCTCCAGGTGTTGAGGCCGGGGGAGAAAGGGGCACGAGGGTAGTTCTTGTGCACCAAAAATCTGCCCTGCTCACTAAAGATGCTGCCATGGATATGAGTGGCATTGTACTCAAAGATGATCAAGAAGAGGGTGCCATTTGGATGGAAGCAGGTCAAAACCAGAGAGAAGGTGGCATGGGCAGTCAAAGAGAAGGTGACATCAGCTGTGGCATAAGGACCCATCCCGCCCGGGAGGAGAAACCGAACAGGCTCCGGAGGGCCACAGGAATCTGCCAGCAAAGAGCAGAATGAATTAGGCCTCCTTCAAGGAAATCCAGGAAGAGCAACCTGTGAAGGGAATTTGCAGCTGGGTTCTGAAGTAGTGTTCGGAACATCTCTTGAAGGGATGTGAAGTTCCCAGCCATGAAAGGATCTGACTTTTCTAGAGCTTTAGATAAAAGTGAGTTCAACAGACCAGAGGCCTAGTCTTCTGGGCTTGGCACACAAAGGGATTCCCAAATCATGCTTCCCATTGTGGGAGTCACCACTGTGTTCCACAACAACACAAGTGTAAGAGGTTATTCTACAGGCTTCCACACTTCCTCCGTTATTTAGGAGCTCGAGTTGGCTTGAGGACTATTAGAAAAGGCAGCCTGGGTGCGGATCTGTCTGGCAATTCTGACCTCAATCCATTGCACTCACCGTACTGGAGTTGGCAGATGAAACCTACGTATTCGGCTGCGGGGCGCACCTGGCAAGGCCTGGCCTTCCACGTCCCATGCTGCCCGCCATCCAGAGGCCGAAGACTGAGCACCACGCACCGGTCCTGCCCTGCGGATGGGGCTGAAGGGAGAGGAGGGGGGAATGCCGGGCTCCGTCAGCCTCCCACGCCTCCAAGACACTCTGCAGCCTATTCTCACAAGTAGTGTAGGTTACAACTTTCTCTGAGATGGTGTGACAGGAAAGTTTTAAAATCCGTGAATGGGTTGTAAAGCCCTCGCTCTGTACAGTAAAGCTCCAACACCATTTTCATTAAAGTAGCAGAATAACGTTATAGAAATGTTGTGCTGTAACAGGATAGGGATTTTTTTGTTCTGCCATTTATGATTTCATTTTAATTATAACCCAAAATGCTCTTTAAAAAAAAGGAAATGTCAAGACAAATAATAGATTTCAGGCACATAACCCAAGGGCCCAGAAAAGTACCTGCGTCCCACCGGAGGTAGGTGGGGGCCGAGGCATCGCTCCACTTCCACATGGCCTCCAGGTGCAGACCGATCCATAGGTACCAGCCATCCTCAGGAAAAGCACCTGGAGGGGAGGGGCAGAACCAGCAGGGATAAGACACCTGAAGAGCACTGGCCCCCTGGACACAGGCATTCTCCGAGGAGCAGAAGCAGAAAACCGAAGGAGAGGAGGTGGCTGAGCCTGACCGTTCCAAGTGGGTTACTTTTGATCAGCCTGTGCAACTTTGAAAACCGATCAGGAATCTCCACGAAGGCCCCGGGGAATTGGCAGACGTCTTACTTGAGAGAAAAGTATTCTCCTCTTCATCGTGGATAACGGCCAAGTTCCCTCCGAGCTCCTGGCAGAAAGACTGGGCCTCTCCCCACGACCTCTGTTCCCGCAACGATGGAAAATGGAAGACGTAGCAGTGAGAGCGGAATCGCACTTTTCTGGTGCTGCTGGAAAAAGCATCTGGACGAGAGAGAAAAAGGTGCGAGTTTCAAAAATGTCTGTGGAGATTCTCAAACATCCAGGCCGTGGTTTCAAAGAGAAACTGGTTTCACACCAAGGAGAAGGAATCTAGCAACGCTTTCTACTTCTCTGGAGAGGGCAGATAAATTCTCCCTGTTCGGAGCCACTCTACTACTAAGTAACAGTAAGAAAGCACCTTTTGCTTTCATGTCTCGAGGGTGAGTTGTCTAGTGTGTGTAACAGATCTGGATTAAGTCAGGTTTGATCAGGATGAGACACAGGATGCCTTTCTCTGCATTGCCAGGGTGCACACGCCCCTAATTTAATTCCATTTTCCACAGTATCTGTCGTATGTTATTCCTCCTCCTGGTTTGGGGTTGGGAGAGAGAAAGTGAGTCAGATGTTTTTCTTGCCATACCTTTCATCGGCTTCTCACAGATAAATGAGGTGCTGGCCTCGCAGTCCCAGTCTCTCCACTGCGCAGCATAGATGCCTACAAGCTGGGTGCAGTGCTTCTTCCCAGGGTGGCCCTGGAGCCAGTGGCTGGAGAAATTGAAGAACCCAAAACCAAGGCATGAGTTGGAGGAGACGCCATGCAAAAAGCATGTTTTTCGGTAGATGTTCCTTGACCTGGAGTCCCCCTTGGAAGATCTTCTCCAGTCAGGAGGCGATGGGAGAGGAAAGGCTGACTAGGCCACCTCTGCAGCTTCGTGTACGTGGGCTGAATCCTCCCTTCTCTTGGGACACCCACCAATCAAACACCAGACTCTTTCTTCCCTCACCTGTACCAACTCTGTGATATTGGAGTGCCATCCACCCAGGTGAGCTGAGCCTCTCGCCACGCCAGTCCAATCCAGAAGTATGACGCATGACCCCTGGCACCTTCGGTATGGTCCCTCAGGAACATCTGTGCCAAGGCAAGTTCCAAAAGCAAGGTTGAGGCCACAGCAGCATTTACTCTGCTCCTACAGAAAGGGGGCAGCCTAAAGCTTATGTATGGCCAGTGCAGCAACAGAGCTGTCTTCATGGCAGCTGGACCCAAGCCAACCACCTGCATGGGCAGTTTCCCCCCCAATCCTCTTTTTATTCCCCAAGAGAGTGCGGATTGCAAAGACCACCTCTTACTTGCTTGCTATAATCCTTGATGACCACCAGATCTGCCTTTTGGTCCTGACAGAAGGCTCTGGCCTCCTTCCAGGAGAGAGCAGGAGCAGTCGGGAGATAGAGGCAAAACTCATCTCTGTACGGGATCCACTTTGGGGGGCACCACCCCAGTCCTGCATGCATAAGTGGTACAGATGCATCTTGGATCAGAATTTTTGTTGCTAAACAGAAAAGGGCTGAGCTTTAGTCCTACGGTGTTTAGTTCCACTCAGTCCTACAACAGCTCCTGAGTTTCAGACACATCAGGCCAAGGTTCAACCTTCCCAAGAACGGCCACTTATCATGGATGATCTGTTCTTTGAACTAGAGGCCAGCTTTCTTCCTTCCTTGGTCTAGCAGCAACTTGGGCCTGATTCTGCAGGCAACCTTCTAACAGGTTCTGTGTCACTCTCTGTCCTCATTTACACAGCCAGACTCACACGGCCTGTTGGAATCCACAGGCTAAAAATCTTTCAATCCAAATCATAAAATGAGACTAGGCCGACCCAGTAGTGGAAGAAATGAGAGGGCATTAAAAGGAAATATTTTAAAATGAGGACTTGGAGAATGTGATAACAGATCAGACCAGCACGTCTTTCTGACCTGGGTGATAACAAAAAGGATCTCAGTTCGCATAGATAAAAGGTTAAATGAGGTATCCTCTCACCAGAGCTTACGAAGAGCAATGCCAACGGCCCCCAGACTACCTTCCAGGGCGATTCTGCTCCACCCATCTCAACGGGTCCTAAAATCAGAGGAAAACCATCGTTCTTCTTCGGCAGCCTCCGGGATGTGGAAACCCCTTTAGGTGGACCCCCTTTCCACCATCGATCAAGCCAAGCTGGGCTCTCTCACTTGAGAACTGCCCGATTATTCGGCAACAGAGTCCATCTGGAACACCCGTCAGTAAAAGGAGGACCATTGTTTGAATAGGACTGGAAACTCCCCCTCCTACCACACTGTGCAACATGGGACATGGGGTCCTGCCAGGGAGCTGGGCATCCTCCTCCGCCCCATGGGCCGGGCAGCCAGAGCATCACCTCTCCTCCCTCTCTTCGTGATGGGGCCAAGACCTCTCAGAGACCCTCTGGGCCCTACCTGGCCCTGCTAACTCGAGGCAGGCTTCTCTGGTGAGGCTGCTGCCACTAGGCCTCAACGGGCCTCACCCAGGCAGGAACTGGAGCAAGAAGAGGGAGGGAAAGGATGGGGGCCAGTGCCGTGGGGGAGGGCAGGGGAGGGGGGGAATGAGTGATGCAGTGTCCAAAAACCTCCCTAGAAACCTGACCCTCCGAGGCCTCCGAGGGCCAGAGCAACAAGAGACTGAAGCCTCTTGCGACAGACATACCTACCTGCCCGAATGCTTCCTACCTGGGCTTCCTCCTTCTCACCTAGCCACAAGCAAGAGCAGCGGGCCCAGGCGCCTAGGGCTCTGCCCAGGTCTCCCCCTGAGCCTCCCCAGACCCACCGTTTGTGGAGACCCTCCGTGGCTCCGAAAGGGAGGCACGACCCATAAATGGGCTCCCCTTTCCAGAGAGGCTTTCCTGAAGAGTGTCCCCCGCTAGTTTCCCCTTGGTCTGGGGCTACCTACCGTTCCTCTGCACCTCCAGGTTCAGGCTGTAAGCTTTCGTGGCTGCCTTTTAAAAGCACACTCATGAGTAAGAACCTGCCTCCTTTTTTTTTTTTTTTTATAATAACAGCCACTTATAAAAAATATCAACAAATACCAAGGCACGGAAAAATCACGAGCAGGTATATTAAAAACGATCAAAGTATCTCAAGCTAAAATAGGACTTGACAGATCAAGTAATGGTGCGTCAGGAAAGCAAAAGCAGCCAAACCTTTTGGATCCCTTCATGATTTGATACGGCTCTGGCTACTTGTCCTTCAAACATCCAAGATGGGCTAAATTCAGTATTTTCACTTGTGCCGAATTCGACAAGTGAAATTAAGAGGATGGAACTGAGAAACACCCGGTTAAACAACGTTTTTACCAAGTGTCTGAGAAGCACTTGGGTATCGCACATTTGAAAATCAAAATTTACTGTCCAGTACTGACTCCTCGTGAAATTAGCAGTTCTGTAGATCATCGATGTTAACTATTTTCTTCTATTTATGACGTAATTCATATCAGAAAATATTTTAATATTACTATTGCAGCACCTACAGTATGATATTCTTTCACTTGTGGACTGTCAGAAAGACGTTCCAGTTTTTGAAGAAGAGACTAAACTTTAAAAAATTAAGAAAATATATCTTTTACAAAACTTATAGAGTCAAAGAGTGTTACGCTGCTGAGGTTCAGCCCCCAATAGAATCACACCCAAGCATGTTCTCCAAAATGGAAAACAGAGGAGGACTGAGGGTGTTTGCTCCAAGGACGCCTGGTGCCCAGTCCAGCAAAAAGACAAAAAGGAATCAGGGGAGGATAAAAGAGGGGAGAAGAGCAGAATGACAGAACTGGAGAGTTGGAGGGACCTTGGAAGTCTTCTAGTAGGACCCCCTTGCTTAAGCAGGAGACCCTTTACCATTTCAGACAAATGGCTCTCCACGTAGGAACTGCCCTCCTCTGTAAAAACAGCAGCCATTCCAGACCTAGTGCTTCTCTGGAAGCAGCCTGTGGCTAACTAAAAAGAGACTAGAGGCAGGGTCCAGGCCATCGGATGTATTCGGACAGGCACTTGCCACTAAGAAAAAAATAAAACACCTTGCTAAGAACACAACCTGAAGATTAGAACCAGCTGGCTACCCTCTGTAGCAATGCCCAGCTTGCCATCACCAAGCAAGCATTGAGGAGCTGGTGCAAGATTTGGGGCTGGAGGGCTGGTTAGGAGATTGTGCTAGAAAACCACCAGAGCAGGGAAGTCCTGCAAGATGCAGCAAAAAGATTTTCAGAAAATCCTGGAATCTGAAGTCCAGCAATGAGCAGCAAAGGCTTCTCCTTCCTTCCCAGTCAGTCCCTCAGGCAGGCAGGAAGCTAATTCAGCTCTGAAAAGCTGCAGCGGTTCCACAGCAGAGTGGGGGGTCGCAGGGGCAGCAGCAGCCATTCCGGGGAAGGCAGGGCTGGGGTTCAGGCAGAACTTCCTGGCACGAGCCGCTCGGCTGCTCCGTGATGACTGGCTTCTCCTTGGAGAACTGCTCCAGCTGCAGCCGGCCTCCCTGCCGGGGAAGCACCTTCTCGGATTTGACGGCGAGGAAGGCCGCAAGGTCCAAATCAAGCATTGCCACCCCTCCGCGTGGGGTGGGGGTGTTTTGGCGGCACTGGGGACACGGGATCCACCACTGCTCATTGGCCACCACATTGAGGCGCCGGATACAGGCCTGGCAAAATGCATGGCCGCAGTAGAGGCGGCGAGGGAGGCGGGCAGAGAGGTCATAGCAGCAGTAACAGATGACGCACTCGAGTTTGAGGCTGCTGGGACTGGGGACAGCGGCCTCCGGGCTGGGCTTGGCAGCCTCATCGTCCTCAGGCCCAGAAGGCAGAGCAGTCCTGCAGGGAGGAACCAAAGAGAAGAGCCGTTCAGGGCCAGACGTAGACCAGACTTTGGGCAGCAGCTCCAGTTGGTCTCAGTCGCCACTGTTTCAAGTCTGCCTGCTGCAGAAGGCCGTCAGCTCAGGGGCTGCCTCTGAATGCCCATCAGTCTGAAACGCCTAAATCTACTCCCGGTTCTGTTTCTGAAGCTCAGAACTAGAGTAAAAAAATAAAAATAAAGGGTGGGGGCGGGGAGGGCACAACTTCCCAGTCACATTGTGATCTGGACAGCCAGGTTGCTGGCAAAGGAATTTCAGGTTCCAGGTGATGCCTTATTCCCTTGGAGGCACCGTCTGCAATTTTTAATGCAAAGGTGTCCAGCAAAACCAGTCCCTTGAAAGCAGGGGACAACCAGCTGACCAAGCCAGTCACTTAAGAGCCTTAATTCAAGTGAAAAGCGAGAAAATTAGATGGAAACCCCTCCCAAATGCAGCACCCTCCACAAATGGCCTCCAGGCTGTGGTCAGCAGGCCACGATCCCCTGCGAGAGCTCACCTTACCCAAAGCCAAAGAGCGGAGGCCGATGGGGCTCTGTGGCTACACAATCGGCAGGCCGGTTTCTGTGGGAAAAACTTACATTTCCTGCTCCTGCTGCATCTTCATTCTCCTCCAGAGAAAGAAAGGGAGGCTGACAGCTTCTGGCCGCAGCCTCTCACGCTGTTAAATTATACGAGAGGTTCACATTTCAGGCACAGTTGCTGGTACTGTATCTACCAGGGGAGATGCAGGAGGAGGCCAATTTCACGAGATAGAGTTACTGGTGTCCTGGCCAACCATAGCCACAGAAACACAATTATATGCTCCTTCCTTGCCTGCCTCCTCCAACTCATCTCCCCAGCACCGCCCTGGATGTCAGTCATGAAACCATGAAACTTTTGCACAAATGCCTGAAGTGCTCACCTCCCACCCACAGGAGAAACGACCCCTAGGATTGAAAGAGAGAGAGAGAGAAAGAGAGAGATTCTAGTGGCCGTAATTATGTGGAATATGAGGTATAGAATCTCATTTGTCCAAAACTGGAAACAACAACATGCTCCAACAAACGCGATGATTATAAAAAAGATGCTGGAGTGTGCAGAATCAGATACGTTAATGATGGAATTTAAGGACAAAGAAGAAATGATTTATTATGAAACATGGAACAGACGGTATGATTGGCTGGAAAAGGAATCTAAAATTAATGGATAGTGTATAGCAAAAGAGAAGATATTATAATGGAATGTTATATTTAATGTGTAGTAGGTATGTATACTGTATAAAATGTATTGATTATATGAATAAGTATGTAACAAACAAAAGGTATATGTATATAATTGGCTGAAAGATAAATTGGATATTACTACAAATGCCGGTATTGGAAAGCTGTAAAAGTGTAACAAAGATTTAAAAGATGTAAACGTTGAATAAAAACAATTTTAAAACAGAGAGAGGGAGGGAGGGAGAGGGAGAAGCAGAGGGAGAGAGACTGTTCTTTCCTAAGTCCAGGACTGTCCAACAGGCTGGGAAAAGAATACGTGGAAGAGAGGAGCTGTTGGCTGGAGGAGCTTCAGGCGAGTCTGTCAGAGAACCCCCCTGGCAGTGGTGAAATCACAATTTTTTTTACAGTTCTGTGGGCATGGCTTGATGGGCGTGGTGTAGCTTGGTGGGCATGACTTGATGGGCATGGCAGGGGAAGGATACTGCAAAATCTCCATTCCCACGCCACTCCAGGGGAAGGATACTGCAAAATCCCCATTCCCTCCCCACTCCTGGGGGAAGGATATTGCAAAATCTCCATTCCCACCCCACTCTGGGGCCAGCCAGAGGTGGTATTTGCCAGTTCTCCAAACTGCTCAAAATTTCCACTACTGGTTCTCCAGAACCTGTCAGAACCTGCTGGATTTCACCCCTGCCCCCTGGGCAATGTGGAGAACAGCCTGGGGCCACACTGCTTGCAACAAGAGATCTGTGTGTGTGGGGGGGGGGCATGGGATGTGAGGCTGCTGGTAGAGTTGTTCCTTCTGCAGATTCGGATTAGCCTCAGGGATACCGTTCTCCGGCCTGAAACCACAACCTTGGCCAATGGTCTAGAAGGGGACTTTTCACCAGCAGCTCCCTACTTGGGACTCCTTTCTCTGCAGGAAGGATACTCCTCTGTGGGCAAATCTTAAATCCCACTCAGCCTCTTATTGGTCGCTTTAAGGCTCAGAGTTTAGTCCCTGCTGTTTGAAATGGCAATCTACTAGCTTTCCAGATATGCCGCATTAAGCATTTGTTGTAAACTTGCCTTCTGAAAGAAAGATAAGAAAGTGAAATAACAATCCCACATTTCTGAAAAGTTCAGAGTTGGTCCACTGTTCCATCTTGGGGCGCCTATTTTTCATAAAGTCCCCATAATTTCCAAATGGACTGAACAATAAAAGGAAGCAGGAAGAGAATGGGACTGCTTCAAACCAAGAGATGCTTTGCTCATCCTTCAGATTACCCTCTTCCTACAGACAAATCTGGATATTTGGCTGCCAGAAAGTCCAGACAGGGTCGCTGCCCCCTCCCCCTCCCCCTCCCCAGAAGTCAGGCCCCACCAAGGAGGGCAATGGAAGGGCCGGGGCCGAGCAGAGGCTGCTCGTCCAAAGTCTTCCTGGAAGGGCTGCTGACAGACGTTGCCCTGCATTCTGGCTGCAATAACTAAGATCAGAGGGCAGAAGAGGCTGTGTGCCAACCCTGCAAAGCCTTGCCCTCACGGGGCATGTAAGACATTCTACGATGCCTCACTTCATGAAGCAGCTTCATTGCAAGACAAGCAATGGGGCAGAGGGAGGAAAGGCCGATGGAGAGAAAACGCTGCTGTGTGTGCCAGACCCAGAGCAAGCCCGCTCTTGCCTGGTTTCCTCCTGAACAAACAGCCAGCAGTGGGGCAGGCACCCGCCTGGCCACATTCCTCAAAATCTTCACAGAACGGGGGTGGGGGGGGGGGGTGGTTGTTTTAAGGGGGGTGGGGGGGGGGGGGGCAGCGTGCGGGGGGGGGGGGGGGGGGGGGGGGGGGGTGGGGGGGGGGTCAGCCCTTCTCCTGGGGTGGGGATGGGAAGCAGTTAGGTGGTAAAGGCCAGCCTGCCTCCTGCTGCTTGCTTGTGTGCTGACCAATTTCTGGCTCCGTCTGAGCACCCTCCCCCCCTTAGCTGGTCACAAGCAGGCAGGCAGGAAGCCCAGAGTCCCCCCTCTGGCACACACAGGTCAACCTCCTCATACGACGTCTCTGATTCCTTTCCCGTAACTGGGTGAAACTGACCGAAGGGCGAAAACGTTTTGGACCAAGGACTTCAAATGGACTCATTTACAGAATGTGCCCGAAATCCAGGACTCATGACTCCAGTGGAATTGAAATTTGGCAAATTTTATGAAACTTTTTGTGATGTAAAATTATTGTAATACAAAATGTCATAAAATATTTCCTGTGCTGATGCTTGGCTACGTAATACAGTTCAATATGGGCCGTTTTCAAGGTAGAAATGTCTCCGAATGTCTCCCACTGAAGAAGGCCGGACAAGAGAGGCTCCACCACGATGGGAGGAACTGAAAAATCCGCTCAGGAAAAACCTCCCAATGGATGAGCCGACGGTCCGTGGGTTGCCCAGTGCAGAAACCGAAAGCAACGCCATTCTTCTTACTGTGAATGGCGCTTACTTACATGCGCTGCTGCCCCATCACCCTCAGCAACGAAAACGAAACTGTTTCTCCTCCTTGGCTCAGAGCTGGGCTCTGCTTTCCAGGCCCCAGGAAGCAGCTCCCCCACTTGCAGCTTTGGAGAAGCAGCCCCAAAGCTCCCAGGCACCTGTTCCCCAACCGCAGGCTCCGTCCGGCAGAGGCTTCCATTGCCAGTGAATCTGAAAGGGAGGCCAGGCGGGGCTGTCACGTGCAGAGTGGCGAGGCAAGGGAGACGTGGAATCTCACCCTGTTGGGGCTGTGCCAAGGAACGCCCATGGGCGACCTTCCGAGTGTGTGTCCTTGGGAGGCTCACAAAGCAGGTCCCAAGCCAGGCTGCCTTGGCCGAAGAGAAGGAAAATGGAAAGGCCTCCACAGGATGCAGGAAGACCGGGCAAAGGAGGAGCGGGGAGCATGAACACCAGGAAGACATGCTGGCTGGGCAAGAAAAGTTTTATGACCCTGGTTATTGACAGAGAACTTTCACCACACCTCCCTTTAAAGGGCAGAGGCCAAGGGCCGCACCCTGAGCAAGCAAGGTTGGCCTTCCACACGGCGCCACTGGCAGCCACACAAGCCTGCCGGAGTCCAGTGCCCGTTCCGCCTCCATTTGTCTTCTACCCACTCCCCTCCAGAGAAAGGGCAGAGGGCGAGGCCAGGTGCCTAAGGGAAGGGAAGGCACTGCAGGCTCTGGCTGGTCCTCGCAGGCAGGGAGCAAATCCGGCTCCCATCTCCAGATCAGGGTTAGTGCCATGTCCACTCTTCATCGTCCTTTGCCAGGGGAACCTTTTCCCTGTTCTTCATCGAATGCTGGCCCTCCTCTGCTGCCCGTGTTGCCTCAAGGGAAATGGGGAAAGAAAAGTTGACTGCTCCTTTAGGTCTCCCGGGCATCTGGGCACAACTGCTCTGGCAGAGGGAGGGTGGTGCCCAGGAGTGGGACAGGTGAGTGCAGCCACGCCCAATCAGCCTCAACTGCTCTTCGATTAGGAGATGACGCAGCAGCACTTCCTGCAGCAAGGCGAGCAACAGCAGCCACAGCAGCCGGGATCCGGAGCTGCCTCTTCGTGGCCCTTCCAGCGGAAAGGCTCTGGAGCATCCACCTTGGGCACCTTGAGGCTGGCATAGGGGTTGGTGGGTCTGGCTTGCGACTCTGCCTGGGCTTGACCATTCCAAGCCAGAGAGGGAGATTTTGGGTCTGCCTCTTTCTGTGGGGCTGCCGAGCAGGGGGGCAAGACGCCGGGGCTGAAGTCCTCTCCCAGGTAGTATCTCAGGAAGTCATCCTTCAGTTGAGCCCGCGGAATGGTGACACTGGCATAGGGGTTTTCGATGGTGAACCCCCGGTCCATGGCTGCCTGCTCTGCCTGCTGACGCTCCTGGGGCACTGGGGGGCACTGGGCCTGCCCAGCTGCTGCTTCTCTTGTCTAGTCGCCGAAGGAAAGAACCGACGCTTGAAGACAAAAAGGAGATTTTATTGTCAGCAATTTCCCCATGTTGCAGAGCAAGAAAGGAGGCATTAAAAGAATCATTGAAACTAACTTTGGTAAAATTATGGCGGGTCAGGAACGAGCCACCTGCCCTTCTTCTGGAAGAACACCGCTGGGGGGGGGGGCGAAAGCCCTACTAAGCAGGTATATACAAAAGTATGAAGGCTATTGCTTAACGCATTGTAAGCCGTCCTGAGTATCCGGAAAAGGGCGGCATATAAATTGAACCAATAAATAAATAAATAAATAAGAGGAAGACTGGCAGCCTACAGAAAGGGGCATTGTGGATGGGGGTGGGGGGAGGCTGGATTACAGCCCCTGTTTCCAAAGCACTAACTGCCTTGTGGCCTGGGGCTCCTCCTGTTGCCTGGGCAGCTGCCCAAACCGAGACCACTGGTCTTCCCAACTTTACCTGGCTACTTTGTGGTGACAGCAGCACAAAAGGACAAGGACACTGAGAAAGTAAAAAATGAGGAAGGGGGGGGGGGGGCAGCGGGCTGTCACTGGTCTCCAGCATTTGGTCAACAGCTTTCAACAGGCTGAATTTCAACCGGTGGACCTTGTTTTCTCTGGGTGGGCAGCCCAGTGACCTTCGCCCAAGTGAAGGGTCTCCAGCAACAGGGCTCTCTTTGGAAATCCCATGCTTGGATCTGGAAAGTCCTTTCCAAGCTTCTGGTGGGGGGGGGGGGGGGAACAGCTGCACCAGTGGAACTTCCTTCTACCAAAGGCAAGGGGCTCCTGCCCTCGGGACCAGCAGAGGCTACCTCTAAACTAAGCGCGCCCAGCGGCGGAAGCGTTGGGTTGCCCAGGTTGCCAGGCCGGCACCTCCCTGGGCTGACAGACAGGTGGACGCCTCTGCTCCCTGCCTGCTTTCTTCGGGCAGCAGCGATACCGGCCCCGGTGCCCCCGTCTCCCCCGCGGACCCCAGCCTCGCCGTGGCTGCCCGGGCAAGAGAGTCGGCTTCAACGCGACCCCGACCTACCTCGCAGGACTGTCGGGAGGAAGACGTGCCCTCGATCCGCCGACCTCCCGGCCGGCGCTGCCCGCTCTTTGCCAACCCTCTGCTCCGCCTCCAGCCAGGGAGGGACCCGGCGGGCGCGCCCTCCCAGCCTCCGCAGGGCGACCTTCTCCCGCAGGAGCCGGCAGCGGCACCGCCCAGCCAAGTTCGGCCGACGCGCCGAGCCCCGCCTGCCCTCCTCCGCTTCGGGGCTCCACGCGCAGCGGCAGCAGCTCCGCCGCGAAAGCCTCCTCCGCGCCCCGCTCCTTGACCCCGGAGGCCGGCAGCGGTTCGCCCTCGGGGGTGGGGAGAAGAGCCCCCGGGGAAAAGGCGGCTGCCGGCAGGCTTCCCCAACCCGGCCCTCTCCTTCCGCCTGCGCCTGGCCGCCGATGGCGGGGCTCCGGCAGCGGCAGAAGCTCCCAGGGCCCAGCGGGCGGGGGGCTAAGGATGCCCCCTCCAACATTCCGCTCCCCATCGGAAGTGGCTCGCCCTCCCCCGACCGGCGCCCTTTTTTCTAAGAGGAAAGGCTGAAACAGATCTGAGCCAACAACCCCTGGTCTTGGCTGCTCCCCCTCCCCACAGAGGGCGGCTCTCCCCACCCTGAGGCTGGATCGCGGGGGACAGAAAGGTCAAAAGCGGCCCTTCTCCCCAAGGGACAGGCAGGCAGGCAGGCAGGGCAAGTGCTGTTCCCTAGAGCCAACGCTAGGGGTCAGCCCTCCCCTAGCCCTGGCCCGCTTCCCCTCCCTCCCTCCCTCCCACCCAATGCTTGAGAGTTGAGGAGTATGGTTGGGGGGGGGGAGGATGTTATCTAAAGGGCAGCAGGTTAATTAATCTCATGGATAAACTGTGTATGATATGGCTATCTTACTACTGTATGACATATTAAGAGAAGTACTACATATGAGGCATAACTTTTTAAAACAAGGAAACAGGATATGCATATGTAAATAAAATGAAAAGAAAATGCAACTTTCCCCTTACTCCTCGTTCCCAAAGTGGGTCACCGTGCAACACTAGGCCACGCTACAGCCACAACCACCGGCAAGCGCCGGAGCTCAGGGCAAAGAGACAGTTCGACTGAGGCCCAGCACTTCAGCCCAACTTGTCCAGTATTGTGAAAGTTTCCCTGGGCCCTTGTCAATGCGCTCTTCTCTCGGGCCCAATCCAGCTGCCTCTTGTCAACAGTGGCCTAGCTGGCCTGACTCCCCACGGCCCCCCTCCAGGGGCGGAGGAAAGCCAGCCATTGTGACCGCCCACCGAGTCTCCGGCTGGAGGAGAAACCAAGGATTTCCTGTCCCGGAACCAGCACTTCCGCCTCCTGGGCCCCTCCCTGTGGTTATCAACCCCCCCCCAGTGGTGAGCGTTCCACCCTAGTCCTGCCCCATGTTGCCTCTTAGTCATACTTAGCAAATTTCCCAGCCCAACAAGTCACGATTGGGAGCAGCAATGTTATTTTCATTATTACTATTATCATATCAAGTCAGAGTATCACTCTGAGCAAGTTTCCTCAGCGTGCAAATGGCTGGCTCGGCTTCCCCAGGGAAGATTTTGGCTGAAATGACGGTGCCCTCTGCCCTTTGCAGCCCTCAGCCCCAATTAAGCCTACGCAGCATCCTTCAGTTACATGGGCATCGTTTCCTGCCCTCACTTGGTTAGTCCAACCAGTTTCAATTAAATGCATGCATATTTTCATATGAGTAAGGCTACTAGATTTGAAGGGAACCGTAACCCATCAATAACACATAAAGCTTTAGTACTACTTGAAGGAAAAAATAACACCTCATTTATGGAATGGGGCCTTGGCGGAAACAGGCTGCCCTGTCTCAAAGTCCCTCTTCAAAGATGGCGTCAGCCAGGCCCACCCCTGCGAGCACCTGCCTGCCACAGCCCCCACGTCTCCCCTCTCAAAAGTCCAGTGGGGCAGGGCAGGGGGCCGCCAAGGGAGATTGAAGGGCTGGAGAAACAAGGCAGTTTTGTGCAAAGGAAAGATCGCAAACACAGCTGGGGGTGGGGGAGGCAAAGGGGGCGGATGCTGAGCCAGGCCCCATGAGAAGGGCAGGCAGCCTTCCACAGGGAGCAAGCCGAATTCCCTGTATCGTCCTGGGCTGGGACCAAGGACTCTCCAGGTGGGACCGAGAGACAGCACGGTTCCCAAGACAGGGGTACTCACCGTCTGCTGACTCGGGAACTGAAGCCGGGGAGATTTCAAGCACCAATTGTCCTCCTCTTTCTCCTTCGCCCACTACTTTGCCAGCCAGCTCAGGCCAACTTTAGAAACAGGAGATTCCACAGGTTGTTTTCAGGTTGTCTGAGAAAGCAGTTGAAAGCTACATTAACCTTAGGCTTTTCATTTCAGAACAGGATTCACAAATGCTTAAGGGACCCACAAAAGCAACCTCCAAGAGAGCATTTGGTGCAATTCTCATGCCCTGTTCAGAACATTGGACGAGCATCACCTCAGGAAGGGACCTGGTCAGGATAGGGCTGAGCTTAAACCAGAGGTGAAATCTAAAATTTGTTACTACCGGTTCTGTGGGTGTGGCTTGGTGGGGGTGGGGGTAATGTGACTGGGTGGGCATGGCCAACTTTTTTTTTTTAACTTTTAAAAGCATTTTTTCTACAACCTTAAGAGGTTGCAGAAAAAAATGCCTTGAAAAGCCTCTGACGATCCCAGCTGAGCTGCGCATCAGAGGCTATTTTTTGTTACTTTTAAAAGCATTTTTTCGGCTGAAGAGATTGTAGAAAAAATGCTGTTAAACGTAAAAAATAACAGCCTCTGATGATCGTGCGGATCAGCTGGGAAAGGGGGGGGGGGTGCAGGGATTTTTGCTACCGGTTCTCCAATCCACCCGCTGCCATCGCTACCGGATTGGGTGATCCGGTCCAAACCAGGAGCGTTTCACCCCTGGCTTAAACTGAAGAGCCTGATGGGAAGAAAAGGGAGGGAGCAGGGGAGATTTCCCAAGTAAATTCTGAGCACGGGCAGGGAAGGTGTGCGTGCAGGTGCAGACCAATCGCAAGCAGCCTGCCATTTGTGGCTCTCCCATGGTTTGATGAATGAATTTTGGTATCCCACAATTGTGATTTTTCCCACTTTTTTGAAAAAAAATAACCTCCATCATTTCTACTGACAGTCCTCAGTGAAGGCAGACTTCCTACCTGTTCTATGGGTGTCCCCTGACCCATGTGGGGTACAGATCCACAGGGGACAAAAGGATCCCCCCCTGCCCTCAATGACTTTTGGCAAGGCCCAGCATGGCCGCAGAGGAGGAATCTGTTCAGCGGCATGACAGCACCCGGGACCAAAATCCCTTCCACTTTTATTGTAGCCTTATTGCTTATGTTATTTTCCAAGCAGTTTACGAACTTGGAAAAAAGGTGGGGATTAAAAGGGATTCAGTGAGCTTCTTCTTATCGAGGTCAAGATGGAAACTCTGCAAGGTGGGTCCTGAAATTGGGGAGTGGAAAGAGCACGATGGGCGCCTGGGGTGCTAGAAAGGAGGCCGCCCCCCCCCCACCAGGGAGGGGGCCAGGTGTCTCTTTTTATTTCCACTGGGTGGGGGCTGGGAGAGCAGGCTAAGCAAGTTTGGGATGGCTGGCTGGGGAAGAAGGGGGGTGCGATGACCTCTGCTCCAGCCGAGCAACAGCAGATGGAAGCATCCAGGGCTGCCTGGGGGCTGCTGCCGCTGCTACAGGGCACCTTCCTCTCCTTTGGGCTCCTCGGCATCTCTGCCCGGGTTGGAGGCCCCTTGGCCTCTGCTTTGCCCTTTGGGCTCCAGAGCGACCTACCCCGCAGGGCTCTGGTTCCAGGCTGCAAGGGGTGGCCCACCCGGCAGCCGGAAGGAAGCTGCTGCAACTGCCGCCGCCGCCGCCGCCGCCGCCTCACAGGGAAACTTCGCAACGGCCGGCCGGCCGGCTGGGCGAGGAAGGCGGAGCAGGGGCCAGCGAGCCTCTTCTTCCTGCGCGACCTGCAGACAGAAGCTTCTCCGCAGCGCGGCTGGCAGGAGCGGGCGGGCGGGCGGGCGCTAAGGCAGCGCAGCCGCGAGGTCGGGCCGGCGGCGGCGGCTGCTGATTGAGGGAAACGTGAGCCGAGCGAGCGGGGCTGCCTGCATCACTGCAGTGCTCTCACTGCGGAAAGAGCGGGGGACGGAGCGAGGCGGCGGCCGCGGGAAGGCAGGCAGGCAGGCAGGCAGGCAGGCTTCCCGATCGACCAGAAGCAAACGGCCCCGCCGCTTTCGGGCCGAGGCAACCCCGTGAGCCCGCGCATCTCCGGCCTTCCGCCCGCCGCAGGAGAGGAGGCAAAGCCGCCGCCGCCGCCGCGGCCTCTCTTGGGTACCAGTCGCGCCCGGGCGCAGGTTAGCATCCCGCTCCGCCTCGGGGCCGCCAGGAAACCGGCCGGGCGCTCCCCCTCCGTGCCTTCCGGGCTACGGGACGCATCGGCTAAGCCGGAGGACGCGGCGTCCGCTCCCCGCGCACCTGCTCCTCGGCCGAACCGCTGGAGCGGCGCCAGCTTGCTGGGGAGCCAGCCGCGGAGGATGAGTGGGGCTCCCGGATAGCCGGGAGGAAACCATCGGAGGTGAGGATCTGGGAGCGCGATGGGGTGGGGGGTGGGAAGGAGGGATGGCCACGAACGACGGGTTGAGCATCTTCCTCGGCCCAAACAACATGGGCCCCACCAGCAGCCTAGATGAGACGAAGCAGCTCGTGGACTTCTGGGCCTCTGCAAGGGTGGTGGACAGAGCTACCTTGGCCTGAATTCGCCAGGCACTTTCCCTCAAAAGACACCACCACAACTCCTCCTCCTCCTCCTCCATTAGTGTCCTTCCTTCATCACTCTCTTCAACCCAGAAGGGATGGGCCAGCAGGAGCATCTCTTTTGGGGTTCCCACCAACCAGAGTGGCCTCGATTTCTGCTCCAGAGGGATGCAGGACCTTGTGAGCCCCCAGAAGCTGCTCAGGCAACAGCAGCAGCTGAACGGATACGTGAGCTTTGTGGCAGAACGGAGATGCCAACCGGTCCGCTTCTCCTCCTGCTCTGCCAGCACAGCTTATCTGTAGCCCAAAGGCATCTGCCAACTGAGTGGTGGGCAGAGAACTCTGGGTCACTCCTGGCCGTGAGCCTTCGCTCCTTCCTTTGCAAAACAGGCTTCCTGGCCAGGCTTGGAACAAACGCAGGGTGGGTGCTCGCACCTCATGGCTCCTTCATCTCCTCCTCTTTGCTCTTAAAGGACCGATGAGTCCATTACTTCAAAATTGGCACAATTGTATTCCAACTTTTAAGTTATTCTGCCTCACAAGCTTCCATCCTAAAATGTTAGTCCACATCAATGCCTCCTGGCTTGCCCTGGGTGAACCTTAACTAGCTGTGTCACTTGAAGTCATGTGAGATTTGAACAGGGATTCAGAAGTCCACATCCCAGCCTTTCAGTGCTGGCTGCTTTCTTCAGCAACAACCCCCAGCTCCTGGCCCCCACCGGGAAAGACAATATTCAGGCTAACTTTGGCCTCTCGGGAGTTCCCAGATTCCCCCAGAAGAGGAAGCAGCTGCAGTTGCAATCGGCTTCCGTGGCCAAGTTGTGGCTTGAAAGCGAGGGAGCCGTGACGTGGAACAGGGGCCGAGCCTCTCAAATGCAGAAGGACCAGCAACTCTTAGGGCAGTTGGGAAACTTGGCTGGTGCTGCTTGAGCAGATTGTTCCTGGCAGCTGTGGACAGAGACTGGCACAGCCCTCGCCCCATCCTTTCCAGAGTCTAAACCGTGTGTGTGTGAGAGAGAGACACGAGGGAGACCTGCCTTCAGAGTCCAGTGCTCATGTTGAAACATTTCCATGTGGCCCCCAAGGCAGTCTTGCACCCCATCCATGTCTGGAGTGCATTGGGGCCTGGGTGATTTTTTGAAGGGTTATCTTTTCACATAGGTGCCAGGGCCCTGTGTATTGCCCCCCGCCCTTGAGTTTCAAAAATGTCTTGCAGAGCACCAGATCTAGTCAAGAGCTCCAGGCCCCTTACACCTCTCTGCAGGGACGGGTGGTAGCTGAAGCCCAGATAAGATGCTTGGCACAGAGAAGGTGCCAATTTGGTCCCTGCTATCTCTGGGTAGGAAGGGCAGGGACAATCGGTGCTGAGCGAAGAGGGCCCACAGCCCCACCTGGCATGGCTGCTTCAGAGCAGCAGGCAGAGGAGAATAAAAATGTTCCTAGCCCACAGAGAGTAAATACCCAAAAATGAAAGAGGCACTGAATCAGTCAGGGAAAACAGAGAGAGAGAGAGTAAAAAAGACAATCGCCAGTGGGGAGTTGAGCAGAAGAGCACAGGATGGGGGGGGGGGGGGAGTGCGGGTATTTCAAAAGGAGACCCGGTTTCTGAATGCCTTTTAGAGCTGATGAGTGGTTTTATTGCACCAATCTGCTGCTTGGGGGGGGCGGGGAGCAAAGGCACCCACAAACGCTGCCCTCCGGTGACGTGCACTGCTCTGCTTTGTTTTCCAGGGGTCTGAAGGGCCAAGCCGGTTCCAAGTGAAGAAGGGGCAGCTCTCCCAGAGCAAACCCTCTGCCTGGCACCTCAGCAGGATCTGCCTCACCTGGGGGCCTTTTCCTGGGACCTGATCTTCAGGAAAGAGCTTCGAGAAAGGTGCACGTCAGAGCTCAGGAATTTGCAAAACACATTCTTGAGCGTTGTTAGGATCTCCCCACATATAAACAGGAACCAAGGCGCAAGGGGAGGGAGCGCTCAGGCCTCCCCCGGACACTCCAACCGCATTCCATCCACTCCTCTTCACCCGAGTGGGCTCAGCCACACCAGCCGACTCTCCCCCCAGCCTCCTTCCCTTGCTGTTCGGCCAGCCAAGCGCCCTCCCTGGGAACTCGGCCCAACGCCCTGCTGCCCAAGAGAACTGGATCCGTGGGCATTAAAAAAAACGGGTGTGAATATCGCCCCTGGCCTTGCTCTTGCCCAGAAAGCGTGGAAGGCCCAGGCCGCAGCCATTTTGGCAGCCCTGCTGCAGGATGCGTCTCTGCCCTGCTGTCCCCCTCCAGCGCTGCCCCTTCATGGTCCGTGCCCGGTTTAAAGCCCGGCTTGCCCCAAGCCCCATCTAGCCTCATGCAGGAGGCCCTCGGGGGACACAGAGCCGCGGACAGGAAGGTGAAGAGCCTCCTCATGTCATGTCTGAAAGGGCAGCAGGTCATCATCAAAATGGAGGCCATGAAGATCATCCACCCTGAAAAGTTCTCTGAGCTGCAGAGCTCCCAGTCACGCTACGTCCCGGCCCCCCGCCGGGACCCTCCCCTGGTCGCCAAGCGGGCCTGGCCCTCGGAATCCGAGATCATCGTTAACCAGGCTTGCGGTGACATCCCAGCCTTAGACCACAACCCGGGGTCTCTGGGGCTGTCCCGGACCCCGCCCCTGCCCCGGCGGGAACGGCTATATCCAGGGCAGCGCAAGGGCAGCTCTGACATCTGCTACCACCGCCAAGCCCCGGCCTCCGACGAGGTGATCGTCAACCAGTACGTGCTGCACCCCTCCACTCCGTCCGAGCCCCTGGAGTGCCCCACCTGCGGCCACACCTACAACTTCACCAACAAGCGTCCGCGCATCCTCTCCTGCCTGCACTCGGTGTGCGAGGAATGCCTGCAGATCCTCTACGAGTCCTGCCCCAAGTACAAGTTCATCTCCTGCCCCACATGCAAGAGGGAGACGGTGCTCTTCACCGACTACGGATTGGCTGCCCTGGCGGTCAACACCAGCATCCTCAACAGGCTGCCGGCCGAAGCGCTCTCGGCCAACCAGGCGCAGTGGAGCAGCGAGACCGACCGCAGCTGCTATCAGACTTTCCGCCAGTACTGTGGGGCGGCCTGCACCTGCCACGTCCGGAACCCGCTCTCTTCGTGCGCTATCATGTAAGCTGTGTGTCCATCCCTGCCCCGTTCTGCCCACAGTCTTTCACCGGCCTCGGCAGTGGGATTGCGTGAGGGAGAAAAGGGTGGCTTCCGCAGGTCCTGGGAGATGCCCAGGATGACCAGACTGGCCCTCCGGGATCAAAAACCACCTGGCTGCAGACACCCCTTGAGTTGGGATGGCTGCTGCTTTATGGAAAGGAAGTAATCTTGGGGGTCACTCCTGGTTGGGAGGGCCTGCTCCCGGGTGTGGATGTTGGAAGAGCCACCAGGAAACGTTGTGGACATCTGACCGCCCACTGCCATCCCCTTCCATTCGCCTCCCCTTCCTTTCTGCATCCCGAGAGACCCCAAGCCATGCTTGGCTTGGCTTGGATCTTCAAGGGTTGGATGTGATCTCTTTCCTTTCAGCTCATGGCTTAGTCCCGGCGGGGGAGAATAGGGCAGTTGTTGGGAGAAGACAAGCCAAGGCAGGACCCTGGAACAATACAGAAACGATGCCAGGCGGGGCCTGTGCTGGAAAACAAGGCAGACGCCAGTTTTAAGTTATTTGCCAAAGCTTCTGATTCTGCGGCCAAGCGTTGTAAATTCACTCCGTGCTGCCAATTGAAGTCCAGTTGCAAACAGGAATTCCTAAAGAATCGCCCCGTTTTCCTGATGCAAATTCTTAAGGGAAGTGGAAAACAAATGTACAGTTTTAATCCTCGTTTTGGAGGATGCGTTCCTCAGCACTGTTTCAGAAATGCATCTTATTTGGGGGCTTGCTGCTGAATAAAACGGACTGAGAACGCAGTGATCTTTGGGTTGCGTCTCCTGGGGCAAAGGGAAAGGTGTGCCCCTGGCAATGGAAGCTCTAGGCGTGGCAAGCAGCAGCGCCCTCCCACCTGTGACACTGAACCTCCTCTAGGAAAAGGAAGGTGCTCTTTTCCGTCTAGGGCAGTTTCAGAAGCGGCCACGGTGTGGGTCACTCCCCAGCTGTAGCCAGGCCCTGGTAACAGCCTTTGTGTCTAAAGACCCCTCAGTCCATGAAAAAGACCTTCCCGACTGAAGGGGCAAAGAGAGGGCGGCCGATGCAGTTTGATCCCTGGAATGCCATGACACAGGCTGGTCTGGGAGGAAGTGCCAGTCTAGCAAAACGTTCTGTGCCAAGCTAGAAAAAAAAAAAAAAAGCCATATCTTGATTTGAGTCCAACCCGCACCAGAGGCCAGGCTCAGAGAAAAGGGCATTTCTTGGTGACCCATCTCTTGAGGTTCAGCCCCACATGCCTCTGGGTCCAGGAGAGCTGAGATTTACAATCACGTTCAGCTGCCCTGTGGGTCTTTCTAGAAGTAAACCAGGAAGGCTGGCCATGACTGGCAGTAGGTCACAAAGGGGCATCCCTCGGTCGAGCCGGGTTCAAAATCTGGAGAACCCGCAGCACAAGGAGGGCTGGGAGCAAGGCCGGCTGGGAGCCCAACAAATCCTCCAAAGAGGGACGTTGACTCTTGCCAGCCAGGGATGCCCACATCGGCCAAAGGGCAGAGCTGCCTTAGCCAGGCTTTTCTCGGCTTCACTTCTGCAGAAGGGTGCAGAGGACGGGGAGCCAAGACCCCTGGACCCATCTCGAGGGATGAGTTGAGGAAGGCAAAGTTCCTCGGTGGCGGCCTGGGCATTTCCCGTCCAACCTCCCAGGGACACCTTGGCTCAGGAAAGGTCTGGGATTGGTTTGGCCGAAGGCCCAGAGCCGCTTGTCCCTCAGGTAGGTTGTCGAGCTTTGCCCAAAGCCCAGATGGACAGGAGAGGGAAAGGGGGAGCTGCAACCATCAACCCAGAAAACAAGATGGCTGATGAAGAAGATCCTGTTTTATACCTGGTGGTCTCGTTAACCCTCAGCCAAATCTAAATAAAGGATGCTCCTGAACCAAAACAGATATGTGCTTTCCATTCATGCGTGTGCAGAGAGGGGGAAAAGAGGCAACTGTCTATGTGTGTGTGAGGAGGTGGGGGAGAGAGGTCAACCCACAGAGAGCCCTCGCAGTGGACTGGGGCGCTGGAACAACTGGGCTCTGGGCCGCAGAGGGGGGGGGGGCTTCCTCAGCTGACTCCTTGCTCTGCCTGCAGCCAGAGAGCCCAGCAGACAGCCAAGTGCCTTCCTTGCCCTAATCAACCAGCAAAACAGGAGGACCCAAAGGCAAGGCAAGTTCATCCCCTCATCCGGAACCGTTTTGAACAACCAACTGAAGGAAAAGCTATGAAACCTGAGCTCCTCTAGTGGGTCTCCAAGGGGTCAAACTGTCCTCTCCTTGGGGAGGCAGTCACCCGTCACTCAAGAGCCACGGGGACCCAGAGCAAGGAGGACCAGGCAGGTGGGGGCGGGGGGCAAACCAGCTTCTCTGGACCAGTTTGTAGAGATGCAACCAGCTGGAAGGAGAGCAGCAATGTGGTTTCTGACACCCTGGCCCCCTTTCATGGGGAAGCAGCTCCCCCTACTCTTATCCTGACTTCTGGCAAAGAGGCCGAGCAAGCTTGGGCATTGCCAGCTCTTCCTCTTCTGCACCAGCTTCCTGCCTCCTTCCAGGTACCCAGCTAAACCCTGACCTTAAACCTGCAGCTTCAAGTAAACCTGGGAGGGGAGTGTTTGCTTGCCTCCCCCGCCGTTTCTCTAATCTGTTCCTCCACGTAGTTCTTGCCACAAGGTGGAAAGAGGAAGTGGTTCTTTTGCTGAAGCTTTGCAATGAAGTGAGAAACGCTTGAAAAGGGGAGACGGGCTAGAAGAGGAGTGGCAGTTGGGGGGCAGGGCAGGGCAGGGCAAAAGAGCCACTGGAAACAGGTTCACAGACACACGCATACAAAACAGAACTCCCAGGGTCAACAGGTGTGCACTCTATTTGTGTTGTAAGAAACCACACCATAATACTTCCGCACACAACCGATCAGTGTTCAGTGCTGCACAACTCTGGGTGAGAGCAGGCTCTGGGGTCAGTGTCAAAGCCCCAGCTGGCCTAACCTTGCCCCCCCATCCCCCTCCGCCCCTCCTCCTTCCACCCACCCTTCCTGAGAGGCCACAAAGTCCAGGTGTGTGGCTGAGCAACAAGCTCCCCCAGCCAGGCCCTCCCCTTTCCTGCCCAGCTCTCCCTGCCGTCCTGGGGGAGGGGGGAAAGGCGCTCGTGAGCCCCCCAAGGTGGCCACCCTGAAGGGACCCACATCTGCTCACTAAGCAGAGTCGGTTTTAGGACGCCTGACCAGAGAGAAAGTCACACACCTTGCTAGAAAAGGATTGAAAGCGAGACAGCCGTTCTCAGAAAGCCTTTATGTGGGTCTGCCCCAGAGAGCTGGCGTTTTGCCCCTCAGGGGGGCAGGAGGGAGGGGCACGGGGGTCTTCCAGGTGGGCAGACTGGAGAAGCAGCTGCTGCAAAACCTCCTTGCAAAGACACAATCCAGAGGCTGCTGGAGCAGAACAGAACAGCCAATCGGCTTCTGGGCAGCTGCTGACCTGCTCTCCCCCCTCCGCTTGGGCCAGGCCGTGCCAGCCGGTCCCGCCTCTGTCCTCCTCCACCGAGCAAGCAGAGGGCACTTGGCACCTGCTGAGTCATGCCAAGCCAGAAACCCTGTGCGTTTGCTTGCCCAGATGGCCTGGCAGCTCCCTCTCTTCCCTCGGCCCTGTTACATCTGGACAATGGCGATGATGTCGGCAGCAACAACCGTTCCCTGCCACACCCAGGTCAGATGCTCCTGGCCAGCCTCTTGGCTTTGCTGGCTGGGCCGAGGACAAAGAGAAGCCCCCGGAGGGAGCAACGATCCGAGGCTTTGCGGGGAACGCCTGGGCAAGAGGGCTGGCATGGGCCAAACAAGGCCAGTTTCCTTAGAAAGCACAGGACACCAGGCTGCCAAGAGCTCACCTGGTTGGGCGCCAGGGACAGCCCCTCCCTCTGCTGCACCCCCACAGCCGTGAGAACCCCTGCCCAGCCTCAAGGCATGAGGCACAGACAAGGAGGCCCATTTCCCCAGGCACTCAGAGCCATCTCCAATTCAGCTTTGCCCCCTGCAAATGCCACCGTCCTCTGCTTTCCAAAGCTTCCTTTCCCAAGGAGCTAGTTTCTTGTTTGGTCGGAGGAGCAAGCTCAGTTCCCAGGGAGGCCATGCAGAGAGCTGCCCGGAGTTCAGGCCCTTCCTTGTTTGCAGGCTGTGCTGGAGGGCCCCACCCTCCCTCCCTCCCTCCCTCACAGCCCCCGGGAGCCGAGCCAGGCCATCGGGAGCCCTACTTGTCCAGGATGAGGAAGAGCAGCAGCAGCAGAAGGATGGGCAGGAAGACCAGCAAGAGGCTCAGCATCTCCGCCACAGCCAGAGCCAAGAGAGCCGTCCGGTAGCACCAGGGGCATCGGCGCTCCAGCTCCGCCAGGCCGCCCACCAGGCAGGCGGGATAGCGGAGGCAGGGGAAGAAGCCCATCACGCGGCTGGTGTGGAAGCGGACGTGGAAGTGGTGCTCCAGGCCCCCCCAGAACCCGGGCTGCCGGGGTGGCAGCGGACTGAAGGCGGGGGGTGCCGGACCCTGGCCAGCACTCAGCAGGAGCAGCTCCTCTTGCAGCTTGCAGATCTCCCACTCCATCATGGGCGTCTTCTGGCGGCAGATGGGGCATCGCACGCGGCCAATGTCGGCCGCGCTGCCCGCCTGAAGGATGGCCTGCAGGCACTGGCTGCAGAGCGCGTGGCTGCAGTTGAGCAAGGCCGGCTTGCGCTGGTCTTGGTCGTAGAGCTCTGTGCAGATGGGGCACTCCTGCTCGTCCCCCCCGACAGGGTCCTCGGCTTCGATGCAGCAGGATTGCACCAGGGCCCCCTGGGCACCCCTGCCCGGGCCCAGCGCTTTGCTCCCCAGCAGGCAAACCTCTTCCATTTCCTCCTCCTCCTCCTCTTCCCCCAAAGGCAGCTGGGGCACATTTCCTGACAGGCGGCTCTTCTCCTCCTCCTGCCCAAGTGTTGCAAGCCCAGCTGGGCCATAGGCCTCTTCAGTCACAGGAGACCTTCCAGCATCCACTCCCAGCTCATACAGACCTCCTTTTGGATGCCAAACGGGGGAAGCGATGCTTAGCTTCTCCTCCTCCTCCTCCTCCTCCTCCTCCTCCCTGGATCCAGAGGGGTCATCTGCTGCTGGCCCAGTCCTGGGCCCTTTGCCCTCACTGCCATCCTCTATAAACTGGGGATTAGTCCACTCTTCTTGCAGCAGGCCTTGCCGAAAGTTGCCCAAGGAGGGTGCAGCCCTGAACTCAGACACCTCCTTCTCGGGGTGAACCAGAACGACCGGTTCTGTCCCCACAAGGGCCGAATCTGAGGGGATTGTCCCCATCCCCGTCTTGCTCCCAGCTTCAAGGTAAGGCAGTCCAGAAGTGGCTCAGCAGCTGCTGCCTTCTGCTTCTTGGGTCCAAAGTTGCCCGTGAGACATGGCAGGCTTCCATCTCGCCTAGCGTGAAACTCCTGCCCGGGAAGGGCTGCTGCCTCGCGTGCGCCACGGCCCTCTGCTCTGCGGCTGAGTGGCCTGACCCAAATGGTTGCCAACAGGAAGGCTGGCAACAGCTGGGATCCTCTCTCAACTTGTGACAACCGAGACGCTGAATGGAGGGTGGAGCAGCTTCCCGTTGGCTGCAGGCCAGGGGGTGGGGCCGGGCCGGCTGAGCAGGTAGGACCATCCAGGTTGCTCCATGGGCAGTAACGCTGGCAGGCGCGGCTTCTGTTCCTCCATGCCAAGATGACGCCCCAGCATAAGGGCCGCTGCCTTTCTGTTGGAGGAGCTGGACTGCTCCCCTTCTTTGGGCTGGGCCACCTTTTTCTGGAGGAGGAGGTGGGGTGCTGCTCCGAGCAGCAGCAGCAGCCATGCTGAGCGCTGCCTGTTTGAAGGGAGGGGTCTCCTTTGCTGCTCACAGGGATCACTGCCAGGAGCACAATTAAGGCAGAAAGGCTGAGTCCGTCTCCCCATTCGCCTCGGTTCTTGTCCTCTCTGCCGCTGTGGTGCACGGACACTGCTGCACAGATCCTACCAAGAGACTAGGACCGAGATGGCGATGCCATGCATGCCACAAGTGGCATGTGGAGCCATGTCTGTGAGCACACGAGTGTTGCCCTAGCTCAGCTCCAGTGCGCACGTGTGCACCGGCCAGCTGATTTTCAGGCCTTCCAGGTCGTTTCCAGCCTCCGGAGGGTCTCCGGGGGGGTGGGGAAGGCCTTTTTTGCCCTCCCCAGGCTCCTAGAAAGTGTCTAGAGCCTGGGGTGGGTGAAAAACGGGCCTACCGGACCCACCATGCCAAAAGCAGGGGGAGTGCGGGAGGATTCATGCGTGCATGCGCAGGGAGGCAGGGTGCGAGGGTAGCATTGAATTATGGGTATGGGCATGTGCTCCTCCCCCCCCTCCCCCCGTGCTCTCCCCGTTTTTGGCACGCGACAACAAAAAGGTTAGCCATCACTGGACTGGGAGGCTGATGCTTCTGGAGGCAAACTCTAAAAACCAAGGGATTTTAACCCAGCTCTCCACTGACACACATGTGCCACTTCCAAGCAGGAGCTCCACTCGGCAGCGGGACCCGGCCTATGCTTCTCTGCTCATGGGTGGGACAGCAGCAGCAGCAGCAGCAGCAGAAGGGCCGAGCTGGCAGCAAGGGAGGGCAGGAGCGCTCAGAGTTGGGACATCTGGAGGAGCCCCAAGTCTGGACTGGCCAGGCCAAGAGGCTCCTGGGCTAAAAGGCCTGGCCCCTGTCTGGCTTTCACCTCAACGGCCCCCTTCCAGCCGTCTGTGCCAAGGCCTCCTTGCTCGGGCCTTGCCTGCCCGTGAAGCCAGCTGTTTCATGCTGCAGGAGCAGAAGACCCTATGCAAATGGCTCGGCCTGATTTGCTTTGGGGAACCCGATCTCTTCCTTCAAGGACAAAGGCAAGAAATCCCCTGAAAATGACAAAGGATCAAAGGTAAGCCTGGCAAAAAACAACAGCAACAACAACAAAAGGAAGAAGAGGCTGGCTGAGAAGTGCCAGTCCCGGCCTGGCAGCCTCCAGGGCTGTTTGGGGCAGCTACTCAAAGGACATACTTTCCTCTCACCTTTCCCTTGACCTCTTGACCCCCAGAAGAAAACATTACATTCCCCTTTTTGCACACCGTGAAGAAATTCTACTTCTTACTGTGAGAAAAAGAATAAATTCTCTGTCCGGCGAATATTCTGTCTGGCAAACTCTGTAGGGGCAAAAGCGATTGGATGTGGTGGGACTCTTGCAAGCCACAAAAGGGGTATTTCTAATATCATTTAGGCGGTTCGGTGGGGCTCCTCTCATATTTTCTCACGCAAGAGCGAAGCCGCTGTCCTCTGGTCAGTGACAGGCACCCCTGGATGCATGCAGAGGGAGGAGGGGCTTCTCAACATGTGTCCCGGCTACGGCTGAGCATCTTTCACGGGGTTCTCTTCCACGGCCCAGGCTCAACTGCCAACCCCGTTTGGAGCAAGGCAAAAGGGACTGGAGGTTTCCCCGTGCAGCCCTTCCACCAGCCCTCCTCACGGTCAAAGGCAAGAGCAGAGCTATCATAGGCTCCGATGGCCTGGCTTGATTTATTGGTTGTGATCATCGCACTGCTACAGCAATTCGGTCCTTGGCGAGAGGCTTCCCCATCCATCCCAGACTCCATGGCAGCTCAAGACCAGGTCTCAGCTTGGAAGCGGTGGGTTTGTGCCAAGCGGGCAAGATATTCCTCCGCTTCTGGAGCAGAGAGGCCTCCTTCCGACTGGAAAACAAACTTCAGGGCTTCTGCCACGTCCTCTGGCATCTGCTTGGCATTTCTGGAAGAGAGGGGTTGCCGTAACAGGAGGAGAAAGCGGTGACAGGGAAGCATCAGGGCCTGGTAGGCACGCAGGAACTGCGGAAGGGCTGCAGCAAAGTTTCAGTTCAGCCTGGCCCACCGCAGAAGGAGCCTGACCTAGCTGATACCAGGGAAGACCCCAGGGCCTGATCAGGCTCTAATCACCCTCAGACCTTCCTTCAGATGAAGCTACTTACAAGCCGATGGAAAGAGGAGATCGGGACCAAATCTGCGTACGCCCATCCCCACATGTTGTTTCCACATCAATGCTTGTATAGCCAAGAAATTATACAAAAATCTAATGCAAATTCTGTATAAAATAATACCAAGTATCAAATGTCGGAACAGCAGGTATTACTTTTTTTTAGGTATTAAAAAAAATCCTAGAAACATATTTAAACATCCGGGGGGGGGGGGGGGGGGAGTAAAGGGAAGTTGGCAATTCAGGAAAGATTTCTGGAAAATCCTGGCATAGTTTTTCTTTCCCCAGAGCCTTTTGGGGCTTTTTTGGCATGAGCGAAGTTGCTTTGAAAGTTTGACAGTTATTACTTTTAAAACTTCAGATAACTTTGAGGAGACAGCTCCAGATGTGCAACCTGCATCTGGGCTAACCGTACAACGCCCAGTTCATTCTTGAGGCTCTCCAGAAATGTGAAAAAACTCGTTTTACCTCCAGAACGGGCTTGATGTGGCCTCCACCCTCGCCTGGGCAGGAAGATGAATCGAGCGTTTCCACCCAGGATTCCCAGTACACACAAAGGTGCACACTCTGCATGCAAACAGGCCACACGTTGGAAGAAGCCCAGGCTTAAAAACTCAGGAAGCCCCTCCATGCTGGAGTCAATGCAGACATAAAACCAAGGATTCAAGGCTGGAGCCCAACGTGGAAAGGAGGACAGAGTTTTAAGACCGATTCAGATGGCAGCTCCTGCCACCGCAAAAGATCAACTCTCTGCCCAAAGGCCATGGCCACCGATTCAGCGCTGCTGCCTGACCCCCTTGGACCATCTGCTCCAGAAAACCCCCCATACAAGCCTTCATCTCTGGCACCCAGGCTCCCCCAAGACCTGTTTCCAGAGGGGGTGATGGATTAGGCTGCAATTCCAAATTTATGGATTGGGGGTAAACCCGGCTTGAGCTTTGGGGGGGGAGGAATATACCACAGGGCTGGGTAAACAAAAACAGGTTTTAGCTGTGCCCTGAAGCTAACCACTTTGCTATGGGGGCTTCCCGTGATGCAAGTTTGCTCTAAATTCTAGCATCACTCAATGCTACAAACTGGCTTCCTGTCCCTGGGCGGCAAGAATCCTTCGCTTGGACTCTGCCCAACTGTGCTGGCCAAGAGGAACAGGGGAAGTGCAAAGCACTAGGCCTAACCCTGAGCAGCCCTTTGCAGCAGCGACCTCAGACTCCACCGGCAGTGGGATTTCTTCCACACCCTGCCATTGAAGGGGCCGGATACGCTAAAACCTTGTAAATGGGAGCCAGAGATTGCTCAGTGCTGAGGATGGCTTAACTCTTTAGGCCGCTTCCTGGGACTCACCCGGATAAATAGATGTGGGCCTCCTTGTGCTTCACCAGGTCCCACACGAGCTCCTTCTTCTCTCTGATACGGTGCTGGACGTAAATCTTCTCTTCCTGTGGGGAGACCCCATGAGAGCTCAGGCAACCTCCGGCGATTTAGGCTCCAATAAAGAGCACAACGAGCAGAGGGAAAGAAGGGGCTGCTTCCAACAGTTTCCCTCAGAAGCCCTCGAACCTGGCAGTCTCAGAATTGGGATCAGGGTATCCAGCTCGCCTAGGAGCACAAACAGGGGGATCTGGAACAATGGGAAGCTGTTGAAGAATGGTTATTCCACGAAGGCACACGCTGGCCTCATGGATATTGTTACGGAGACCCGCTGGGGCTCAGGGGTCGTACAATAAAAAGGTAACAGTGCAAAGCAGGGAAAACACCATTCTTCCTTTTTCTTACGCAGTCACAGGAATCTGTCTTTCCTCATACTATAATCTGGCATGCTCTCTCATTTCTTTGTTCCCTGGGCAAAATGCTGCTAAGGAGGCTCAACAACATGGAAAACCAAATCCAACCAGAGCGCCTCAGACAGCATCAGGCCAGTCGTCCGGCCTCAGCACCAGAGTTCCTGGGAAGGTGGCAACAAAGGGAAGTACTTCAAAGGTGTGGAGTCACAAAGCTTGCTCTGACTCTTTCAAAAAAAGGTCACACCAACTGCATGTTCCCCAGCAGCCACCGCAGGAAGCCACTCCTGTAATTGTTCTCTTCCCGGCCTTCTTCCGAAGACATCTTTTTGACTGTTTGGCCAGAGCCAAGCTGCACGTTCAGCAGAAACTCCCTGGGCCACCCCTTCCTGGGCGTGAGCCACATCAAAATGCCAGTCCCAAGAGACCACAGGCTTGGCTAATCCTCTGGGCTTTAAAAGTATGCTGCAAGGGGAAGGAGATGGCCAGGAGTCCCTTCTGAAGGCTAAGAATTTGTAAAAGGGAAGGAACCATTCCCACCGTGCAGTTCCCCCACCTGCTTGCAGAAATGGGATAGAAGCCGGGGTGAAATCCAGCAGGTTCTGACAGGTTCTGGAAATTTTGAGCAGTTCGGAAAATCGGCAAATGCTGCCTCTGGCTGGCCCCAGAGTAGGATGGGAATGGAGATTTTGCAGTATCCTTCCCCTGCCACGCCCACCAAGTCACGCCCACAGAACCGGTAGTAAAAAAAAATTGGATTTCACCATTGGATAGAAGTAAAGCCAGAGGCAAGGGCTGAAGCTGGACTATTACACACCCGACCCAACGCTATTTCCTTTCCTGAGCGGTAACCTCTTCCTGGAGCCTCGAGGACTCTTGCCATAATGTGGATTTTTAAAAATCTGATACCGCCACTAGGGAGAGAAGTGGAGAACTTTTTTGCCCACAAAGACAAGTCCTTCCTCAGTTAATGCAGGAGGAAGCCGGAGTCAGACCCGCCTGACACTGGAAACAGGCAACAGTATTGCCGTATCAAGCTCTGTATTTATTCAGTGTCAGAACAACAATGAATCAAAGTGCCAGGCTAAGCGTACCTGGCAGCGGTAAGGCCCCTTCTGCTTCAGAGAAACAAAGCAAGAGGCACAAGGACGGTTGGATCTTGTGACCCAAAGTACCAGCGTCTGTGTTTTTCTGCCCCTGGACGTCACCAGCCAAAGGTCTGGCAGGGCTGGCGCCTGTCCACCTTCAGCCAGAACCTGCCACACCCGCCGGCTTCTCCAAGGTGAGACAGGGCTGCAGAGCCAACGGAAGGGCCCAAATTGACCAAGCCACAGAAGCAACTGCAAACGTGACTCCTGCTTCCAGCCTTCTAAAGGACCGTTTCAGAGCCCTCCTCGATCTGGCGCAGATCAATTTCATGAGAGCTGAAGAGCAAAGTTTCCGGATGGCCTGCGGGACTATTCATTTTGCCCGCTCTCTCCCCCTTTCTGTTCTGACTCCCCGATGCCCATCTCAGCAATCCTGGCTGAGAAACACACACTTGCATCCTGGGTTCACC